TTTAATATCTCTATATATTGTTAAACTATAACAAATTGTTCAAAGATATTATTATTTGTCACATATTATTATTTTTTGTTATTATAAAAACTAAAAAGCATTTTGTTATAAAAAATGTTACAAAAGAAATTATTTTATTATATTTTGTTAATAAACGGTTTTTAATATTCAGTAAAAATTTTAATAAAACATATATAACAGTATATTTTACTTTCTTAATCATTTAAGTGTAATTTTATAATTTATTTTAATTGATGTTTATTTAATTATAACCTGTAAAATAGTTAATTTATTTAAATATCATGTTTGATATTATGTATAGTATAATTCATTGAATACTGTATATGATATTTAAATATTTCACTAATTAAAATAGTTTTTGTAACTATAAATCTATAGTTCGTTTACTGTATAATGAGATATTGGTTATTATATTAAATAGATTTTACTTTATAACGTTTTTTTTGACCCACACATCACTTTAAATAGACATTAAATAAACTAATATATTGTCTGTATCTAAAGTTAATGTAGTTTATTGATTAAATACAGTATATTGCATAAAATCTCGGCTATTTACTACTATCACTAAAAGTGGTATAACTTTAAATATAAAAAATATAGAAAGGGGTGATATATATCATTGGAAAGGTTTTTATATACACTTTCCAATGATAATAAACACACCATTCCTAATAGTGAGCGCGACCATTGAAAGTCCGCCCGAAAACATGCCAACCGAAAAAAATAGGGGTAGTGTATGTGCTCTACACATAAATCACTGCTATTGCCCCCACCATCGCTAAAATAACCGAAATTATTTACCCGAATAGCGGGCTTACAGTTAAATTTTTTAATTAATTATACATATTATTAATTATTATATACTTATTTATTAATTTTAAAAATTATTTTTTTCCTGTGATTTATTTACCGATTTTTATGAGCAGTTAAAAAAAGCCGAGATTTTATGAAATATACTGTATGTGTATTACCATTATAATTATAATTAGGATAAGCTTTCACGGCCTATACCAGGTTAGGGAAGGCGGCAAACACTTATAAATAACACATGATTTGTTTTTATAAGTTAACGTATTTTTGTAGGTCTACTCTAAGTTTTATGATATATACTCAGAAATATTAAGTTATAAATAATAAAAGAGTTAAGCGCTAGGGGTATGGGGTATGACTCGTCGAAACTTAAAAGTTAATATGAATTATTTATTTAAAATAAGTAATTATTTTAAAAGTATAGTATGATTTTAAGGTAATTATAATAAAATCTAATATATTTATTAATTAATTTTACATTTTAAATGCAAAATTCTTATTCATTTTTAAAATTTAAGTTAAAGTTAAAGAAAATAAAAAGTTAAGAGAATATTTTTAAAATTTGGGAATATTTATATATTTATTTGGGAATTTTTAGGGAACTTTGTAAACGTTGAAGAAATTCCAGTTTAAAACTGCGATATTCCACTTAGTACTCTCCCCAAGATTTTTCTAGATTTTAGTCATTAGACCAAAAAAACTTAACAGTGAAATAATGAAATAATAACTAATATTTAAATAATATTAAATGCAATTTTTAATTTTCTTAAATATTCAAATATCATAGCTTTATTCATTAATGAATTTTATTTATAGTTCTATTAAATTTTATTTCGATAATTTTCGATTTAGTTTTGAATAGAATTTTCAAAATAAGTCATAATGAACATGGTCAAAATAGAAAACAAAATTATTTATTTTTATAACTATTATATCTGGAATACAATTATTTACATTTAATACATATTAACCTACAATTACTAAAAAGAAATAATATTTTGTTTGAATTTTTCAAATTGTAATTAATTGTTTTAATTTTCACAAAATCTGGAATAAGTAGTTGTGGTCATTGATGAATCATTATAATATTTTTATTATAATATATATATTGGTGATAATATTTTTAGGTATCTCTTATCGCGTTTAAATATATAAAACATATATTTTTTATAACTAAATAAAAACAATAGAAAACAATAAAAATAGATAAAAATTATCATTTTTACAATCACAAAATATGGATGATTCCAGTATAATGTAGTCATACAAAAAAAAACTATTAACATAATAAAGCTGTGAATTTTGAATTACTATTTGTATGTTTAAATTTTGATGATTAAAATTGTAGATTACATTAAAAGACATTTACTATCATTAAATAGTGTCGACACTATTTCTTACTATAAATTTTGTTTATGAGTTAAATATTGAGGAATTAAGTCTTTTACCGTATTCTAGATATTGACACAAAAATATATAAAATAACTATAAATGACAACAAGTTATTATATATTTAAAAATACTAATATACTTAAAGATTATAAATACTGGTTTTTTCAATATTGGTTTTAATTTGTCCAGGTTAACTATACTTTTTAATGAATATATTTAAATTCAATTTACAATTTGGATAACACTTTATGTGTAATAATTAATAGTTTGTTATATTAAAAATTATTAATTTATAAAAGTTTATTACAACATATGAATTTAGAATTAAATAAAATTGAAAGTTTAGAATTTAAATATAATCTAAAATAACTAAATAATTTTTTGAACACATTTTTAGTTTAATTAATATTTAGTTTATTAAAATATGTATATTTAAGCTAATTAATCACAAATTTAGTCAAGCAATAATTTTAAATAGAATGTATTATTATGTTATTTTATTTAAAAACTTAATTTTATACATTTTACTTATTATTTTTTATATAATTAATAATATAAAACATTACAGTGAATACAAAAGTAATACATACTGTTATTTACAACATAATGCTAAAATTATAGTCTAATTAAACTAAAATGTTTGTCATTTACTACCAATTTAATTATTGAATTGATTTTGTCGTTCAATTTTATTATAAATATATGACTGATTTCTCAATTTACATTATAAATACAGATAATGATTCTACACTATTATTAGTTTCTAATAACTTTTTGAAAAAAATAATTAAGATATTTATATTATTAGTTATTACAGTACAAACTATCTATAAATAAGCTATACAGTAATGTTTAAGTTAATTAATTATAATTTTTTAAAATAATTATTTAAATTTTACAAATGCAGCTTATACATTATATTTAAAATTTGCTTTACATTGTAATTTATATTGTTATAAAACATATTTGTATTATTTAAGGATATTAAACTTTATAATACAAAAATTTACATTATATTAATAAAAAATAAAATTCTATTAATATAATTTCACAATACATTGTATAATACATGTAAAAACATTTGTAGAAATTTACGTAATAATTACTTTTTATACTCACAAATACACAAAAAGTATTGTAACTTATATAGGGGTTAGAGTTAAAGGATTTACCTATAAATAGATCGACAGATATTTGAAGATTAATAAATGAAAAAAAAGTGAAATCCTTACTAAATAATATAAAAACTATTAAATTTATGTAAATTTATAAATATAAGCATTTATTTTATTATTTTATAAAATTATTACTTAATTTTGTTGAAGTATTTCCAAATTTAGATTAATTTCAAATAAAAATTATTTAAACTTCACAAACATATTATGTAATAAATAGTTAGACATAATATCCTATTTATGTCTCAATAGATGCCTGAGCTCTAAGAAAGGATACAATGAATGATATTATATAATAGTAACTACTCTATAGTCCAATCAATTTCAATCATTTGTCAACCGTTTTGACTTTTCATAACAACTCAATCTTTTTATTATTTTAAACACTAAAAATATTTATTTTACTTATTATTATTATATAAAAATTATGTCATTAAAAGAAACATTTTATCATAAAATATAGCATATCATAAAAAGACAATAAGATTTTATTAATTATTTAAAATATAATTTTTATTCTCATAAAATGTTGACAATATATGAATAATTTTAGTATACCTATCACAGTATACCTGTCTATAAAATAATCAATATAATTTTATATCTATGAAGTAAATTATATATGTAAAATTCATTAGATAATGCAACGAAATAATAATTAATTACTCTAGATATCTATAATTAAACTTTAATATATAGATTATATAACCTAAACATTACACAATTACTTATATATTAATTTTTATATAATATTGAACTCTACAGTATAAGACTAATACTACTTAGATTTGGCCAAAAAAAGATTTTTTTTTAATTATAAAATTTCTATTTTCACATTTTTATTACTAGTATTATGACTCCGATTATTAGCGATTCCAAAGATTATCGATGAGTATTCTAATAGTAATACTGTTATTATTCTTGATTTATATATTATTAAATTACATTTATATTTTCGTTAATAAATTTTTTAAGTAAATATTGTATTTATACAAAAATAAAAACTTACGATTGTTTAACATTTATACTAAAATTAGTTTTTTAAATGTTAAAATATATCATATTAATTAATATATATTGATCAAACTAATGTAAGTTAACATACATTTGTATTATATTTTAGTATAGATAATATTTAGTACTATGAATGGATAGTTGTATATAAAATACAAAATGGACTTAAAATAAGTGCTGAAACGGCACTAACGATACATTGTATGTATTATTTTATTGAAAATCATATCACTTTCACGACTACATTGTGTTCTCTTATTACAGAATTTGTTGACTTTTTGTTTGGTTTCTAAATTCATTTCTTTGTGAGTTATTGTCTGATATTACACTTTGAGTGTATGTAATAAAAAGTTGTATTAATTTTTATTACATTTATATATACTATAATAAACTGCATTTATTATAAATTCTAAGTTATATAAAAAATATATTACTAAATCTATTATTTATAAATATATTGTATATATTAATTATCTGTGTATAGAAATAAATATTGTTTATTATTTATTTTAAACAATAATTGTTTGAATAATACTTAATTTAAAATGATAAAATATTAAAATTATTGATTATATGTTATTACAGATAGTATACCGTGAATGGGTGTGTTCAATGTTAATCCCATTTCATATAAACCGTGTGTTAATAAAGCCGTGTTGGAGTTTTTGTGAACGCGTTGAACAACGATGTCCTCATCTCCATCCATACGGGAAGGGACAGTATGCTGGAGAACCTGTCTTCTTATGCATCGGTATGTCATACTATACAAACAATGCAGACATTTATTTAAATTAAACTAAATAATATTTTTGCTAATAAATTGCTAATTTATAGATCCAAACATACCATATAATCCATCGATAACACCGGACACTCCATATGGAGAGCCTGGTGTCTGCTACGACACGTGCCATCTACTCATGGATGATGACCAGGACATGAAGGAAAGGCAGGATTGCATTAGCAATAGTGAACTCCTCCATAAGGCATATAATAAGGCAACGAATATGACCAATAATATCAATATTACTACTACTTCTACAACTACTAGTACTACCACTACTACTACTACTTCTTCTTCTTCTACTTCTGCGGCTCCGACTGTCACCGATTCCAATGATTCCAGTGCTGCCAATCATTGATATATTTGCCAATTAAACAAATAAACAAACAAACAATGGACAATATTAAGATATTGTATCATATATCTACAGTATATGTATACATGTATACTACAATTATATATATATAATTTTGATCAAAATTCTACAATTTATTTAAAACCCAATGTTATTTACATAACTAACAAAACAGAATAATTTTTTCAAACTATAAGTGACACCAATATAAGCATGAATTTGTTGAAAAATGCATTTTTTGACATTTACTTATTTTTGTTATTTATAATGTCCAGAGCATACAAACCAATATCATTATAAATTAAATTCTTATTAACACTAATTATATTATTTTTAAATATAACCGTTAATAAATAACATAATACCAAATTGATATATAAATATAAAAGTATATTACAAATCAATTAACTTAAAATAAAATACAAATAACATTGGGATTTTTTATTAGAATGTAAAATATGTTAAATAACAAAAAATTGAAAAAATAGTATCTTATGCGTTTACTGATCAAAATAAATTCATGCTTAATTTATTAAGATACTTTTATATGTTATATATTTTTATGATTTTTAACGGATATTTAAAAATTAACACAATTAATGCTTATAAATTTATATTATTTAAAAATAGATATAAACTAAAATCTATTAATGTAATATTTTATGTTAATTATATTTTGTTTAGAATCAATTTAGTGAAAATGTGTTAAATTTTAACTTTATAGTAAATTTCTAAATTTAGATAACAATTAACTAAATAAAGTTTTGGCCAAATTTGCTCATTAATTAAATAAAAAATAATGGCAAACATAAATTTTGTTGCTAAAATCATTGTCCGGTCCAATACATTAAATAAACTCATTATTAGATAATTATAATAATATAAAACGTTATATTTAATTGATTTGTTTTTGTTTCATTCAATTTGTTTTAAATAAATTATATAAACATTTTAACAGTAATTTATTTCAAGTTAATAATAAAACGAAAGAAAGGTTTTTTGGAGACTATTATATAATTATATAAATAAAAATAATATCTTTTAAAAATTGTTGAAAAATTTATAAAATATAAAAAGTTATTTCAAATTAGTTAAATTATTATTATTATTATTATTATTATTATTATTATTATTATTATTATTATTATTATTATTATTATTATTATTATTATTATTATTATTATTATTATTATTATTATTATTATTATTATTATTATTATTATTATTATTATTATTATTATTATTATTATTATTATTATTATTATTATTATTATTATTATTATTATTATTATTATTATTATTATTATTATTATTATTATTATTATTATTATTATTATTATTATTATTATTATTATTATTATTATTATTATTATTATTATTATTATTATTATTATTATTATTATTATTATTATTATTATTATTGTATTATTATTATTATTATTATTATTATTATAGTGAGAATTTAATTATGTATTAAAGAAAACAAATGTAATAAATTATAAAATACTAAATCTGTTTTTGTAATATTTAGAGTTTTGTAAATTAAATTGTAAATCGTTTATTATTTATCTTAAACATGTGTTATAAATTATTTATTAAAATTTAACAATAATTAACTAACGTATTCAAAATGGAATAACTATGTAGTTATTGAATATTATAAAAAATATTATTTTTTTTATATGATTTGATAAATAAGTTGACAAATATTAATAAAACTATAGATTATTTAAATCGTCAATTGTTATATTTTTATAATCATTCAGATATTTATAAATTAATAAAAGCTAAGTCATTCATTACATCAATTTAATTGTATTTTACAATTAATACATTACAATCTACAAAAGATTTAATTGCAACAAAATTGATGTAAAATCTGAACTTATTATACGATTTTATAGCTAAATAATGTAGAATTTAATTTAATTAATATAATTTATTACTAAAATGATATTTAATATCCGCTTTTAAATATACGACAATATAATTTAGACGCTTATCTCTCTCTCTCTCTCTCAAATTATATTAAATTTATAAATACATGAAAATTGCTTTATATTTATTATATTTGTGATGTAGAGTAATATATTAAATTAGTTTTATAATTTAATCTATTTTTACTGAATCTATATTTACTGTCTTTTACTTTAAATTTGTAACTCTAAGTTACAAATTCATATAATTTTTACTTTTGAGTATTACTTTCAACCTTTTGTGTTAATACTTAGCCGATTGTTAAATCTAATCAATGGCTAACTGAGACCCGTCCAGTCATATCCATAAGTGATTGGATAGACAATCTGTTGTCGGCCTCACACATACCTACGCTAACAATCGGTTCCTTCTAATCGTCCAAAAGTAGTGGCCTAATCCTAAACCAGTCATTACATATTAAATTAATATATACCGATAGTAATATATTTTAAATAATGTTTTATATTATAATTTATCAAATTTTAACATTTTTAGCAACAATTTTATAACACTCTTATAAATATTTTAAAAATAATTCAACTTATATTACAACTTAATTGTATTTTAATATTTATAGAGAAAGATAAGTTAATATATCATAAATACATATATTATAATTAGTAAATATTAAATAAGATGGTAATAAATTAAGAATAATAATAATAAATCGATAATATAATTATATTCAATTGTATAATAATTGTCATCAATTTTTAGATTAAAATATTTACGTCTATAAGTCTCTTACTCTAAGTTTATGATTAATAAATATTGCAATATATTATAAAAGCAAAAAGTGATCAAAAATTGCTAATATAATGAATGCAAATATCAATTTATAAAAAATAAAATTTTGATTATTATAAGTTATAACTACAAAAAAGTGAACTCTAGTTATTATTAATAGTGTTTTTATTTATATATTAATTATTTTAATTTTGTTTTAATTAGTGAAAATAATCTTATATATGATTTTATTGATTTTGTATTATATATATATATATATTTAGTATTATGTATATTAAAAGTAATAAATTTTTATATTCCTATAAAAGTCTATTACAAATAAAACGAGTTGAGAATGCTAGAAAGCATTTCCAGACAAACTCCTTATCCAAATTAAATATTAAATTAAGTCATGTATTATATAACTCAGTACAAAATAAACTTTATTAATATAGGGCATCAGATGACTTAGTATAACAAAATAAAATCAAATTTAGACATGTAGGTTATCAAATGATTCAGTATGACAAAATAAACAACTTTAGTCATATATTGTATAAAATTACTCAAAAAATTATGATACTTAACACAAATTTTAACTAAAAAATTGTTTCAATCTCCATTTTCTCTATTTCTGAAGATATTTTTTTATATTAATCTCTTATATCTTATTTTTGATGCTTTATTCAAATCTAAACTTAAAAATTTAAAATCAATTATTTTTTACTTTGACCGCCATTTTCTCTATGTTCCTCAAGAGATATCAAAATTTTAATGCCGATCCCCTATACCTTAATTTTGATGATTAATCTAAATCTAAAATCAAAATTCAAAATTTATTTTAAAAAATCTAAACTCAAGGAAATATAAAATTCAAATTCGTATTCCTTTGAGGAGTTGGTCAACACTTTTATACATTACTATCATATGTTTATAAATAAAAATTAATATAATAATAATAATAAATAAATATTAAATGAATTTTGAAGGAAAAGTAGTTTGAGGGAGGAGTGGGTCTGTATTGTTGATACCACTCATAACTACAGTATTACTGAATAAACAATTATACTCTTGAGATTCAATTTATATCTAACAACAAATAACACATTAGAAATTATACATAAAATTATAATTATATATCAAATACTGTGTATAAATTATATAATACAGTATATCAATAGTTTCAGATAAAATTTGCAAATATTAATAAGTAATTTTTATTATTGAATAATATTGAGTGTATCATATAAAACAAATATAAGGTTTTTTAATTATTGAAAGCATTTTAATAATACAAAACAAATTAATATCTAAATAGTACAGTAAATACTTTATATAATATAAAATCTATTGCAAATTACTCTTTCTCAGGTTTTTTGCAACTATTTTCTATTAAAAAACTAATAATTTTAAAAAATATTATTTATCAGTTCAGTTATTATGGTAAACGGATGTGTTGTATCTCTAAAACTATAATAAATATAAAGTATATATATTTTTATATTAATATTTTGTAAAATGAGAATCTAAATACCTGTTTGAATATGATTAAACACATTTTTGGCATTTTTAATAGCAATAAAACAATTTTAGTCAACACATTTTTATTCAAAATTTTATTGAAAGTTTTAATCTGAAAATACAGTATTGTATTTTGCAACAGATTTACTGCAAATAATTCATATGAATTTAATAACTTAATAATATAAATCATAAAATAATTGTTAGTTTCTTAACTAAGTTATGGTTTTTGTTTTATCTATTTTTTTCATTATTTTTAAATGACTTATTTAATTCTAAAAAATATTGCAAAAATACTAATATATTGATACTAAATGATATTTGACTTACAGTAATGTACTATAATATTACATTAACACCATAATATGTAATTTATGTTAAATGCAATGCAAATATATCAAAAATGTGACATTGGGTTTATAATTTTAGATGTTTTATATTTATAAATAATTTAGATTATATATGAATATAATGACTTGAAATTAACGAAATGTAAATATAGCTGAATTACAATATAAAAACATTTGAGTAAGTTTTATATTGTAGTAATACTATATTATTATATACTATATAATATATAGTAACTTATATACCATTATTAGAAACCATTAATGCAAAAGCCATAAACCATAATATAATATAATACTATATATACTGTATATAACAATCCTATGACTACACAACAGTTTTATTAATATAAGAGACTAATTGTAAGCCAATACAGACATCGACTCCAAAAGCGATACACTATTTTGAAAATGAGATGAATTTACGGCTCAAACTCATACATACATAAGTACAGCGTTTAGTTAACTTAAAGACAACTGTCAAATGTTTCAATGTTTTATACATTTTTATTTTATAATATATTAAATGATCAGTTATTTTTCACATTTACTAATTTGTGAAAGTATTTGCATTCAAATGTGTTGTAAATGATTATGACTCTTAAATTTGACAGCAATTTGTTAGTATTAATGTTATTATTGCTTAATATAATAATATTATTATGTATTGAAAAGTCAATAGCATTTGTTGTCGAAAGTGACAATAGATATAAACTAAATAATAATTATAATGAATATAATGAATATAATGTGGACTATTGATGATAGAGAAAAGCTCAAGTATAAGATTTGACCTAGTTCATATTGGACCTGCCATTGACATTGCCATTCAAGTTTGTATAATTATTATATATCAATAGATTATATGTTTTTATAATATAGTTTTGTTTATTGACTTATTTAAATTATGAACTGTTATATTACATTTAGGAATATAATAAAAATTAAATTATATTTATTCTATAATAAATTCAATATATTAATAGTTAGTTAAACAAAAATATATATTTTTATTTTATATTATATTCTTATAATCAATTGTATAATTATAATATTTATATTTTAAAACCAAAATGTTTGCATTTCTACAATTATATATTATGAATATTTGTTTATTATTTATCTAATTAAAATGATGAACACAATTGTATGTATAATTAATGATAAAATTTACATTTAAACTAAAATTAGTAAATAAAAATTTTCAGATATATTTAGATTTTAAATAATATGTAAATAATTTTCATTCAAACAGAAATGTTTTGACGATTATAATGTTAACCTCAAAGTACTCGAAGGTAAGTATTCTTTAAAAATTTAATTTTTAATTTCCATTAAACATAAGCAGAAAATATTAAATAAATAATATAAATGAATAATTATATTAATAAATTTACATCAAAATAAAAATGTTTTTAATGTCAGCCGTTAATAGTACACAACAAACTACTTTATATTATATTTTCACACAATTTAATAATAAAAATATTAGATTCTATCATATTATAAAAATTTTAATAAAAACACATTTTAAATTTATCACATTTAATATGAAATAAAATATAAAATTTTTATTTATTGATTTAAATGTTTTATAAAGAATTTTATTTTAATACTAATGATAATTGCAAAACTTGTTGCATTTTAAATGATTTTATTTATAAATTATTATTTTTATAAATAGTTTAATTAGAAATTTAAATATAAAGTAAAAATAAAAGTATTCTAAAATATAACATTGATTCTTGGACATTTTATTAAATGATTTTATATTTTGAATATTAGGAATAATTATATAAAATATACGGTAAAATAACTAAAAATAAAACTTTATTACTAAATTGATGCATAATATTTATGATATGCAATGCGATAATATAATGATTACAATTTAAATAATAATGAATATTTATAATTAATTAACTTATATATTCTGCAATGTTAGCTATTTTATTAAATTTATAATACAATATTATGTAATTTTTAATCAATTATTATTACATTATATCATATAAATAGATTCGTAATATTTTAATTTGAAATTTCAATATGTTATTAAATTGTAAGTTTGTCAGTGAGTTATAAATTAAAAAAAATATTTACATTATATACACTATTAGATTTACATTCAAAAAGTTTATTTTGTTAATGCTATCAACAAAATACACAAATAATATTGTTTTTGTTGTTGTTATGATTAGATCCCTTTCCAACCATAAGTAGATTAGTAGACCAGTTGATCGATCAATCAGGTCAGTGATGGTCCGATCGATCAATTAGTTGCTTGTGTGGGACGGTATGAGTCCAATAACCAGAAGTAACCAATGAATAGGTCTGTTATCTGGTGTGAGTCGGTATGAGACCGATAATAGACATTAGTTTGACCGATAGAGACGGTATGAGACCTAATAGGTTAGTGTGAATCACTTGTGTTATCGGTTGGAGACAAACAAATGATAAGTAGATCAATGCAGTAGTGGTGACCAAAGTGTAGGCCATAATCGATCCGTTAGTACTCTTGAATCACTTGTATTAGCAATAATGAATGGTTAGACAAACAGTAAAATTAATAATTAAATTAAAGCTAAATTTAATGTCATAACAGTTGTAAAGTATAAATACTTATCTGAAAATAACTTAAAAATAGAAATATTTCACTAAATTTTAACAATAATTCAATTAACACTTTTACTTAAAATAAATATTTATGCCATTTATAGAAAATAATCACTTTTTTATAGTTTTTTTTATTTTTCAATAACTACTGACTATTTTATGGGTCAATCTATTGATTTAAATCCCTATATAAGGGTCAGCACTGACCTTACATTTTATGCTTACGACTGCAACATAAAACTAAAATTGTAATACAAATTCATAATTACATAAAATAATAATTTAAAAATAAAAATGAGTTTTTTAGTGTATTTGTGCGCCTAATAAACAATAGCCTTAAAACTCAATTTATGTTTTACACAGTATTAATATATTCTAAAATTTTATATTAAGTTAATATAAAGAATTAAAATGTGTTAGTTATATATTATTTCTTTGAAAATATTTTATATAATAAAAATGTTATTTTTTCATATGTAATTAATGCTATGATATTTACTTATTTAGTAGTGATAATAGTAAAAATTAATGTAAAACTTGTAAATACATATTGTATACTTATGTCTGACAAACATTATTTTATAGATATTATATTTATGATTAATTGTTTTGTGTGTCAATATTTATATTGTTTATATGTTATATGTATTGACAATATATTTGTTGACAAATTGATGACATAAGCGGAGCAAAACAAAATTGACTGCATTTATCATATTAGACACTTTGACTAAACCTTATCCACACATTTCATTATTTTGTCTGCTTATTACATACATATTATTATTATTATTATTATTATTTTAATTAATTTTTATATAAATATTTATTATTTCTATATTTTAAGTTTTTATTAATTATTATCAACTAAATAATAATAACTAATAGTCTTTAATAATAAATAAATGAATCTTATTAATAATATTTATTTAATTCTATTATATTTTTAACTAACTATAATAACTATTAACTATTTAATTTATATCAAAACAATTAAATTTAAAACAATTAATTTAACTTCAAAAACAATTAAACGCTATGAGCTTTCAGTACAGTCTATATGTTAAAAGTTAAGTCAATTATACTGTATTATATGGTATAGTATTTATGATATTAGCTAAATGTACTCAACAATACAAATAACTGTTTTTGACATAACATTAATATCTGGAAGTAATTTAATGATTAAACTAATTACAAGCTTTTTGGTTAATAAAAGAATAAATTATTAAACAATGTTTTTTTTGTTAATTATTATAATTATATTATTTATTATAAGTAAAATTTAATTTACAAATCCAATAAATAGTTGACAACATAATCTCAATATATTCAGACCGCTGACTTATCCAATTTATTTTTTTTAAATATATAAAAGTAAAGATAATTCAAATTTTATTAATATTAAGATAAAAATAATAATATTACAATTTATAAAAAACAGGTTTAATTTATAGGTCAATTTATCAATTGTTGGCTAATATTATGATTACTGTTATTCATAATAAAGGGTTATAATTTATGCTTTGTTATTATTAAGAATATATATCACCAAATATATACAGTAATCAGTGATATTATTTAAATATATTGAAAATAATTTACTATAGTCAACTCAAAATTCACAATCACTAATTTGACAAAAATTAAATTTTTAAAAACATTGATTTGTTATTATCTTAACATATAATACAGGTTTAGTACTACATTACAGTATAGTCAAGTCTACAAAAGTAACCTTAAACTGAGGTCATGAGCGGACACTATAGTTTCAGCACTAAACGATTGTTACAATAATTGGTTGCTTAATGTTAAGAGTTTTTGTCTACTTTTAGGTAAATATTTAGGGATGAGAAAGTCATTTGCAATATTTATGGTAACATTTTACTTTAAAATAATATATTTATTTTTTAGAATAAATATATCAATAAATATTATATTAACAAAATTAGAAAACAAATAATATTTTATTAATATTACATTTAGCTATAAAATGTATTTTTAAGCAATTCAAAAAAGTTATTTAAATAAAAGCTATACTTTTAAATTATATTAAATATTTTATAGTATAATATTCTAAGAATCTATACAGCATTGTCGTTTATAAAGATAAAAAAGTGTCTATTATAATATTTTTAAAAATATACTGTATAATACAGTATAATAACTATTACTATAAATTTTAAACTAAATATTATTTTACAAATCAGTCAATAGATAGATTTGTATAACAATACATTATTATTAAATCATTATGAGGGACTAACAAAAATCGTTTAATTCATTCATTGCTTTATTAGTTGAAATTTTAATACATAATTTACTAGAAAAATATACAGTACTGTACATACAATAGTTTAACTTATAATACTTGTGTTAAAAAATTGATTATTTGTTTGTTTGTGATAAATCTCTTTCTAGAGATTTGTAGTAATTGAGACCTGACTTGTGTTCAAATGAATGTATGAATAAATTCAATGATTCTGTAATTCACTTGATTTTCATTTCCTGTAAAATACTTTATATCTTTGACATCAACTTTAGTTCTCCATTGACTTAAATTATATGCATTTCGTTAATAATCCATTTGAACACATTTAACACATTTAACACATATAAGTATTTTATTATTTATATGTTAAAACATATGCAATCAAAATATTTACTTTTAATCTCTTTAATATGTCATATCTAAAATATTGTATAGTATTTATAATTGTTTTATAATGTATTTAAATATAAAGGAATTTATACAAATAAATGCAATGAGACGGCATCGTTGGGTAAAGCGGTTGATTTAGTTCATAACAACGACATAATAGCATTTATAGGACCAGCTTGTAGTGATGATCTGCAGGTTTTTAATAATTTTTCAGTAATAGTATTTGTATATTATTTAATAATAATGAATATCTAACTAATTAGGCGGTGGGACGGTTGGCTTCATATAAGGGCATTCCATTATTGACTGGTTTAGGAGATGTCATAAGTGGCAAACGATCTACATATAGCACTTTAATTAGGGCTTCATATGATCTCTGGGATGAGGCCCGGGCTATATTGGCATTCCTTCATCAACTGGATTGGCATCAGTTTGGACTTATCTATCGTTACGGTGATGTTTATTACTCAACACTAGCCGATGAACTGTTGAATCTATTGGATAGACCAGAATATAGTAGTTTTTTGTGTACCTGTAAGGAGTCATATATACGAGACATGAATAAAACAATTTTGACTGATTTGGAGAAAGTCATCGATTATATGACTTATTGTGCCAGAAGTAATACATCACTTATTTGATTGATTTTAACATTTAATACAACTTTCATTTTGTGATCACGTTATGTGAGAAATCAATTAAACTTGTTTGTTGTTAGCATTAAAATAACTAATAATGTTTTAATCAACAATTGAATTAAATTGAAATATAAAATAATAGTTATTTAAGTCAATCTAATTGGATTAATAGATAAGATACAACTTATATATGTACTGTATATACTATATTACCAATTTTAGAGATTTCATGTTTCATATAGTTATTATTTGATAATATTGATTTAATATTGTTATAGATTATTATTGATGTTTCACTATATTATTTTAGCTAAAAATGTCAATTTTTATAAAAAGACATTTCATTCATATATGACTTATGAGTTGTTTTGTTTTATATATATATTATTATTATAGTTATAGTTATTATTGGGGGTGAGTTAGAGGTACGGGCAATGATGACTATCGCTCACCGCAAGAAGATTACTCTATCGGGAAAATATGCTTTCATTTACACTGAACTTATTGAAGGAGAAGCCGTTGGAAATACTTCATGGGCTGGAGGTTCAGGTATGGCTTATGTAACACATTGTATTTGATTTATTATTTTATATCATATATCGGTATATTAATCACATCAATTTTTTTAGTTATAAATATTTTTTAAATTTAAGAAATAGTAAAAATTTTATTGATTGACTAATAAAGATTAATTATATTTTGTAAACAATCTATTATATTAATTTATCTAAGTTAGATAATTTATAAAATTATTAATACTTATTTTTGATATACAAAGAATTGTAAAAATATTTTTAATATTGTTATTTAAATTTAAGCGTTTCATAGAAAATTTATAATATTTTGTATTAACAATTTGTATATTATGCATTGATACACTATTAGGAATTAAAAATAATTGACAAAAATATTACCATATTATAATGTTTTCCGAGTATAATATACTTTATATGGTTGTGTATATAATATAATAAATATTTATATAATATAAAATTTAAGTCAATAAGTTATTGTGTCAATATCGGAGAATTAGTTGATATAAATATGAGTTTATTTAAAAATTACTTAGGCTAATATTTATGATATTACATCAAGTTTTTTTTAAATAATTACACAAATTATTATAATAACTAACAAAATTATAATAATATCATCACTTAATGATTTATACTAAATAAGTTAATGTTTTTGTAGTATAAGTTCACAAAAGGTATTAAAGTATAAATATTAAGTAATACTATGCATTGCTGTGTTTATTATACGATCCAATTATATTATAGGCTATATCGACGATCTGAAAATTAAACTATTGTTTGACTAAATAATCTATAGTATAAAGTCTATAATATATGATTGAGTAATGTGTTATCTGTGGTATTGTTATATGGATTGTACAGAAAGTGATGAGACAAAGGAGACACTGAAAGAGGCTTATCAGTCATTACTGATTGTAAGTCTGAATCAACCTCTTGGAGACTTCTATAAGAACTTCTCAGATCAAGTCAAACAAACAGCTCTCACCAAATATAACTACATTTACAACGAAGAGATGGTATGCTTTCATTATTATTAGACCAAACAGTCTTAAATCAGTGATATATTAATCATTTTTTAATAATTCAAACGTTGATTATAAAAAAAATATTCATTTATTCTTTATTATAACATGTTTTAATATTTTCATATACGAGTAATATTTATAGCATAAGAATATTTAAAATTTATTATTACATCAATACATCATGCAATGTATGCAATATATTAAGTTAAACATTTAACTTATTCATTAATTTTATCATTACAATAGTATTTATATTATATAATAAGTCTTAAAAACATAGTTATTATTTAAAGACTATTTTTTCAAATAATATTGAAATAATTATATATAAAAATAGTGTAATATTTTTATCAATACCTAAGCTTATCTATATTACAAACGCATATTAAATAGATGTTATTTTTTAGGTTAACTACTTTACGGCATCTTTTCACGACTCGGTTTTGCTTTTATGTAAAGCCATTCAAGAATATCATAACATAACCGATGGCCAGAAACCCATTGATGGTCGACAACTGGTAGAGCTAATGAAAAATGTTTCGTTTAATGGGATCTCTGGAAACGTCACTATTGATAGTGAGGGCGATCGCATTGCCGACTATGCACTACTCGATCAAACAGATACAGAATCGGGTCATTTCAAAGTAATTTTTAAATCTAATATATATATATATATATCAGGTTAAGCAAGGTATTGGATTTTTGGGGGAGGGTAAAATGGGTTACTTAAATTATTAAAAACTATTAAATTTTGACCAAAATTTTAAAAATAATAAATAAAAATATTAATGTTTACATTATAATTAATTATTATTCTTACTTTTATTATTTTAAAATGATTTTATACTTGTAACATAGTTACTTTAATGAATAAATAGTTCATGTTTTAGTTTTTCGTTTTAATAAATAGATATTTTGTAATAAATTAATTTATTTAGATATTAAAGAAATATTAATTATTATCTTTATTTTCGGCTAATATATTGACTCAGTTAATTCTTAACTCTATAATTATTTTATTTTGACTAAAATTTAAAAAATAGATAATAATTAAGCATTTAAAACTTTTAAAAAATAATAATAATAACCTAACTATATGCTGTATATTTTATTATTATTATCTTAATTATCTTAAAATAATATTTTACTAGTAATATATTTATTTTTTTAAATAGTTAATTTTTAATATTTTGTTTCCATATTTTAAATAAAATAATTAAATATTTAGATTAATTTTAATGCAATTTTAACTATTTTGTTTATTTTTAATTAATAATTTAATTTAAATAAGTTGTTAAAACAGTTAATTAACAATTATTTATTTAAATTATATTTTTAATTAAAATTTTAGGTGTATCTATTTTTATACGTTTTTAAGCGACAATTTTTTGTTGATTGTGTCAAAAAGTCTGGTGGGTAAAATTTTGATCTTAGGGGTAAAATGATCATACCTTACCCTACCATTGCTTAACCCTGATATATATTAATCACTAAATTTAAAATAAATAAACTATTAAAAGGTTGTAATGCGATATTATGGCGCTACGAAAAAATATGTTTCCATTGCATCTATTAATTGGCCAAACGGTCAAAAGCCTGTGGATATACCTGAATGTGGTTTTGATGGCTCTAAGTGTCCACGTATTACCAATTTATTACTTAATATTATAATAAATAACAAATATTTTTATTGATTTTTTTACACTATTTAAATACATATTAAATCATAAAAATACAATAATTTTTCTTATCATAAACATTGATAATAAACATTGTAATTAACTTTAGTGTAGTTAGTAATTTTGAATTTATTGTTAAATAATGGGTTAATAATACTTTACATTATGTATTTAATAAAATTATTAATGTGATGAATGTAATGAATGTAACTTTTTATTTAATTTAGAGTTACCTTTTTGGGATATATTGACGGCTACATTGCTGACTGTTATAGTATTTTTATTAGTAGTTGCAATACTTATATATAGGTATATGTTTTATATAAGATAACTATTATATGATTTAATATTAAAGTGTTAACTCATTGATTATGTTATCTGAATTGGATGTATTGATTGACAAACAAGAAAAGTTAAATTAGAGTCAGCCCTAACCAACATGTCATGGCGTGTCCGCTGGGAAGACATCACTTTCCCCGATAACATAGGAATTAGTGCATTGAGTCGATTAAGTATTTCAAGTCAAGTGAGTTGTAGACTAATTGAATGATTTATATTTACTGTATATTTGAGATCTAAATCTCGAGATTGAAAATTGTAAGCAAAATATATTATAAGACTTATTATTAAAGTATTGATTTGTTACATACAGATGTCAAATAAGATGGAACAGGAATTGGTTTGTTGGGCACCTAATGAGCACAGACAGGTCAGACATACAATATATACTATTATATTAATATACAGTATATATATATCAGGGTTAATCAATAGGGTAGGGGGTATGGCGAAAATACCCCCTAAGATAGAGATTTATGGATTTTATCCCCAGACTTTTTGACCAAATCGGAAAAATTGTTATTTAAAACCATGAGAAATGACCACTAAAATATCGGCGTCTAAGACGCCGATAATTTTTTCAAATTTATTAAAATTAAAATTTTAGTTAATTTATTAATTGTTTTTGTGTTTTTAAAACATTAAAATTTAATTATTTAATAAAAATTAATAAAATAGTTTAAACTACGTTAGAATTGAGCCAAAACTTTAAAATTAATTGTTTGTTCAAAAATAAAACACTACTAGAAAATCATTTTAAGATAATTAAAATAATGATAATTATTTTTATAATAATTTTTTATCTATAAATAATTTTTATTTCTTTACATTTTAAGTTTAAGTAATTGTCGATTTTTAAAATTTTAATCAAAATAAAATAATTATTTTCAATTTAAGAATTAATTGAGTTTAAAATAACAGAAATAACAAAAAAATAAAATAGTATTAAGTTAATATTTATCTATGTAGCATTATTTTAATAAAAATATATAACAGATAAACTTTTAAAATTTAATTTTTGAAAAAATAATTATGTTACAATTAGAATAATATTTTAAGATAATTAAGATAATAATAATAAATTATATGGTAAAATTTTAAAGATCAAATTATTTTTTATTTTTGTAATTATAATTAAAATTAAAGTTCTTATTTATATAAGAAAATATTTCAAAAATTTAAGGTATTTATTTGGGATATTATTAATCTTTAGGGGAATTTCCTCCCATTTAGATGGGAATATTCGATTATTTTCTCTTGACACCTACCCTGAATTTTGAAAGTATTGTCGTTTAAAAATGCAATAAAAAGTTACACTCACCATATACATTTTCGTGATTTTTTTATTTCACCTCACTTTATACCTCCTAAAATACAAAACCTTGCTTTACTTTGATACAGTATATATATATATATATATAGTATATATTATTTATGTTTCTCAACATTTTCACTTTCTCTATATTTTTATTCAATAATTGTTAAGTGCTTTTTCATAACAATTTAGTTGTTTTTATTTTGTATTCAAACTGTGCCTCAAAATAAAACATTTAACGCATTTATATTCTTTAGTCTTTAAGTATCGATTGGTCGCCAAAAAACAGTACACAAATTCTCACCGGTTTTTATAAAGTAAGCAAAACATCGATTGCCAAATATTTTTCACAATAAAATACTATTAAGTTATATATGCTTTTAACAATTTCACATTTAAATATATAGTAGTTTTTACTAACAATATGATAACAATAAAAAAGTAACAAAATTATTTTAAATAAAATACAAAATATTTACTTTTTATATTTTACTAGATTTTGTGTGTGTGTGAATATACTGTAGTATTGATATTTTAAAATTTATTTATAATATATTAAAGTATTCATATATATATACTGTACATATTGTAATTTATATTAATTAGTTATTTATTTTTATTTTTAGGGAAATTTGGTGGCAATTAAAAGATTACTTCAAAAGCGTATAGAATTGAGTCGAGAAATCCTTTTAGAGCTTAAAGTGGTTTGTATTGTATTTGATTAAACATTTTAGTGCTGTTATTGTGTCTTAACGGCAATCACTGACCGATACACAGTAACGGTATATCAGTTTATTTATAAAGGTTTAAGTACTTTATAACATTTATTATAAAAACTTATAATATAGTATAACTTATAGCAATAGATACAGTATATGGTTACATAGCATTTAAAGTGCTATATTTTTTATAAAAGCATTAGAATATTATTTAATTAATATAATATTATATTTGGTTTTGTTTATTAGATTAGTTTGAGTGAAGTCCGTGAAGTTATTAATAATTTGTAAACATTGCAACAATAATTTTATATCATATTTAGTGTCTTTCAGTAAAGTATATTTGTCTTAAAAGTTTTATAATACTATACTGATATAAGTTTATACATTAAGACAGATTGCCTGGTATATTGTCACTGACTTTTAATAATAAAATTAATAATAATAAATAATAATAATAATAATAATTATTATTATTATTATTATTATTAGATGCGCGAAACATCACACGAAAATTTGGTACGTTTTAATGGTTGTTGTATTGATGGCACAGTTGCTATATTGACAGAGTATTGTTCAAAAGGGTCACTCAAAGATTTGTTAGCAAATACTAACCTTAACCTGGACTGGCTTTTTAGATATTCACTCATTAATGATATTATATCGGGAATGTGTTATTTGCATAATTCAGAGCATATATATCACGGAAGACTGAAATCAAGCAATTGTTTGGTTGACTCTCGATTTTGTGTAAAACTAACCGACTTTGGTCTCCGAAAATTTAAAGCTTTAGCCGGTTATCAAACAACAGGAGAGTCGGAGCTTATAATACCACAGAATTCATCAATAATTAGTTTGAATGAAAGATTGAAAAATAAATGTCGAATCGATTCGTTATGTGAGTTCAATACAGGATTATTATATTTAGCACCAGAATTGTTGTGTCAAAATAATCAATGTATGGGTCATACTATGGGATCAAAAAAGTGTAAATTTTATGATTATATTAATGGATATATTGGTACTCAAAAAGCAGATATTTACAGGTTTTATACTATATTTTTTCTCATTTGCTTTCATTCTTATCAAATCAATACTCTATTATTGCTTTAATTTTATATTTTGGTATATCTTTTAAAATTTCTAAACATAATAGCTTTGGAATTATTCTGCAAGAAATCATATTAAGAGAACAACCATTTTTTCCTCATTATATTAATCTGGAAATTAAAGGTTTACTATCGCTTCACTTTACATTAACTGTAAATATATATATATATATATATTTGATAAAAATCATATTAAGAAATTTTGTACCAAAATAGTAAAATTTTGAAAAATAGTTTATTAAAAAAAGTTTATTCATAATTTATTTAAATCAATGTACATTTTAAAATTATAAGCGTATCTTTTCTTTGACATTGTATGGCTTGAAATCCCGGTTATGTTTCATAAACATCGGGCAAAAACCGAAAAATATTTGTTTTTATGTAATTTATAATTTAAAATAAAAGATTATTATTTATAGTCTTTTTTAATTAGAAAATTTGGATCTCTTTTAATTTGTAAAATATATATTTATATTATTACAATGTTTTGTGAAAAAGTAACTTATAATTAAGTTTTAAAGATATTCTATTTAAAATAATTTTAGTTTTTGAATTTAGACACTATTTAGTATATTTGTCTATTTTTCCTAATTTGATTTTTATCGTATATTCATATTTAATATTACTAATCTAATTTCTAATTTTTGTTGATATATTTATATTTTATGAATATTTTTTATTTGATAATATTATACTTATATTTATTTTATTGTATATTAATTTTGTAGTTATTGTTATTTCAAGAAATATAATTTAAATTTATATAACTATAGATATATTAAAAGAAGTTCAGACATCAAATATGAGACCATTAGTGCCATCGGATTCATGCGATGAGAGATTGCATTCTCTTATGAAGAATTGTTGGTCTTCTGACATTGATTTGAGGCCAGAGTTTAATTCAATGAAACATGAAATCCGTGCTATTATGAAGTCTATGGGTGTGGGAGGCATATCAGCGGCTCAGTCGACTCTTACAGAAAATCTATTGGTGCGAATGGAACAGTACGCCAATGAATTAGAGTCTATAGTCGAGTGTCGGACCGCAGAGTTAGCCGAAGAAAAGAAAAAGACTGAAGAATTGCTTTACCAGATATTACCAAAGTATGTGATAATTGATTTAAAAATAAAATAAAATAATTATATTTATATAATAATATTAGTAATACTACTTTTTAAATAAATATTAGACCAGTTGCAGATCAACTCAAAAGTGGGAAAATGTTTGAACCCAACTTTTATGATACCGTTACCATATATTTTAGTGATATCGTTGGATTCACATCCATGAGCTCTCAAAGCACACCAATGCAAGGTATGCTTTGAATTATATTTTAACAGTAAATACAGTATTAATAACATTCTGGCAAAACATTTTCAGTGGTCGATCTCTTAAATGATTTATACACCTTATTTGACTCAATTATTTGCAATTATGATGTCTATAAGGTATTATTACCCTTTATATTAGAGTAAAAATAATTAATATAATTAAAACATTTTTGTAAATATTACACAGAATAAATAATTGATAGTAATTATGTAATTACTATATAATAGAGTTAAATGGAAAAATAATGAAAATAGTTTATTTTAATAATTAAAGTACTGTACAGTATATAATAAATAAATGTATAAGCTTATACCGTTATTAAATAAAATAATACAATATCTAAGTTATACTGTATAATTTATATGGTAAATACAGTATAAATTTAAGACAGTATTATATGTAAATTTATATACACACTGTAATTAAAAATTATATTTATATTAGACAAATTAAAATTATATTTAGTATTTAAAAATATTATTTAAATTATTTTTGTCTTTATTCTAAATATATTTATATGATATGATAGATGTATAGAATAATGAATATTTAATTATGATTAGGTAGAGACAATAGGTGATGCATATATGGTAGTGTCGGGACTACCGGAGCGCAATGGTGTGGAACATTCGCGACAAATTGCAAGAATGTCACTTAAAATTAGAGATAATGTCCAAAGTTTTGTAATTAGACACAAACCTAATGAGAAACTACAACTAAGGATTGGCATTCACACCGGTATTATAACACAAACACAAGCTATGAATAAATTATATTTACATTTCTAATCCTTGTTTTATCTCATTAACAACAGGACCCATATGTGCTGGTGTTGTCGGTTAGTATACTAAACGTTACACAATTGTATTGATTAAAAACAAAATATTTTCCATACAAGACATTAATGTTATATTGTTTTATTAATTTAATAATTTAATAATTTAGGTAATATTAGGCCTCGATTTTGCCTTTTTGGTGATGCGGTTAGTGTTTTCATTATATAATTGCATGAATTTTTTATTGAATATTTTTTATAATAATCTTTAATGATATTTAGGTAAACACTGCTTCTCGTATGGAAAGCAATGGCGAGCGTAAGTGTGTGTGTGTTATACAATTTGAATGATATATTAAATTTATATTAAATCATTTAATTTGTTATCACACATTACATTACTTAAACAAATTTATTGTAATTATACATAATATTAGTTTATTTGATTATTATAGCCCTCAAGATTCACATAAGTCCCTCAACAAAGTCTGTATTAGACTTATTTGGGACATTTGTTTTGGAACCGCGAGGGGATATACCTATTAAAGGAAAGGGTACTATGAAAACATATTGGCTTATTGAAGAAAAGTCATCTCCAATTAATCTTAATTAATAATTAACACACAATTATCTCTTGTATTTTACTGTTATATATTTTATTATATTTTTAAATATAACGTTTCAAATATTAACATTATTTTTAGATTATTTAATATTATTTTGATAATATAGTATTTACTAATAACATTTTTTGTTGCACAATTATTATTATTATATATCTAATTTATTGTAATATTAAATATGTAATGTTACTAATGTAAATAGCAATTATCACTTTATATTACGGTAATATTTTTATTTATACCATATTACAACATTAGATTATAAATTAGATTGTATATGTATTTATTATTTTTTATAATTTAATGTTTTATTTTATTTATTTATTTAAATTCATCCATTAAATAATTATATTATAAAAGCATATTAAAATGAATTTATTGTAATACATTTTTTTAAATGATTATATAAAAATATTACATGTTACAATGTATTAATTTATCTTAAGGAATATATATATATACTGTAATATCCATTAAATAACATTATATTATATCGTATAGAGTATACAGTAGTATATCCTATACATTATATTGTACTGTACTATACATATAATACAGTCTACAATTGCATAGGAATTTGATATTATATGCAAAATAACTAAATGGTCTCTTTATTTACTTGAAATGATTTTATAGTTTTATATAAACAGTTACAGTTCTATCATATAATCAATTATTGATTAACTAAAAATACAATTTTAATAAATTTTACATTTTCCAATATTGACAAAGTATCAATATAAATGATCAATAATAACAATAACAAAACAATTTTTATTGTAGAAAATAATACTTGTTTGTATTTTAAGAATTTTTGCAAATTTAAAATTTTGACTTCAAATTCATAAAAAATAGAATATTATTATCTAAAAAAAGTAATGTCTTTAGTTATGCAAATTATTAAGTTTTATATATCCAGTAATTAAGTTTATTGTTTGCAAAATATTGCTATAAGTTATTTTATTTATTATAATTTTTATTTCTACTATAGTATTATACTTATAAAAATCTTAAATAATAGCTAGAATATTAATAAAATTAATTAATAGAATATAAAATAATTAGCAAATAAAATAACAAAATTCTAACAAATTAAAACTATATTAAATCATTATTAATATTTTAAATCAAATTTTATAAACATATTTCATTCAATCAATTTAAAATGTAATTCAAATTGATAATAATTATGAAAATAAATGTAATATTAAACGAGTTGTTATCAAACATTGTAAAACACAATCAATCAACAATTAAAACTTATTATCATTTCAACATTAGTTGACTTGTTTTAAAATTTCAATTTTAAATATTAACTTCATTATAATAATATACACCATTATGTACATTATAAATATATATACTGTATAAACAGTATATTGTTTATTGAATTATTATTACTATAATACTGTATATTATTATAACAGTAATTTAAAGTATAAAATCTTGTTATCACTATTGTATAAAATTTACAGTAAAATATAATTTAATGATATTTTAACCTCGACTTAATTTAAAAATAAATTTAAAGTACTATTATACTAGGGTTGCGTAAGGTTCTCGATTTCAAGGGGCATAGGGTGGGGTAAATTTTTTAAATTGTATTTTAATATATTATATTTTCTTTTATAGCTATAAAAAATTTAAATATTTGCATTATTTTCCAGGAAAATAGAGAATTTATTAGGGTATTTTCTCCCAAGTGAAATTGTTCCAACTTTACACATGTAGTATTTATTTAATATCTCGATTATTATTATTTTAAAAGCATATTTTGCGTTAATTGATAAATAAATAATTATTTTTTATGTTTAAGTAGAAAAACAATTAAACTTATAATACTGTAAATAACTGTAAATAATGTTATATTGATGTAATTAATTATAATTTATAGTATTTAATTAATTTTTATTTATTTATTTTGTAAACATAAACTATTTATTTATTTTAAAATTCGCTTAGTTTTTATTTTATTTTTTCATTCATATTGGGCCGATAATTGGTATGGGCCCCCCTAACTTTTTGGTATCCAGGGATGGTAAGATCCAAAAATTCGTTATCTCAGAGGGTAAACCGACTTACCTCTACCTACCCCTCCTAACACACCCTGTATTATATATACACACTGTGTATTACACAGTAAATACAGTACATTATCTTATCAGTGATGTCCACATTTGACTTTTTCATTAATATAACTATCTATTTATACAACATTTTAGAGTAAACCATTATAAATATTGAGGTAATTTAGGAATTATGAATTGAGGAATTAAGTAATAATTATTTTACGTTATTAATGCTTTATATTTATTTAAAGGATATTTTATATATTATTTAATAATAATTTTTATAAAGATTCATAATTTTTTGCATTATGAAAGCAATTATATCTTAAATTAGACTAATAATACCAGTTGAGAATGCTAAGTAATTTAGAAAATATTTATTAAATAAATATTAAATAATACAATTATTTGTAAAATTATAATTTATTAGATTATTTATTTGATAAAATTTGATAATTATTTCTATAATAATTATATTTTAACTGTGATAATATTAATATCATTTAACATTTTGACACTAAAATGTTATTTTAATATACATATAATTATAATTTGTTAATTTACTTATAAAAATTTATTTGTTATAAATGTACTGTATATTAAAATGAATTATAAATATTTATTAATTAATTTGGTGCTAAATTTCATTATATTTATACATTGTTCGCCAAATATATTGTTTTTAATTGTGGATGACTTAAGACCTATCTTAAGCAGTTATGGTGACCAACTGGCTATAACTCCAAATATGGATCAAATAGCTGCCAATGGATTTACATTTACTAACGCTTTTGCGCAACAATCACTGTGTGCTCCGAGTCGTACATCACTATTGACTTCCCGAAGACCTGATTCATTGCATCTCTACGATAGTCACTCTTATTGGAGGACAAGTGTTGCAAACTATACAACTTTACCACAATATTTCAAACAATTTGGTTATTTTACCCAAAGTATCGGCAAAGTCTTTCACCCGGGAATTGTCTCTAATCATAGCGACGACTATCCTCTTAGTTGGTCTGCTTTTCCATATCATGGCTCCACTGAAAAGTATAAATTTTCATCAGTTTGTCCTTCAAGTGATGGAAATCTTGGCACAAATATTGTTTGTCCGATAGATGTGACAAAACAACCGGAAAAAACATTACCTGACATTCAATCGACAGACTTTGCCATTAATTTTCTTAAAACTTATAACAATTCACAGAATATTCCTTTTTTCCTGGCAATAGGTTATCATAAGCCACATATTCCCCTTAAATTTCCCAAACAATATTTAAATTTGTATCCAATATTTAACATAAAATTAGCAAAAAATAAATTTATTCCCAAAAATTTCCCAAAAGTTGCTTGGAATCCATGGGTAGACCTTAGGATTAGGGATGATATCAAATATCTCAACATTAGCTTTCCGTTTGGTGTAATTCCTGATTATTACCAAAAATATATACTTCAGTCATATTATGCCTGTGTTTCATATATTGATGATATGATAGGACAAGTTTTGCAACAATTAAATGATAATAAATTAACTAACAATACTATTGTAATACTTTTGGGAGATCACGGGTGGTCTTTAGGTGAACATAATGAATGGTCAAAATATAGTAACTTTGATGTATCACTTAAGGTACCATTGATTATAGCTTTGCCATCAAATAATTTAAAAACACAATATAAACATATAAATCCAATATTAAATACAATCACWTTTAACAAATCTAATAATTTAAGGAAAATAGACTCAATTGTTGAATTAGTTGATGTTTTTCCAACAATTGTTGATTTGTCAGGACTTCCAGTGCCTGATATCTGCACTGAAAATAAAACTGAGTTATTTTGCAGTGAAGGTGTTTCTCTCAGACCTTTACTAATCAAATCACTGATAAAATCAAATAAATCGATAAAATGGAAATCATATGTCTTTAGTCAATATCCTCGTCCATCAACTAAACCACAGTATGATAGCGATCAGCCAAAGCTCAGAGATATTAAAATAATGGGATATTCAATGAGTAATTCATATCTTAGATATACTGAATGGATTGACTTCAATAATAAATTATTTTTGGCCAATTGGTCTCAAGTTTATGCGCGAGAATTGTATTTTGATTCACAACAAAATTATAATATGGCTTATGAACCAAAACTATCAAAATTTATCAAATATTTATCATTTATATTAAAGAAAGGTTGGAGAAGACAATTAAGTTTAAATAAAACTTGATTACCATTAGTGTACAAAATATTTTAATAAAAAATAATATTGTTAAAATAAAATTTAATATTGTTAAACATTTATCGATAGTTAAAATTTTTCATTAATCAATATATTTATACAATTAATAGATTCATTTTTTTAACAATTCTATAAATTAAAAAATACTCTAATTTCTTAAACTTAAACAAATAATTATATTATTTTGATTATTATATCAATATATACTGTATATTGTATGCATCAATACTGTATTGTATTGTATTAATCAAATTATTGTAATTATGATAATAAATAAAATTGATAATTTGTTAAAATATTTAATAAATTCAGATTTTCAATAATTTCAATATAAATTTTATTGTTTTAACAATTAGCGTAATTGAATTAAAACAATGATTTCCATACTTTGGTATAAACAAAACACATAACAATTATAATTTTATTTAAAGTTTTTTATTTTAAAAACATATTTTATTATTTAAATATTTCTTACTTTTTCACAATAATTGTTTCTCAAAAACTTTATCCAATACTTAGATTATAATTTTATTAAATAATCTATAGTTTCTTAAATTTGTTGAGCCATTCAAAAGAATCATCACTTTTGTCTAAAAATTAAATAAATAATTTTGTTGATAATTGTTTAATTAAAAAACTGTTGTAAAACAGTGATACTTATGTATTCAAGTCCCACATAATCATCATATACTTGACTAATCTGTTTGAGGACATAGTTGTGATTGATTTCACCCTCATTTATGGGACAGTCTCTTAATGGCACCTGAGATACCTGGATGTGACCAATGTATGGCTTCAATGCCTGATTAGATAGAAGTCCTAATTAACTTTTGTCGTCATTTAATTAATATATTATAAATACCTCAATATATTGTGTGATATTTCCGTGTAATTTCTGTAAATGATAGGTATCGAGCATTAACTTAACGTTTGGTTGATTGATCTCTTGAACCAATTGTTTGGCCAAATCATATGATCGCAAGTAATAATTGGGTCGTATAGACAACGGTTCGATAACACACATCACACCCAATGGTTGCAAATATCGGGCACCAAATGATATGAGTTCCCGCATCTTAGGACTAATTTATAATATTTATGGTATATTACTGTACAAAAAATACTGTACAATATATTTATAAAAATTAATACATTTCTGAATCATTTTTAATATCTTTAAGCAAAAGATGAACTTTTGAAACATTGAGAGTTTTGACGTAATCAGCAGTTTGTTGAAGAAATAGTTGAAATTGTTGACAATCTGGTGTATTATGACTGTAATGATCCCAAAGAGGAAGACTATTAATCAAAACCCACTTAAGAGTTGGAACTTTTGCCAAGAATTGAGTCCACTCTTCAAGTGACCTCTCGTATGGATTTCCGTCTTCAATGGCATCAAATGTAAAGTCTTTTCTGTTAAATAAATGTCAATTAAATTTATCCATAAAAACACTTAAATTAATACATAGTTTACTAATATTTAATATAAACCTTTTGAGTACTTCTTCATATTTATTGATATGATTGGGTATGTCCTGGAAAACAGTATTGATATTAACACAGAAACGCATCGTCCGTTTGGATGCAAATGTATTTGAAAAGCAAAGACTTTGTAAAATAAATTGACTTTCAATTGATTTTAAACACAATCTAAACATCAATTTGTTTGTATTCACTGTTTTTTAATATTATTTGGCCTTCAATTCATTGACAACTTTATAAAAAAAGTTAGATATTTTAAGTAACAAACAAATTGATTAAAAATAATTATAATATGCAAATAATTATCAATATTTATAAATTATATCAATAAATATATCACATATTCATGATTCACATGATATGATATACATATAAATGTTTAATAAATAAATTAATTAATAGAAATATATGTAATATTATAAACATTTACGATATGTTTTGACATTTTTTGAACATTTTATCTATTGATAAGACATTTATTGCATTAATCATATGATTAGTGAACAAACAGACTATTAGGTTGGTATTGATGATGCAGATGGTGGTCATGTCATGTCATTCAAGTGATTACAATGACAATAATGACCACTATTTACATGAAATATATCATCACATCTGATGACTGATTCAACAGATGAGAGCGTTATTATTGTTATTAGTGTTAATGTTTTGACACAATTTGAATGACTTGTTTGATGATAATTGTCTTCATTTGTTATAATGACAACTGAATGTAAGGTAAAGGGCGTCAAGAGATTGATGTGTATTGAATATCCCGGGTTTGTCCACAACGTGTCCAATGCATTGTCCACTTTAAACGGCATTCAAGCTATTGAACACACGTTCAACACTCCGACCGATAGATTAGAGCTCCGGTTCCGACCCGAAGACAAGTACTCACACCCGACATTCGGTGACAGAGTGGCCACTAATGCACTCTTCATTAAGATTATCAAACGTACCAAAAGTGATGGCACTATTGAATATGAGTCCCGACTTATCGGTATTATTGAAACCACTTATCGGTTCAAGTCTTTAGCAGACTTTCAGTATTTACCAATGATTAAGATTGACGACGAAAATGATGTTAAACCACAATATATGTCAATCATTGATAAACTTATACCAAAAGATCCTTTTAATGTAGAAAAGAAAGACTTTATGAAGCGGTCATTCAATGCAAAGACACCGCTATTTGTTTTGCCAACTCTTTTCTCACGATTTGATTCTTCCATTGATTACTACTTCAGAGATGACCCCAAACATAAAGACGAAACTTTGAGAAAAGAGATTGAAAGACAAGACTCGCTGTCTGTCATTGGAAGAACTAGAAAGTCTCGAAGCGTTTTGGCCACTCTTCTCAATTGGTCAGATCCAGTACCTGAAGCGCCATCAGAACAGGTCCTTAAGCAACTTCAAGCTCTATCTATTAATGATCAGTGGCTGAATCCACTGATGAACTGTTTTGAAGAGCGTCCCATTTGGTCTCGTAATGCACTCGTTGGTCGTCTCGGGTGTGAGAGAGTGGACATTAAATTGCTTTTACCAAAAATTGCTTATTATTTCATAAACGGTCCCTTCCGTTGTTTGTGGATTAAGTTCGGTTACAATCCCAAGACATGCAAAAACTCGAAAATTTATCAAACTTTAGACTTTCGAGTTAAACAAGTCTACGCCAAGAATATGAGTTCCAGTAAAATACGAGCCAAACGTAGTATATATCAATACCAGTTGCCGCTCAAGAAGAAAGATTCCGATAAAATTAAACCCAAAGAGTCTACCATTTCTAGCGATTCATTTATAACCAACACTTATAAAGACAATACCGCTGAACAACATCTCGAATACAGTCAACAAAAAGCGGAAAAACTTTTGTCCAGTTATTTGTTTAGACCGGGACTTATGCCCGCCTATAGACAACTGTTTTACCAATTATGTGACATTCAAGTGCCTGAAGTACAACAACTAATACATTCAAATAATGGCAAAGAACCTGATGTTTGTGATGAAAGAGACGGATGGTGTGTATTGGGAACTGTAGATAAAATTAGAGTTATTATGTCTAATATTATTGACTCAATGCTTGTCAACTCAGCGACAACGGAACAAATGAATGTCAATCACGACAACCAAGAAGTCGATGATATCTATAATACTAATGATTTACAAAATGACGAGTTCTTAGAATACTTTGGATAAATTGAATGATTGAATAATAAAATTTATTAATTATTTCTTTTGACAATTTTTACTATAGTATAAAAAAATTTATAATAATTTAATAAATATTTAGTAATATTGTTGTAAAGTATTGTAAATAAATTGTATTGATTTATATTGTAATCCAATTTTATATTAAAATAAGTTCAATCATTTAAAACTAACCAAAATAAAAGTTATTTCATTTAATGCAACATTTTTTCATTAGTTAAACACATTTTATGTATCCGTATTTATTTATTTTTGATAACTTAATACTGTATTAATAGTATTAATTTAATACTGTAGTATTATAATGAGCTTTTATGTACTATTATTAGTAATAATTTATTACTATTAATAATTTATATTTACAGATATTACACTTTATACTCTACAGTATGTAATATAATAAATATTTTTTGTGGTTATATTTGGCCACAATTTAGTACAACAGAATTATTCACAAAAAAATAATTTACAATTTATAGTCATAAATGCAAATTATTTGTATTAATATGATATAAATTTATATATTGAATAGTTTTACAGTCAATTTCAAAATCAGTATTAAATTAATATTATTAATACTAAATTTTATGAAACAAATTTTGGTTAATTTATTTTTAAATAATTTAATATTCAATTGAATTTTCTGAATATTCATTAATGAATTTTGAAAATTTCCAGTTATTTACAATATTAACTATAATAATATCAATTACTTTATTAATTGCTATTAAATTTAATTTGATTGACAAATCAATTATTATAAATACATTGAATCGTTATTTGTGTTATTAATATTGATTTCAATGTTATTAATAAATCAGATGTTGTTTTGGTTTTAAAAAATATTAAATTACAGCAATAGTTAAGTAATAATTAGTGAGACATTTGAAGACATGCAGACCTATACCAGTGATGTGTCGATGCAATCATATGGTTGTCCTCTGAATGCAATTCAATACATGAATTGCACTTTCAATGCAAACAATTGTATGTCTGAAGAGTTGTCTCATATAAGACCATCACTTGTCGACAATAAGTGTATGACAAGTGTGCCTCTAATCACATCCCAAATGCCATCCTCTCAATGGCTTATAAATCCTTTTTACTCTTCGGCACCACTTATGACGACTAATCCAGAAATGGCATCACTCTTGTCATCAAATTATTTAATAACTAATAGTAATGCGAGTCATTTGCCTTCATTACCATTGAGGACATCATTTGATAATACGAACGATACAAATAAAGAAGTTATTAATTTCAAGAATTGTAGTCTTTATCCGCCAAAAACAAATCCAAAAATCACGACAAGAGAGCGACCTCTCGGCTGTCGGACTGTATTTGTCGGTGGATTACCAGAAAATATTACTGAAGATATTATTAAAGAAATATTTAATCAAAATTGTGGTGAAATTTGTGCCATAAGAATAAGTAAGAAAAACTTTTGTCACATTAGGTTTGAAAGCGAAAATTCAGTTGATTTGGCCATTGGTTTATCGGGATATAGACTAAAAATTAAGGATTTGGATGATGTGGCCAACACTGGAAGACTGCACGTGGACTTCGCTCAGGCCAGGGATGATCTGTACGAATGGGAATGCAAACAGAGATCTCTTCAACGAGAAATGAGACACAGAGAACAACTGGAATATAACCGGTTCTGTCCTCCCAGTCCTCCAAGTGTTGACCACTATAGCGATCACGAAGCCATTGAACTAATTGATAAATTAAAAAACGATCAAAGCTTTACTCAAGCGGTTCACGTACTGATCAATTGGTTAGAGAGAGGAGAGTGTCAGAAACGAAATTGTAGTCAATTTTATACAATGATTCAAACAACTAATAATCACATCAAAAGACTTCAAAATGAAAGAAATGTCGCTGAAAATGATTGGTTAACCGCTCGACAGTCATATCACTCAACAAATCAATCAATTTTATTGCAATGTATGTATTAATAGATATTATAATACAGTAGTTATATGTATTTAACAATTAATTTATTATTATTACAACAGTTAATCAAATCGAGAAAATATTTGAAGCAGCGATGAGACAGAAAGCGTGGGATCACTTCACGAAAGCCCAACGCAAACATATCGACGCCTGGTTTAGACAAACTAAGGTTTAGATTAAATGAGTATTTCTTTAATATTAATATTAAGATTTTGATTTTTTTTGATTTGGTTTTCATCTGATAGGAAATGAAGAATCAACAAATTGAAGACGTAGTCAATAAACGAGAAGAAGACGAAATGGATTTAAGTGATGGAGACGATGATGCAAATGAAATAAATAAAGTTATTACTCAAACAAATGTTGTCCGCAATACAAGCACTTCTACATCTGAAATGAATCTTAGAGACGAAAACGATGTACTTCTTTGTCAGATCGAGTCATTCAGAAATGAGGCCGTCTTTGTCCGCGAGGAAAGTCGTCAAGAAAAAGAGTATTTGGAGAAACAGTTGATTGTCTTAAAACAAACACTTCAAGGAATGCAACACCAGTTGATTGCACTGACAAAACAAAAATCAGGACAACAATCACTATTACAAGAGACACATAAAAATACAAATGATTATAACAATAAAGATAACATTCATAATAGTGATAACAGAGCTCTTTTAATAAGTTTAATATCAATATACTTGAATATTCATCCATTTGGTACTAACAGTGAAGACATCACTACATATCTGTCACAACAAAGTTATATTCGGGACTCGACTCTCCTGTCGACCACTTTTATCGACTCATTTCTTTTACAATATCCTCAACTTTTTACTCAATTAGAGTCCGATTCTAATGGCAAAAAACTTTGGAGGTTTTGTGCTTTTCAGACACAATTGTTTTAGATTTTAAGTTTGTTTTTAAGTATAAATTATAAAAGATTGTTATTAAATGAAATTTTCTCATTTATCGCTATCAAGTATTTGTGTTACAAATATAATCTCACTGCCAATCAATTGATAAAATGCTATAGTTGTGTGAATTTTGTTATTGTTATAATAAATTATACATTAAATGCAGAATTGAAACATTTAAATAAGTTAATTAATAGGATTATTAAAGTGTTATTACTAGTGCATCAAGAAATATTTATTTAAAAATTGAAAATATTCAATAAAATATTTACTAAAAACTACCAAAATATTTACTTAAATAATTATTTTTAAATAGTCATTTATTAGTAAAAAATATATATTTAATCAATTTGTAATTTATTTTAATCTCTATTTAAATTACAATTATTAATAATGCATAACAGTATTACAAATTAATATCATATTTTTATTAAGAAAAGATAAAAAATACACTTAATTTTGAAAATACAAATTTTTAGGTATTAAATAAATAATTATTAATAGAGCAAATTATATGATGAAATTAAATGATAAAAATAATAATAATGTTATTATTAGTAATATATAAATAGTTAAAATATTACGGTAATTAAAAGATTATTATTTTCTTTATATAAAATTTCATTTGAAACTAATGTTAGAAAACATAAAAGTAACGCTAAAACAAAAAGTTAGCCAAATGTTTAATGTATTTTTTGTTATAAAATGTTTGTGTAATCATTAATTTCTATACTACATATGATTACAGTATAATTATATAAAGTTATTAACCAAGAGTTAAATATTATATTAATATATAAGATTGATATTGAATTCCTATAGTCTATATTTAATATATAATTTTATATATAAATAATAATTAGTAAATTTATATAATTATAATCAGAAATGGATTTATTAATAGTTTTAAAGTTTAATTGATCTCAAAATAATTGGCACTTGGTAAAAAATTATTTTATTAAAACTGAAAATGTGTAAACCGTTAAAAATCAAAATTATTTTTTAATATTTTAAAATATAAGTGTTACTATTTTTAAAATTTTTACAATAAATGCACTTCATATTCATGAACTCATGAAAGGAGTACTTATTTGAATTCTTTATGTCCGTCTGTCACCATTTATTCGAATTTTGATTTCAGATTTGAATAAAGCATCAAAAATATAATATAGGTTATTAGCTACATGACTAAAATTAAGTTTATTTTGTCATAGTATCATTTAATACCCTACATAACTAAAGTTGAGTTTATTTTATCACAATGTTATTTAATACCGAAATTTATTAAAGTAAATTATTATTTAATATTTAATTTGGATAAGGAGTTCGTATGGAAATGCTTTCTAGCATTCTCAACTGGTTTATTAATGTTATAAACATAAGTTATATAGTATAATATTAGTTTGAATAATAATAATTTATCAATAAAAACAAGTTTTATAAAAATTTATTAGTTAGACAAATAAAAATTTAAAATAAATTTTTCCTTAAAAAATCCAAAAATATTTTATTTTGTTATTTTATTGAGACCCCCCCCCCATATAAAATTTAGACCAAATATTATCATTTTAGACTACTCAACAAATTGAATCTCATATAGAATTGATATAAATTATATTAATATTTTTTATAATCTACTCTAATATTTTTATAAACTATATTTTAATAAATAAAATTATAGGTAATGTCGGTCTAATAATTTATACACTGAATACTCATTTCTATTATTAAATAAGTTAATCTAAGTATAAAGTATATAAAAACTAATTCAATCCAAATACTCATTGATTTTAACGTAAATATTAATTATTTAATAACAAACTTAATTAAATTAAAGCTAATAAATCTTTTCTTTTTTTTAATTGAAAAATGTTGAAATACTTTTAATAAAATGGTCAAACTTATTATTATATTGTATGTATAATTTATAAATAAATATTTCAAAAATATTTCGACAATCACTTTAAAAATTTCAAAAATGAAGGACATATTAATAGATATGAATTCAATAAACTATTGAATACTATTTATATTTGCATTGATTTCAGGTTTACTAAAATATTTTTGCAGATTCTCTACGTTTTGATAAGCGTTGAGTCAAACAGTTTTAATAAAAAGTAATTTTATTAGTTTTATGTTTTATATATAAGTATTCAATAATAAAGAGAATTAAATAAAATTATGGATAACTTAACTAAAGTTCTTCAAGATTTTCAAATCAATGGTTACGCTATTATTGAGGATTTCTTGTCAAACAAAGAAGTGGAAACATTGAAGAGTGAATGCAAAACATTGATTGATAAGGGATTAGATTTACGGGAAGACCAGACTATCTTCACGACTGGTGATAGTCAACAAACAAACGACTATTTTATGAACTCTGGCGACAAAATTCGCTATTTTTACGAAAGTCATGCCTTTAATGATAGGGGAGAGTTGGTTGTAGACAAGTACTCGTGTCTTAATAAGATTGGACACGCATTGCATTGGATGAGCCAACCATTTAAAGAGATCACATTCAGTGACAAAGTTAAACAATTAGTTAAACAAATTGGTTTTGTTGAGCCAGTGGTCGTCCAGAGTATGTATATATTTAAAAACCCGGGCATCGGTGGTGAAGTAATGCCACATCAGGACGCAACATATCTGCACGCAATACCTGATCCTAAAGTAATTGGTCTTTGGTTTGCTTTAGAAGATGCAACGGTATGTCATCTTAAATGGTTTACTGTATATTATATACTGCATTACAAAAGTGATGTTTTTATAACCAATATCTGATTAGACAGAAAATGGTTGTTTGGAGTTCATCCCCGGTTCACATCATGAAGGACTACATACTCAATGGATTCGTACGACTGATCAAAATGGATCAACTGTTATGAAGTTAACTAAAGAGTGCAATCAATTTAAAGACAGACAGTTTGTGAGCGCACCCGTCAAGAAAGGATCAGCAGTTGTTATCAATGGTTTTGTCATTCATAAGAGTGCAATCAATCGGTCAACTAATCCAAGACCTATCTATACTTTCCACATATTTGAACAAAAGGATAGAGTTTGGGATTCATTCAATTGGTTGCAACCGACACACGATATGCCCTTTCCTTCTCTATATAAAAATTAATTTCTATTTTTAAATATCTAATTATTAATAATAAATCAATGTTTTTAAAGCACTGTTAACAATATAGATAACAATAAATGATAATGGTCATTTATGATTTAATTTATCATAAATTTCCATTTATAACATTAACTTTAAATATTATACAGTATATAAAATTAGATTTATATGATATATTCGACAGAATTTTTAATTAATAGTTATATTAATTGATTGATAATCATTAAGCAATTGTTTAAACAATTATATTGTCATAGATTTAAAATACAGTATAAATATTTAAATATCTATAATTTAAATATACATTTAAAAGGTATGACATATAGTGACATATAGTGGCATACAGTATGCCATATACCTTCAAACGTTATTTGACAACTACAGTATAACATAATTATAATAACAAATATTTATTTATATATTTTATATAATATTATTAAATAATTATTTATAAAGTTCAAAATGTTGTCAATTATTTTCAATATGCATTCGGATTCTTATTTTTATATCTTTTCTGCAATTTTCAAGCAAATGATTGCATTAACGGACATTGTGTCCAATCAAGTAATATGTCTACAATTGAGTTTCTAAAGTCTGAAACCAGTTATAATGATTTAAACTCATTTTTAAAAGTCCCATATTTACGGTTAGAAATAAAACAAAAATAAAGTACGCTTTTAAAAAACAATAAATAATTTATTAATTAAATACAATTAAATACATATATTTTCATCACTTTCTACAACATTATTATTATTATAATTACAATTAATTTCTTTAAAATAAGACAAATAAAATTTTTGGTTATCTATATCTAAATATTTTAATAAACTTAAAATATCTTTATATTTTTCTTTAGTAATACCTACATTATCATTTATTAAACTTGTGTCAAAATTTGATATTTTAATATCTAATAAAGTGGATTTAATTAAATTAATTTTAACAACATTTTGATCGTAATAATTATCATATAAAAAAATATCACCATTAGGATTGAACAAAAATTTTACATAATTTGAAATTTGAATTTTTGTTCTTTTTTCGGTAAAAAAATTATTCAAAAAATTATTAAAATTATAAACTTCTGATTCTATTGTATTAAATTTGCATTCTTTAATTAATTGAATATATTGGTTAGGATTTTGAATAATTTTATTTTTACAATTTTTACTTATAATACCAAAATTTCTATCACATGTACAAAATGTATGACCTTTTACCTTTTACCTATATGTGTTAACTTAATATTTAATTTAATTGAAATATAAGAACAAAATTTAATCATGCACCAATTTTTATTTTGTGCACAAGTATTATCAGACATAAATATAATTTCTTTATTTTTTAAAACTTCATTATTTATAAAAATTTAATACTCTATATAAATTAGAAATAATACTATTAGCGTTTTTTGGATATTTACCTTCAATATTATAAAAAATAAAAGAATCATAATTATAAACATGAATATTTAATATAAAAAACCATAATAATCGTTTATAAAAAACATCTGATATTGTTAAATAAGGTAAAGGTTTATTTTGACCATAGTCAAATTCAATAACTAAATATTTATTATCATTTATATAACTATTTTTTAAATTTTTATGTGTTAATATTGCTAATTTATGATTATTATATTCTAAATCTGTTATTAAACTATTATTATTTACTTTATTATTATATTCAAAACAAAAATCACATTGATCAGATTTAGGTTTTTTAAATTGAATATTATAATTAGCTTTAAAAAAATTACTAAATAACATTAAACTAATTTTACATTGATTTTTATCTTTAACATAATTAATATAAAGTTTATATAATTTAGTTAAATTTAAATCATTATTATAAAAATATAATTTATTACTTTTTGTATAATGAGAAGGTAATGTAGGAAATAATTTAATAAAATCATTAAATATAATTTTATCAATTTTAGTTTTTTTAATATTATAACCTCTTAAATCTATTAAATTAATATTTTTGTTTATTTTATTTTGAATTTTTTGAATTCTAGATTTATCTATTTTTAATAAAAGTGTTATAAATTTTAAACAAACTTTAACCTCATAATTGTCTTGATTTTTAATTGCATAGTTCCATATATTATTTCTTTTTGAATCTTGATTATTGTTAACTTTTTTTAACATTTCTTTTAACATATAATCTTGTTTTTCATGATTCATTAAATTTAAAATTATCTCATTTTGTTGTATTTCATTTACTTTTTGATAACATTTCAATCTTTTGCAACACATTTCAATTTTTGTAAACTCTTTCTTAATAATTTTTTACCATTAGGTGATATATATTCATTTCCCTGTATTTAATAAAAATATAATTTAATTTGACATAGTATAACATAAATTAACATAATTTAACATAAATTAACATAAATTAACATAATTTAACATAAATTAACATAATTTAACATAAATTAACATAAATTAACATAAATTAACATAATTTAACATAAATTAACATAATTTAACATAAATTAACATAATTTAACATAAATTAACATAATTTAACATAAATTAACATAATTTAACATATATTAACATAATTTACCATATATTAACATAATTTACCATAAATTAACATAAATTAACTTAAATTAACATAATTTAACATAAATTAACATAAATTAACATAATTTAACATAATTTAACATAAATTAACATAATTTAACATAATTTAATACAATTTAATTTAATAATATAATTACCGATTGTCTTTTGAGTTTATTTTCTACTTTTTTTCGACAAATTGGATAGCTTTTCTTATTTTTCGATTTACTTTTTTCTTGTTTTTTGTCTTTAATTAAATCTATTAATTTTTCTCTGTTTGTAATATCATTAAAATATTTAATATTATTTACATTAAACGATGCATTCATTGCATATAAAAACACAATATACAAATATTTAATCATTTTAATAATAATAAATAATCACAAATAAATAAATCGCAAATTTAATTTAGTTTAAAAATATTATCAATTAATTTGTATATTAATAAATTAAAAATAATATATAAAGTTTTGAATAAAAATAATAGTTAAAATATTTCAAATAAAATGATAGATTAAGAAAGTTTTACATTTTTTTAAGGATTAGAACTATTTTTGATAAGAGTCATGAGTTTATAACTGGTTTCAGACTTTAGAAACTCAATTGTGGTCATAACTTAACTAAAAATTTATTAATGGTTACACTTTTGTCGACAATCGACTAAAGAATTTACATAAAATGTATTTTAAAAATTATATTAAACTGTATTATATATTTAGATACAAGTGTATCCATAGTATATTTCAGTGCATTTATATACAGAGAACATTTCGATTTATGCAGTATAGGAATGGATACAATAAAACCTAACTACTAATACAATAATATATAAATTAATTAATTAACTTAATTCTTTTAAAAATTTAAGTTATTATTATACCATATAATAATTAAATATTAATGTATCTTAAAAATATAATTTTCTAATAATTTTATGATATTAAAATTTAACAAAAAATTTACGGTTGATGTAACGTTATCAGGAAATTTAAAGTAGCTTTATTATTGATAATTTATAATCATTCTGCCATATTATTAATACTTAATACATTCACAATTTAAATATTTAAAAATAAAATATAGGAAATATTAATTTTATGTTATTTGTTTAGAAATCAAATTTCTAAATGTTATATTTTAATTCTAACAAATATTAAATTTAAATTTGACTGAAAAATGTGATCTAATTATTCAAAACATTTTAATTTTTATTTATAACGTAATGTATAAAGGCTTTAGTTAATAAATTCAATTTTATTTTATTAATTCCTTAATTTTAATTTTATTGTAATTAATTTAAATTTTTTGATTAGTATAGTTTAAACTTATTTTTAATTAGTTTTAGTTCAATTTTGTTAATAAATTATTTATAAATAGTTTTATATAACAGTATTTTTTAATTTTTGAAGTTTAACTAAACTATTAATATTAATAAACTATAAAATTATTACTTTATATATTAATAACAAATAATATTAAACTATAATTTATCTAATTATTTTTATTTTTTAATTTTATTAAAGGGGCGGTTAAAAAATTGAGTTGATAGAATTCAAGCAATTTGGTAATTATTAATATTTAGTTATTTATATTAGTTGTTTTTATTTCCTGATAACGATACACTAACCTTATAAATTAATTATTAATTATATTTAGTTAGTTATATTTAGTTGTTTTTATTTCCTGATAACGATACACTAACCTTATAAATTAATTATTAATTATATTTAGTTAGTTATATTTAGTTGGGTTTTTATTTCCTGATAACCATACACAACCTTATGAATTAATTAGTAATTATATTTATTATTATTTTTAAAGTTTGTGTTATTTCAGTAAGTAATCTTTTTAATTAATATTATTATAGCTTCAGTTTATTTTAGATTTAATTTGAAAATAATATTTTATTTAATACTTGATTATTTGTTTATTTTAATTAACTTTTAGTGGATATCATGTAAGCATAGTATAAGCAGTGCTTTCCTATACTGCACAAATCGAAATGTTCTCTGTATAATAGCTGTCAAATAACGTTTGAAGGAATCGGTACTATATTATGTCTATGAAATACATGACATGTTTTCCACACATTTGTTATTTTAATAAATTTAAAATACATTTGTTTTGTTAAATACTAAATAAAATTCATAATTTGATGAATTGATGTAATAATGGATTCAAATGATGACAAATCAATGGATATGCAATTGATATCAAAATTGTTTTTCAGTAAACAACCCATTAATATCATAACTGATTATTTGGTAAATTTTGACATTAATTTCACTTTTAATATCACATGAAATGTCATACAATTTATATGATTTCTTTGTAATAGAGAGATCACATACAAGAGTTATCATCTGATGAAACTCAAGAACAGCTATTAAATGCAACAATTGGACACAAATTGATGAATAAATATCCCCTTTCACTCAAATACAGACAATTGTTTGCTAAAAAAGTGATACAACTCTTGGAAAGTGAAGACTTTACTATTTGTGATACTTTTTACATATTAAATGGTCATCTCTTGAGTCAATCGATGGACACAATTAAAAACAATTATAATTTTAATTACTTAAATTATGTCCTGACTAGCGGTCAAATTGTTAGTTTACAAGAGTCTAATAATTTGGTTATCGACGGCACCACTGGACTCACCACTTGGTCTGCGGCTAAACATTTGGCATATTTTATTGAATGTAATCCACATATAGTTAAAAATAAAAATATCGTTGAATTGGGATCAGGTGTTGGTATGACTGGCATTTGCGTATTGAAGACCTGTTATCCACATTCATACACATTCAGTGATCACCACCCGTTGGTCTTACAAGTGCTTCAAAATAACATCGATATTAATAATTGTGGTCAAAATTGGCGTATTTCTAATATTGATTGGTTTGATCCCTACTCTGTAGACAACTATCTCAATGCCAACGATCCCGATATCATTATTGCATCTGATGTGACATACGATCCACAAGTTATCGGATATTTATGCGATGTTTTAAATAAGTTATTAAAAAGTTGTCATAAAAGACGAGTTTGTTATATATGTTATTCCCATAGAACTGATGATTCTATTAATTATTTCTATAGTCTTATTGTTGATAAATATAAACTAAATATTAATGAAATTAATTTCAATTCTCAAGAAAATGATATAAAATCATTTTGTTTTAATTCACTTAATGTAAAATCATATATATTTAAAATATCTTATAATTAATTTATTTCAATTTATTAATTACTAACCATTATATAAATATTGTAGAATAAAATAAGTTTGTGACCAAAATTATAAACTCAAATATTTATCACATTTATAAAATAAACATTTGTCATCAATATTACAGTATTATTCATCAATATTTAATGACTTATGATAATTAAAAATTTTACATAAATCTCAACTATTTTATGTACTTAATATTTGTAATAAATGACAAAATTTTAATAATTAAAAAAATTAATTATACTGTACCTACAAATTAAGTACATTATATTTCTACAGTATATATTTCACATGCTTAGCCCATTTAAATAAAAAAATTCAAAAATATTTTACACATTGTATAGAAGTAATTAATATAGATATTAAAAAGAAACTAGATAATTTATAATGGTATATATAAATGTGTAAATCATTTMTTTAAGCGCAAATATTTTTTATATTTTAATAAAATTAATTATATGATAAATAATATAAAATTATTAAATCATATTTAATGTACATTATCTTAAAACTCTAGTTTTTAAATGTTAAATGTTATAAATAAATCTCAAGCTTATCACAAAATTATCGATATATTATCAAAATAATAAAATATTTACATTTAATGATTAGACTAATTTGAACACTTTTTAGCATTAGTCTCCATATTAATAATTAAATTGCATTACTTTTAATTATTTCCATTGAAGATGAAGTATTTGTTAATAATTTTGTTGTCACTTATAATAAGTAGTGGTATTACAAGTTGTGATCCATTGTTTTTTCGTGGCCGACCTTTCAATAAGCATGGGATGATCGGCAGTCCTGTATCTCAATTAGATTTATCTTTAAGACATGCTGTCCAACCATCAGAGCAATGGTACGACCAAAAGCTTAATCACTTCGATCCGGTTGACACAAGAACCTGGAAACAGGTATTTAGTAATAAATAAAAACTATTAATTAATTTAATTATATATTTTAAAAAAATAACTTAAAAATAATTTTAGAGATATTATGTTAGCGACACTTTTTATAAAAGAGGTGGACCAGTATTTCTCCAATTAGGTGGTGAGGGCACAGCTGATCCCATTTGGTTAGTCGAGGGACAGATTGCCACTAATTATGCCAAAAAATTCAATGCATTATCAGTTCTCTTAGAGCATAGATATTATGGAAAGTCATGGCCCACACCGTAAGTATTATCTTTGAAATGTTTTTCTATAAAACAAATTATAACTATTAATAATATTTAGAGATATGTCTGTCGATAATCTGCGATATCTGACGAGTCAACAGTCACTTCAAGACAGCGCTTCTTTCGTTGAATATCTAACAGAAAAGTTATCATTAAATGGCAGCAAATGGATTGTTTTTGGCGGTTCCTATTCGGGTTCATTGGCGGCGTGGATGAGAGCTAAATATCCACATTTAGTGGACGGGGCCATAGCATCCAGTGCTCCCATTCAAGCTGTCGTTAATTTCAAAGAATATTTAGGAGTTGTCAGCAAATCATTGGGCGATAAATGCGATGAAGCCATCAGAGAAGCAACTAATCAATTGGCTGAAGAACTTAAGAGACCAATGGGTTGGAGAACTATTGAGAAACAATTCAAACTATGCGATACTCTCAATGGCACTGTTGTTAATGATGTCTATAATCTTATGCAAACTCTTGCTTCAAATGTCGAAGGAGTAGTTCAATACAATAAAGACAATCGAGATTTTGAGGTTAATATAATACAGTATTAGTTATTAAAATAATTATAAATTGACCATCATCATTTACTTGAAAGGGTGCCAGAGCTACAAACATCACCATTGATGTCATCTGTGACACAATGACAGACATATCAAATCCAATAACATTAGATAAATATATCAAAGTTAATGATATAATTCTTGAAGCTTATGACCAAAAATGTCTTGATTTTAAATACAATAAATTTATTAAACAAATGCAATCAATTGACTGGAAATCAAGTGCTGCTGAAGGGGGTATTATCTGATTTTAAATACCGGTAAATATCTTTATATTCAACTAATTCAAACTTAAATCAATAGGAAGACAATGGACTTATCAAACATGTGTTGAATTTGGATTTTATCAGTCATCTGATCTAAAAACACAACCGTTTGGTCCATATTTCCCAATAGACTTCTTCACCCAACAGTGCACTGATATATTTGGTGACAAATATAACTTGGATTTAATTGAGAAGTCAGTTGACTTCACAAACAACTTTTATGGCGGTTTTGGTCTTAAAGTTCGCAAAGTATTGTTTCCCAACGGATCTATAGACCCGTGGCATGCATTGGGGGTCACCACTGATCTCAATCCAGAAGCTAAGGCTCTAATGATCAACGGAACCGCTCATTGCGCTGATATGTATCCCAATTCAGATAACGACACCATTGAGTTAACTAATGCCCGAAAAATTATTGTCAACACTTTACACCAGTTTCTCAATAATCATAATTATAATAATTATTATGAAGTAACCAATCAAATCATTTTCTAAATTATTTTTAATAATTTACTTTTCTATGATTTGAAAAAATATTTGTTATATAACTTATTAGTTAATACTGTAATTTGAATATTTCAATCAATACAATATATTCAAAATATTAATTAATAACTTATTGATATATAATTGCAATAAATATTTATTCCACTAATGAATAAATTTAATAATTTCCGGTAATTACTGGTAATAATAATAATTTAGAAAATGTATCGATTGTTTTACAATATAATTGTAAATTTGAAAATTTTTAAAATCATTATTTCATAATAAATATTTTGATAAACTTTACTTAATTACTATGATATACAAGTCTATACAATAATCTACATTATACTGTATTTTATAAAATAACTAATTATTGAGTTTAATAAATAGCTATCAATTAAAATTTATAACATAATAGAGTAAAAACAATTTTAAATTTCCAAATGTATTATAAATTTACTATATTGTATAAAACATTAATGAGTTTATAATTGATTATTATATTGAATGCACTATTGATTTAAATGACATTTAAATATATAGTTAATACATGTATTGTACTGAATATATGTTGTAAAGTATTGACCAAATGATGTATTACTGAGTTATGCAAATGTAATGACAATGTAATGTAAGTACAAATCGATTCAATGTATTGTTTATATTATTGACTGAATTTGGCGCCAATTGTTAGCATTGAATGAATCGTCAAAACAGTGATAGCTTTGCATTGCTTTACAATTGATTGATATTTCAATGAATTGTGTTTCAACTGATCACTTGTTTTCGTCATTTGTTTGCATCGTTTCAATACATTTGACACTTAAGTCACACTTAAGACATGAGTTGCCATCAATTGGTAACATAAGTAGAGATTAACACATTGGATGTGACCATGAATTCAGACAATTGTGTGCCAAACGTATCGGTGATTCAGTTGCCATCACTGGTCTATAGATTGTGTGCCAAACATTTGGGTGAAGACAGCAAAGGTTTGATCAATTGATTTGTTTATAGTTTTGTTAAATATTTTGTTGATATATATATATATATAACAGAAGATGTGTCCAAATACTGTATGCTTTCGTTTCAATTACTCGAAGCACCGAAAGCACCGTTAGATGAATGCAATGAGTTTTATGTGATTCAGAAAATCAAACAAAAACGTATGTATTGTCAAAATGGTTACAATTTTGATGACTTCTCCAATGCATTGATTGTCCGCTTCTTTAGTTTCGCGTGAATTCCGCGACGCAGAGAGTCTTAGAGTTGAAGAGTTATATCACAAACTGAAGCGAAGTTCGCACTTATGTCGAAATCCAATGGCTTTACTCGAGTTTTTGTATCACATGTCCGGTACTACTGTTGAAGACTTGAGCGGTGATTCACTTCCTTCGTTGACAACCAATGGATTAGATCCGTTGACAATACAACCGACGACATCACTTTCTCCGAGCTCTCCATTGCATTCAAATGGTGCCATAAATGGTGGACATATATTTCATGACATCGCGAAACTATTGCCAACAGACGATTCCACGACTATTAATCATTTTATGAGTTCACCCAATCGGCAAATGATGACAAAGAAAAGGCCGCATACAATACATTTTGATGCCAACAACTCAAAAGTCATTGTCACTGAACAAGAGTTAATACGCGAAATATTATTTTCATTTCAAGGACTCAATGGAAAGATAATCCAAACGGACACTTCCAAAGACGGAAAGTTTGTAATAAACAGTCAATTTTATATACCGGCGTCACAGCAAAGATTGGCGTTACGTCTAACTCATATGGGATGGCTGTTCAATAAAATACAAAAGTTCTGCAATTATATATCAAAAGAGAAGTCAAAAGGACATGTGTGTCAATCATTTGCTTCTGCACTTCAGGACGAGATACTTGAATATTATCGTTTGATTACTGTAATTGAAGAGCAAATGCATGACAGACGATCCGATAACAATCCTCGCGTTACTTTACATCGACTTCAAGTATGGAGTTATGACTCTTTCTTCAGACTCAAAGTGTTGGCCGCATTGGTTGAACAATGCAAACATAAGACCGGCGGTGCTTTGGCCAGTGTTGTCTACCACGTTATGAGACACGGAGACCCAAACATCAGAGCTTGTTTAACACGAATTCTCAATCAAGTAGTGCTTCCAATTAGACGTATGTTAAGCCAATGGATATTTCACGGAGAATTAGAAGATTATTATAAAGAGTTCTTTATTGCAACCAATCGGTTGGGTGTTACTCATGCATCACCACTCAGTTCTGCCTTTTGGCACGAAAGGTATGTCATAGTTAAGCATCATTTACCCGGATTTATAAGCAAATCACAGGCCGATAAAATTGTTTCGACCGGAAAAGCTATATATCTGTTACATCAGGTCTGTCGTAATGAAGTGTCAGTTCATATTCCCGGATACTCTCAGATGAAAGAGTCATTTGAAAGCTCTAATTTGGAGTCACTTTTTAACCGAAAACGACTTAAAAATGAAGACATTAACGACTTTCATATACTTTTAGAAACGGCTTATAAAGAGATAAGTCGGACGTCGCTTAAAATTCTCAATGAAAACTATAGACTTCAGGACCACTTTAGAGGTCTGAGACAATACATGCTTTTAGGTCAGGGAGACTTTGTTAGACATCTTATGGATGTTCTATCACCACATCTTAATAAACCGGCAAATAAGTTGGCCAGACATGCAATTGTACAGCTCCTGGAAAGTGCCATTAGAGCGACAAACGCTCAGTTCGATGATCCAGAAATTGTTAACCGAATTGATATATTGCTGTCAAACGAGTCAACCATCAATGACTTGGGTTGGGATGTATTTGCACTCACCTATAGAATTGATGGTCCAATAAGTACTATATTTACAAATGAAAGCCAAAAAGCATATCCAAAGCTGTTCCGACATCTCTGGAGATCTAAAAGAATGGAATATATATTGACTTCAATTTGGAAAAATTTGGTCTCTTATATGAATTTACAGAAAGGTATTCCTCGACTTAAATTTGCTTTCAATTCAATTCATATGCTTTTGGCTGAAATGATTCACTTTATTCGCCAAATGGAGTATTATTTGACATTTGATGTGATAGAGTGTGAGTGGACTCATCTCCAGTTACAACTCGAGTCTGTGCCAGACGTTGATTGTCTAATCAGAGCTCACTGTTGTTTCTTAGGACAAGTCATGCACAGAGCTCTTCTCGATACAGAAGCTGAAGATATATATTTGCAATACAGAGCTATTTGTGATTATATCCTTGAATTTCAAACACATGTCAACTACTTTTTGAAAGCAATTGACTCTGAAATAAGTGCCAGAAATAAGTATGAAAGCAATCAAGAAATGTGTGCTAAAGTTGGCGATTGGGGTATTGTTGACGTCGAAGACAAGGATGAAGAGAAACGTAGAGATCAGTTTGAAATGGACACCATTCCCAAAACGGTTGCCTGGATGAACTATGTCACTGATAACTATAGAGATAACGTTCACAAATTTCTTGTTATGTTAGCCGATCATCCGGATCGGGAACTCCAAGAATTAAGTGCAAGACTTGATTTTAATGGACATTATCGCCGTAGAGATAAACGTCTTGAAACATCTTTCACATTTGCATCACATAAACAAAGATTATCCATCGATACGACATCCAAATCACAATAAACACCAATTATCATAATTTTTGATTGCATCCACTTTTACTATACAAACATTATTATTAGTACAGTATATAAAATATATCTTTAATTTAAACATTTTTCATCAGAAAATGTATTTTTATATTAACTTTTAAAAATCTAATTAAACTAATATTAACACTATTTAACAATTGTTTGTTTGTTGATTGAGATTTTGTTTAATTTTTAAAATTAAATCCAATAATAAATATAGAAATTTAGTCTATTTCTACATAATATCTTCAGTGTAATTAATTATCATTGTTTTATAAATTGAATTTTGATAATCACTCCGATTATAAAAATATAGAAACAATTCTAAAACTTCTTCAGGCATTAAATCTCCCAAATATTTAAAAACAGGAATTCCTTTTCTTATGAGATCCGGACCACAGTTTGGGAACCAATTTCTATGTTTGATATAAAATGACAATTAAATTAAAATAATAAAATGTTTATATATTTAAATATGTACTCTAAGAAAGGTATTATCCATTGTTTTCGTTTCATAAAAGTTTGTGTCACGAAATAGAAATAGTCTTTCAATTTTTGTTCGTCAAAGTCCTCCAAATAGATCTTTGGTGTCAAACGAATCAATTTGGCGTTTCCTTCAATTATCTAACAAAACATTTAATTAGTTATATTCAATACAAACAAACGTTAACTAACTTTAGGTTTCTTTAAATTATTATTGCCATATAAGACAAATTGATTGTATGGAACTGTTTCGAGATCATCGATGTCGAAGAGTGTGCTAAATATGACACTAATTGCCCGATAATTTATATAATTATCAACGGGTTTTGCAGTCATATATTTTAACTCTTTTTCGGAGACAATGAGATAGAATTGAGTTCTTCCGAAGTGAAAGAATAAGTCTCTGCAAAGTAGTCTTCGGATAATAAAACGCGTAAAAAGTTTTGAGTAAATCGGCGATAAAATGGCCACAAATTTAATTGGCGGAGGACTCGACCACTTATGGACTTCAATATCCGAAAACCAGTTATTGATTTCAGAATCAAAACTTTGATTAATATTTTTTAAATTAATGATTTGTTTGTTAAATATTGTCAAACTGTTTGGATATTTTTGTTGTAATTTCTGAAAATCAAAATAAATATATAATAAAATCAAAGTATTTTAATTTAATTCAAAAGACTTGCCTTTAATTTGTTCAAAAAGTTGAGTTCGTCTTCAAAAACGCGGACCGAATGGGCGCCGCCTTTGAGCAGTTCTCGCGTCAGATATGTCTCGCCCGGACTCGACTCAAATATGACCGACGGGTCGGCCGATAGATCATCGCTAATATGTTTGACTACCAATCGAGATGTTTGACTATCTTTGCAATACATGTATTGATTGGGAGTTTTCTTCGGTATCTTTAACCCCGACTTTTGTCGAGGCGTTTCAGCTATAGTTTGGTTCAGTCGTCGACTAAGAAGTGAAGTAATGGTTGAATGTGATGGTCGATGAAGACATCTTTGACACACATTTGTTGTCATTGATAGCATTGATAGCATTGATGACATTTTATAGCAAACATTAATTATATAAAAGCAAACATTTATTTATTAAATGACCCCACTTCTATTAAAATGCCTACAGTTTTTTGCCTACAAATTTGCACTATTTATTATACAGTGCTATAACTCCACCCATTTTACACACAAAAAAAGTTAATGTAAATAATAGTACTTAAAGGTCTATATTTATTTGCCTAAAAATTGAGCGAAATTTTATTTATTTTAATTATTAATTTATTTTTATTATTATAATATATAGTTATATACCGATTCCCACAATTATAGTTACAAAAATACAGTAAAACATTTTTATAAGTTTAAAAAATTATAAATATTTTATTTAAATATTTTTTTTACTTATAATAATTTAAAATGTTCAAAATGCTTACTATTATTAATAATCACAAAAACAGATAATAACAATCTATTGATTCAATACAATGGTTGGTAGAGCTCTTTAAGGAATTTAAAAATCCTGAATAGTGATGGAAAATTAGACCACATGAGTCTCCCCATACCACACACATAACTATCTGACGTCAGAAATTCGATATATTCGACTTTAGTCGAATATTTTTTGACGTTAGTTATGAATATGATATTTTCTATGTATTTTTCAATACTAATTATCAATACAAAAAATAATTTTTATTGTGTAGAATAGTTTTCGATATATTCGACTTTAAATTCCTAAATAAATGTGTTAAAATGTAAATTATTTGTTTTACTATAAATAAAAGATATTTTTAAAATTTAATATTTATAAATAAAAAAACATTTAAAAATTTAACATTCTAAAATTATTTTATAACAAAATATTTTATTTTAATTTAAAGTCGAATATATCGAAATCTATTCTACATAATGAAAATTAGTTTTTGTATTGATAATTAGTATTAAAAAATATATAGAAAATATCATATTCATAAATAACGTCAAAAATATTCGACTAAAGTCGAATATATCGAATTTCTGACGTCAGATAGCTATGTGTGTGGTATGGGGAGACTCATGTGGTATAATTTTCCATCACTATTCAGGATTTTTAAATTCCTTAAAGAGCTCTACCAACCATTGTATTGAATCAATAGATTGTTATTATCTGTTTTTGTGATTATTAATAATAGTAAGCATTTTGAACATTTTAAATTATTATAAGTAAAAAAAATATTTAAATAAAATATTTATAATTTTTTAAACTTATAAAAATGTTTTACTGTATTTTTGTAACTATAATTGTGGGAATCGGTATATAACTATATATTATAATAAAAAAATAAATTAATAATTAAAATAAATAAAATTTCGCTTAATTTTTAGGCAAATAAATATAGACCTTTAAGTACTACTATTTACATTAACTTTTTTGTGTGTAAAATGGGTGGAGTTATAGCACTGTATAATAAATAGTGCATTTGTAGGCAAAAAAATATAAGCATTTTAATAGAAGTGGGGTGATTTAAATTTGAATTTTGTAAACAAAAACACATGACTTGTTGTATGAATGCATACAATATATTACTCTAATGACTATACAGTACTGTAGTCATCAAAATATATACAATCGGAGACAAAATTATGGACACAATTATTGGCTATAACTTTAAAAGTAATGAAATTAAAATAATATATATATTAGCATAGCATAAACACATTTTGTACACGGCTTATGATCTACCGAAAACTCGGGCCCTTTTTATGTATATTACATATGTTTTTTGTGTAACTATATCTCTATTAAATAATTATATAATTACATAAATGATGTCGCATTTTTTTAAACAACTCATGACAATATGGTATCTTTTATAATTACCAAATGTAGCACAAAAAACATAAGTAACATAAATAAAAAAGTACCGAGTTTGTTCTGAAAATGTTTAGTGTATAATACGGCTCCGGGATGCGGGGTCAGGGATGCGGGGTCAGGGATGCGGGGTCAGGGATATTCGAGATCTCAAAATCTATAAAGTTTATCAAATCAAAGTCTATTTGCAATTTTCACGAACTCCTGAAAGGAGTACATACTGTATATGCATTCTATAAGTCTGTCGGTCTGTCCCACGAGGATATAGGTTCAAATCCACTCTCTGCTACAAATTTTTTTGAATTTTTTTGATTTTTTAAGTTTATTTTTTAGAAAATTGAAGAAAATGGTGTCCAAAAATTAATAAATTTTTTTTTTGATTTTTTTTTGATTTTTTTTGATTTTTTTTGCATTTTTTCTTTTTTGAGTTTATTTTTCAAGAAAATGGAGAAAATAATAGCTTATTTTGTAATACTAAATCATTTGATACCCTACATGACTATAGTTGATTTTATTTTATCATACTGAATTTAATTTTTAATTATGATTAGGAGTTCGTATGGAAATGCTTTCTAGCATTCTCAACTGGTTAATTATAATATTTAGTTTTTGAGATATTAAAGAAAAACTTTTTTATCATTATATAATTTTGTCATAAAATTTTATTAATAATATTTGTTATTAATTTATATAATTGTAAAAAAGATTTTCTTTAATATCTCAAAAACTAAATATTATAATTAAAAATTGCAAATATAATAGTGTTAGTGATATGACATCTGTTTGATGATTCCATAGTACCAAAAATTTTTGTATTATTTTAATTTCATTACTTAAGTTATAGCCAAAAAACCGTGTCAAACATTTTTGTCTCAGATTGTACAGTATATACTGTAAAACAGGGAATTAAATATCATTTCAAACATACACTATGCGCCAGATATATTGCAGATAAATTTGTTTTATTGAATTTAATGGTTAATAATGACAAAATCAATAATTTAATTATCATAAAAAGTATTTAAAATTATATAGTTAATATTTATATATATTAATATGATTTACCGGTAATGTCATCATTTGGTAAAATATAGTACTGTATATAAACCTATTTTCAGATATAATTATTACATTTTTCATGTTTTCAATACTTGTTTTAATTATTTACAGGTATTCATACTATTCAGTACTTTTAATATTTGATTACATCACTAATTTGTTTAATAATTTATTAGTTAGTTATATAATTAAGTTATGAATAAATTATATTATTCCCTAAATATAATATTAATTTTATTGAATTTAAATATTTATTATTAATTAATGTATTTATTTATACATTAATGTACACTAATTTAGTAGTATTTTGTAAAGTATTATCAACTATATAATAAATTAATTTTATTATTTATAATCAGAGAAAATTCAGTTATTATTATTGATAATACAGTATTAAACAAATTTATACAATACTTAAACATATAATTTTGTATTACATTTAGAAAAATATTACTATTAATACATGCAATTAAAGATGATAACTATTAACTCATCCAAAAACTAGTTTTTAAAAATTTTTTTTTTAATAATTTTGTTATAAAATTTTTAAAAACATTTGACGAATTGTAATAATTTAAAACTTATATATTTATTATATTATTAAACAGATATTTTTTATTATAAAAAGATAATAAAAATAATTATTTTATTAAACAATATAACAAAATTGATCACAAAATGAATCACCAATTCTTAACAAACTTAATGCTATGATTTTGCTTTAAATTTTTAATTGCATTAATTATATCCAATATGTTTTGATCATTGTTTTCATTGTTGTTATCACAATAAGTGACAGCAAAACATAACAAATAGAGTTTATTTTCAATGATATCATATTTATCATTAAGTCCTAACTCAAGACATACTTTCCAACCAATTTTATAACTATTTTTGATAATCATTTCACAACAATTGAAACAATGTTTAAAGTCATGACTATTTAAGGCCATGTTTGCAATCAATGATAAAATGGTTCCATTCATAAAATCACTTCCGAAGTCATGGCAGATATCTAACAATTTTGCAATTTTTAATATTTGTAATGTCTTTGTATAGGCTTTTGGTGAAGACTTCAATATCTTCTCAATTATTTCAATCCGTGGTTGAGGTATGAGTCGGATTTGAATCGGTAATAATTTCAGATTAAAATTGTTTTCAATCAAATTTAAACTTTCAATTAAATTTAGTTCTTCAAGAATTAGTGTATCTTTTTGTTGTTCCTTCTCATCGAGCATTTCAAGACATTCTTTTGCCAAAACAATATTGTAATCGTGACTCGAATCGGATGAGTTTATGTACTCTTGAGCCGCATTTAACAATAACTTCTTAGTCTTCTGTATTGGAATAAGTTTTTTCTTAGATTTTGATTCGGTTTCTAATTGCATATAAGTCGCGGCTAAAGCAAAGTTTGACTTTTGTGATGAACAAAGCAATGTCTGCACAAATATCTCAAACAACTGATCCTCAGTAATGTTGTCACTAAAACACATTTTCCAGACTTCTTCTAAGTTCTTGAAAACTTCAATCCATTGATTAACAGTAAAAGCTTTATCTTTCTTACAACAACTTCTTGTTAATCTAATAAATAGTTGTTTAACTTCTTCTTTATTATTGGTGATCTCGAGGTCTCTGATCTCCTGAATAGTGGGTGGAGTATCGTATTGTTCAATAATTTCCGCGACAACTAAATAGTTCTCAAGTTTGTCGGCCAAATCATTTAAATGATTTAATTGATTGATTTTAGTTATATCATTGCCAGCAATAAGTGGAATCATATCTCTTTGTGGTAAACACTCCATAATTTTAAAACAAGTTTCTAATTGCTCTGAATTTTGCGATTCATAGATACAGTCGATTGCAAACTCAATCAAATCACACGGATCTTCAATTAAAGGCTTTTTGTTTTGTCTATCGATTTCAGTATTACTTAAACTGGAATTTTCAAACACTTTAAGGCAAAAGTTTAAATCAATTTTAGCTACAGATAACAAATAGTCTTTAAATAACTGTCTGCCAATTGATTTCAGTTGTTTTGGATCATCTTTACATATCTTAATTATATAAATATTAAGATAATTATAAATAAAATTCAAAAACTCTTGTTCGTCATTGAGGGCAGAAGTCATCAAAACATCAATTTTCTGTTTATGTGAATACTCTTGAAATTCATTGAAATCAATATCATATTCGAAGTGTGATTCGTAAACAACTAATGAAAAAATGTCGAGATCTAGACAAAGATTATCAAGATTTGGGACCAAATGTTTTATACCAATTTCGACCAAATCAAGAGCATTGGACACAATCCATGTTAGGGCTAATATCTGCCGACTTCTCTCTGAATACCATTGCGTTACCAATGATTTTGATAAATGTTTACATTTATAGTGTAATAAATGTGTGTTTTCCGCGTAAAAGTCAGCCTCAAATTGACTACTATTGAGGCCATGGATTGAGTCAAACTCTGATTCGATCCAATCTTCTTCTCTTAGAAGAATTTGGTTCCATCCATACACTTCATATCCTTTAATCTTAGGTGAAACCAATTTAGGTAATAGTGATGAATACCTTTTAGGTGACAGTGTCTCATCAATATTCGACAGTATAACCAATCTGTGCTCTAAGATATCTTTCGGCTCATAAGTCAACAGTATTGAGATGGCGTTATAATCTGAATTGTGGCCAAAATGAATGGCTGCTTCTAATGAAGACATTTCACGAAACATTTGATAAAACTTATGATTATATCTACTGTTAATGTGTTGACGATTGCGATAACTGAGAATCATTTGATAGACATTCAAACGATCCAAATATTGTAAGAGACGTTTGCGCCAAATGAGGACCTGCTTTGACTCCAAAGACAATTGATTCCAATCTATTTTATTGTCATTGCATTCGCTATAGTCATCCACTTCTTCATGTGTTTTAATATCAATTGTATTTGAATTAACGCGACTATAAAAATGACTTTTAAAGTTATCATAATTAGTAAGATTGAGACCAAATTGAAGCAAATATTTCATTGAATCCATGTCTTCGGCCACACATTCAATAGATTCTCTCAAAATCCACATCTGTTTAGTTATTTTGCTTAAGACATTATCGACTGACTCTTGACATATTTGGCTATTCCTCCACATCGGCTGATACACTAAATCTTTGTCAAAGCCGTATTCAACGGCCAATTCGAGGGCCAAATCAAAGTCATTGTCACTCAATGTCTGCTCAAAGCGTTCTTCAGGTGAGAGTGAAGACGAGTCATCTAAAGGAAACTTTTGCAACAAATTATTCAGTATTTGTTTGGTTGGCTCAACACTTCTTATGCCAGTAATCCTGAAGATGACGAGTCTTATGGTATTCACAATAAACAACAGATAATATGTGACATAAAGACTGAATCGGTTAACGAGTGTCTCGTTTGCCACCAAATCGTTGTTTTGTGAATCACTTGAATTGTCGACTGTTTGGTCATCATTTGAATGAATCCGTGCCGTCAATGGTCTGACATTCTTGCGATGTCTGACCACAAACTGGTCATTGGAGTCAATGATAGTCATTGTTGTCACCACTGGTTGTCATCATTTGGTCAACAAATCAGTAAACAGTTAGTCATTGTATGTATTGTTTTGCAGTCAAACACACGTTTGCAATGTTTGTATCATTAATAGAGTCTTCAAAATACATGTTTACATATTTAAATAAATAATAGAAATCAAAAATTATATTAAATATTATTATAGGTTTTGATGTTTTTTAAATTTTCAATTTTTCGAAAACTGTATTATTTTAAAATAATTATTATAATAGATATTAACACAAAAACAATAATAAACTTAAATGGATTTATTCATATAATGCTAAAAAGTATTATAATTTAATTTTAATAGTAAGCTTACAATACAAATGTTAAATATCATTATCAATATATGCTATCAATTGRTTCAAGTTATTTATATTTTACATAAATACTATTGAATTTAATTAATTTTAAATTTTAAATAATAAGTTAATGAATTTAATAAAGTTTACTGAACTATCTTTAACTTTTTTGCGTGGATACTATAAATAATAAATTTATTTTAATTAATTTTGTATATTAATAATTATAATAGTTAACAAAAATTAATATAATATTGATTAATTTATAATATTTAAAATGTATTAAAAACAATTTATGTTAAATATAAATGACTAAAATTATGGAAAACTTGTAATAAACCAGTTGAGAATGCTAGAAAGCATTTCCATACCAACTCCTAATCATAATTAAAAATTAAATTCAGTATGATAAAATAAAATCAACTATAGTCATGTAGGGTATCAAATGATTCAGTATTACAAAATAAACTACTATTTTCTCCATTTTCTTGAAAAATAAACTTAAAAAAGAAAAAATTCAAAAAAATGCAAAAAAAATCAATTTTTTTTATTAATTTTTGGACACCATTTTCTTCAATTTTCTAAAAAATAAACTTAAAAAATCAAAAAAAAAAATTGTAGCAGAGCGTGGATTCGAATCTATGTCCTTCGTGTGACAGACAGACAGACAGACAGACTTTTAGAATGCATATACGTATTACGTACCATGGGTTGAGTTTCACTGAGGATGACGTCACATATATTGTGTGAATACACAATAATAATATATATAAAATGTACAGTGGTCCTAAATAAATTTCACCAAAATTATATACGAATAAATATACAATGTAAAAGTGTAATAAAAATTTATAATAAATAATTTAAAACATTAATTAAATATTAATTGAAAAATTAATCAAAAAATTAATTAAAAAATTAATTAAAAAATAAAAAAATTAATTAAATAGAAAAAATAATTATAGAAAATAAAAAGTTAATTAAAATTTTATAATAATCTATAAATTCAATATTAAATAAAATTAATATTTTATACCATTTTATAATTGTGTTTTATATATTAGGCAATTATGTAAAAGATAATTATTGAATAATAATAATAAAACTATATGTATAAACTTAATTATCAATGGTCTGCATTTTGGAAATTTGGGTAATTTTTATTTATTGATAACTTATTTTAACTATTTTATTTTTTAGATAAACATAAAAAAGCTAAACTTGATGATAATAACGAGGAAAATGCTGAAATAATTAATGATAATGATGTGTTTAATAATTTTTCTTTTTAAGATTTTTTTAATTTTATTTATGATTAATTTTTAATAATTTATATTTTGTATTAATAATTTAATTAATTAATTTAAATAATAATAATAATAAAATTATTAAATTATCATTTTTATATTGTATATTTATTTGTAGATAATTTTGGTGAAATTTATTTAGGACCACTGTACATTTTATATTTATTATTATTGTGTATTCACATAATACATGTGACGTCATCCTCACTCAAACTCAACCCATATTACGTACTCCTTTAAGGAGTTAGTGAAAAGTGTAATATATTACATATATTTTTATTTATATTATTAAATTACTTATTTTTAGATACACTAGTAATAAAAACGTGATATAAATGTATTAATAATATGATTAATGTATTATACGTTACATTAGATAGCATTAGCCAACTCATTACAAAACATTATGCAATACTTTTTGAATAATTAGTATTTTTTATATTTATAAATAAATTAATTCATAAAATATTTTCAAAATAATTATAAGAAATACTAATATTTATATATTTTAATTAAATAAAATTTTAATGCTTTTTAATATTATAATATAAGTACAATATTTTATCCAAATAATAATATTTAAATTGAATTTACATTATAAATATTAAATTCGATACATTAATTAATTAATTAATAGATTAGATTAATTTGTGCAGAATATTGAATACAAACTAAATTTTAAGCATATATTTAAACAAATGAAATAATAATAAACAAAAATATATATAGAAGTTAATCACAGATTGATTTCTCGTTAAATTTTTTTTGCAGTCTTTAAAGAAAGCGTTGTTTCAATCAATTATTGCAATCATTGGTTATCATTAACTCCGCTATCAAAGTCAGAGATCATTAAAATAATTTATTTATTGACTCAATATATCATATCTGAAAACAAATGGACACACAATCGGTGGTTACGAGAGATGGAAAGAAAGCTGTCCCTCATTTATGGCTATATTAAGCTTTTCGCGCATTATATCAATTGTGATATAATCGGGAAGTTTGAGATAATTGACACAAGTCATCACTGATGGCAAACAATCGGGATTATCCACACCTTCGATCGTTTTGCGGACAATTGTTAGCGGAGGCGATAGACTACGGAAGCCACCGACAGGAAGTCGTGGCGAACCACTAATGAATTGCAAGAACTTTCGTTGATCTTCAACATTATATGAACTCAATATCTCAAACAAGAAATGAATGGCACGACTGTCGTGATTGTATCCGTGATCTGTTTTACAGCACTCCATCAACATCTTAACGTCCCATTGTTTTTGATTACTACCACAAAATAATTGTTCCATTTCTTCGGCATAGAAAAGCTGCAAATGAGATGAAGGAAACACTGAATCAAAACCCTCGCGAAAAGCCTCCATTTGTCGGATCACTCCTTCAAATAAAGTCCAATGAGTTAGCAAACGGATGTAATTCTCGATGTTATCAATAGTAACGCCTAAATCTTTGCCTCCTTTTCTGAGCTCAATATTTGGATAACCGGGAAGTGTATAATCGAGGTTAAGGTCTTCAATACTACAGCCATGAAGTTTAAGTGACTCTAAACTGCTCTCTTTATTGGCATCAGTTGTGTTAAGCTATTGATTAGATATTTATATAAAATTGAGTATTAAATTATGTAAATATACAGTATATATATATATATATATATATAATACTTACAATTTTAAGCTTTTGTTGCGCTATTTTCTCCATTTCAATGACAGAACGAGAAAATGTTGAATCAATTTGTTGTAAATCACCGATACTTAGGGATAACTCATGATTTAAAAGCCATTTATAAAATATAGAACTCAATGGAATGTCAATCTATAATAAAATATATAATTATCAATAAATAAATAAATAAATAAATTTCAATTATGATTACCATTCGTGAATCCATTAAAGCTTTTGCAACAAATTTTCCCAAAAGTTTGAATCGTTGTCGCGCTTTAGAGACTTGTCCGGCACGGGTTTGTCGTCCCAATGGTGCCGGGAAAAGACCATTTGGACTGTAGATATATTGAATAGACTGCTGATTATTATCATTGCTCTCAATTTGATTATTGTTTTCATTAAAACTAGTAGAAGGTGTGGCCGTTATCTTGTGGTTTGGTTGAGGATTAATCACTTTGGGTGCGGAAACAGCCTCTCCTCTCCACATCTCGAGGTCTGCTCTTTGCATTTCTTTTGATACGAGAGCATAAAACTCAAGAGTTGGTCCCAATCCAGTTCCCACTTCATTCTCGTATTGAATTTCGAGTAAAGCTTTAGAGTTACCCAAATCATGTAAAACATTTTCGGCCTGTTTTAAGATATCATCTCTTGAAACGGTTCTCTTTCGTCTGTCAAGTCTTGGAGTTACTCTTTCACTCGAATCATTTCCCGATAGTTCGGGTGCACTGTCTAACAATCTTTGTAATGCTCTGTCTCTATCAAAACATGTTACATAAAATAACAGATATCTTGTCTCAAATGGAAACACAAAAGGACAGGCATATGCTATTTGGGACAACCAATTGGGTATATTACCAGTCATAATGACTACTGGATCTTGAAGTTGACGATTAGCTTTTGCTGTTAACTTAACATTAATGAACTCTTGAAGTGGTAAAGCACTGTTGTATGGGTCGGCCATGGAGTAGAGCCAACCCCAATATCGAGATAGACCATAAATTACTCGCAACAATGCCAGTACTTCTAATGACAAGTCCTGGACAGTTATGTTTGACGGTAAGTGTAGCTTAAGATACATATCTAATGGTGAATAAATAGCAGGTGTTTTGCCTTCAACCCAAAGTTCGTCTTTCTTTTTGTTTGATCCCTTTCCACCATTATTTCCTTTACTACTTTTTTTACCGCTTTGATTACTAGAGATATGATTGTTGTTTGAGTTTTTGTTGGCCAAACTTGAGCCAAGAGTAGATGACAGTGTTGAAGGACTGGTGATACCGTCAACATAAGCTTTATAATAAATAGTATGCGTTGCGACCCATATGTTTGCGTGACCCATGGGTGCCTCCGACTCATCTGTTTCGTGTCCGTCTGAATTGTGGGCGTTATGTCCGTAAGCGTATTGTTTGATTGCCTGATAAACTGTCATATTGTAGGGCAACGCTTGTTCTCCAATATAAAACTGTAGTCTATGTCGTCCTTGATTTTGACTGATCATCATTGCAACCATATTGTCATCAAATTCTTCATCTGAAATATCATCATCACTGGCGTCTTCATCTTCATCCCTAATCTTGCCATAACCTCTAATAACTAAATATCGTTCAATTGCTTGTACTAAAGCTAATGGATCTATTTTGACGGGTCCGCCTCTCCATTGTCTAAGATTAGTACAATCGGGATGTCGTTGTAAATTACATTTCAATTGATGAGTATTGAAAAACTTGAGAGCACTGGCACCTCGAATACTACCAGAGCCAGAGCCCATCAAATCATGAACTTTGACCGGAAATTGTTCCAATTGTGAAACACAAGCATTTAATTTGTTGACTAATGCTTGAATCGGCGCACTGTTAATATTGTCACTCAATATTGAATCCATATTACACGTGTCTTCAAGTGGTGTCCCGAAAAATACGTGAAGAAATGAACGAAGTCTGTCTTCACGACTTACTTTTGAATTATCATTAGATACAAGAAAACTAAGAAATCGTGTAACGAGTCCCGAGTGATTCAATTCAAATGAAGAGATATCACCCTCCATAACAACGACCCGAATATCTTCCAACCCTTTAATATGATTTTCGTCTAACATTTCAATGGCTTTTGTTAAACGATTTATAATATTGAGAGATGGATGTGAATTGTTGTCGTCTCCCAAATAATTTATGTCATTATCTTTAAAATATTTTTCTTCAAATATCTTTGCCTGTTCTCTAATCCATTGTTTTATCTTTTCTCTATTTCCGCTATTGTTAGGAGATCGCGGAGATGATGACCGAGAAATGGACGAGTGGTCAGAGGCGTGAGACGAGAGTTGTGATCGGCCAGAAACCAGTCCACTATTAGAAGAGACGAGAGCGGGTGAACTACTGTTCCAACGCGCCCAACGCGATGGATGTAAACTTTGAAAAAATGCACTCGTCTTAGCCGCGGCCGAACTGAATCTAAAAGCTGGTCGACCCCGACTACTATGGGATGAGCTATGTGTTGGCACTGAAGTGTTTGCGCTCAACAAATTGCTGGAGTTATTATTACTGGCAGCAGAATTATCACCGATAAAGATAGGCAAAGATATATAAGGAGTGCTAAGAGTTGCTGACATTTCTGGTTCATTGGCAAAGTGTCGGTTAACACTAGAGACTGAACTATGGGTGCTGTGGTTATAATTGCGTAAATTAAGGGATGAGGTGTTGTCACTTTCACTTCGGGTCTTACGGGTGGCGCCAGAACTGCTCGTGTTTACTGTTTTTCGCGTTCTCTTCCGTTTTAATGTCTCATCGACTCTACTAATGGCAGCATTTAATATAAATCAATCATTAGGTTTGGGTATAATTGGGTTATATATAAAAACTAATTGTTATTTAAGTGCTATCAATATTCAGAATCCGGTAAAGCAGTAGATATTAATCATTATATATATAAGATTAGGTAAGGAATTCATCATTATTTATACAATATGTATATACAGTATATCTCGAGATTATCGGTAAATCATGAGATTTATGACAATTATAGTTACAATAAATAAATATTTGTTGCAAACCTGGAATTGATTGCTTGATCTGAAATGGCAACCGAATCATCAGTACTTCTGGCAGATGTCATATCAGGTGAAGGTATTGTTGGTGTCACCGGAACAGATGTGCTCAATAAAGTCAATGGTTGAGCTGATGCACAATTAGATACATTATTATTATTGTTGAGTCCATTTTCTAGAGCACTTTGAATTGTATTTGCAAACAACTCATTGGAAACATCACAAGGAGGGGATGCCTCGAGAGGAGATGAGTTGTTTGGAGGACTTATGTTCATAGTGTTCTCAATAAGCATTGAATACGGTTGTGACAGATAATCTGTTGGAGTGGCCAAACCAGAAGTAGAAGTCGACGGTTCCATTTTGGTTATTGAAGAAGAAGGTACGGATGACGTAGATATCAAAGTAGAAGTGTTTTCAACATTTACTTCAACTTTAGAAAGCTTTTGTATTTGATGGATAACACCTTCACGTCTAAAATATATGACAAACACTTCGGGAAGTTTTTCCATAAGAATATTAGCCATTTGAATGGCTCCGACAACTATTTTGAGATCAGGTGAGGCCAACATCGTTGCGATATGGCTCGAGACCTCCTGATTCTTGAGCACAGACTTTAGTAAATCGTTTGGTGCATAATATATGATACGTAATAACGATATGAGGCACTTCTGACGCACTGCTGGTCCCGCACTACTGCTATACACTTCATATAATACATTGAATAGTGACTTAATAAAACCAGTGGCTGTTTCCGGCTCATTCTCAAGACATTCGGCTCTGGGATCTATTAAACGTAAATTGCTTTGGGATAAAGCATTAACATCAGTAGCGCAGTTCACTTTACGTTGAACTGAACGGGAAGTTCCCGTTTCTTCGTTAATTTGTTGCATTGAATTAAAGTCTATGACATAAGTGCGACCCATAGTTGATAAACTGATCTCGTCTTCACCGGACTGATGAGCCGTTTCTATAATACGACTATCAATGCCATTATAGTCGTGCCATAAACCTCTGTCGTCCTTCCACTGCCATATTATGGCATCAGTTTGAACACCATTTTTGATACAAATCAAACTGTCCACTGAAAATATGCCATCCGATGGCAATCTAGGCATAAGTTCTGCAATCAGTGATGTAATTTCAAAGAGTTCTTGTGGACTACGATTCACTAATTCAATGTCATCTTTGGTAGCACTCGTACCCAGTAATAAATATCGTAGTGTTTCACAAATATCTTTAATAAATCAAATATAATTTAGATATTTGTTAATAATATAACTTAATTAATAACTTAATGTATAATAATGTATTACTTACTTAATCTTAATAATTGGACGGCTATTTCAGGACATGAAGAGCACATAACAGACAACATTCTGATAACACTAACGAATGTACCGGTGCTGATGATAGGTGGTATAGCAATCAATAATTGTTGTAAATTAGTTAATAGATTATTAGATGCAATTTCACATATAATAGTGTACTCTAATTGATAACAATCGACTAATCGGGAAAACGCCAAACATATGCTTTCAACCGATTTTTTATCGGGATGTGTCAGATGGGAGCTAAGTGTGGACAACGATTCCTGAACGTACGGAAACTCATCTACAGTTAAATTCTGACAACAATTAGCTGTTATTGAAAGAGCAGAGCGTTGAGCGTTAATCGAGAAAAAATCCAAATATGTTAAACACGCCGACACTCCTCTTGCGTGAAGTATAGCTTTGCTATGACGTCGGGAAAGCATTTCTAAAGCAGTTAAAGACTGTTCTGCGACATCCATACACTGAATTATTTGCAACTTTTCCAGAAATACTGGAACAGCATCCACAACAACGGCTGAAGAACGTGGCAATGACTCCATCATATATGTCAGGGCACGACACGCGTGATTCATAATATCAAAGTTGTGTTCCATTCCCAGTAGTGTTATGAGTGCCGGAACAACTGTTTTGACGGGAAAGCCCGCTAATGTGTCTTCATTGCCCATAACCAATAATTGGCACATTTCCATCACTGCCTGTAATTGTTGTCCTTCATCACCATTAGCCTGTAATCCTTGAAGCAATTGATGTGCTTTACTGCTAGAACTCGTCCCAATTGATCGATTCAACAGATGTTGCATTCGAGGACCTAAAGCGCCAAATAGATGCGGTGGTAAACCTCGAGCTTCAAGTAAGGCCTGCAATCGGCCCATTTCGCTCTCATCGGACTCACTATCAGCTGAGGTCACCAATACGTTGGCCAATGAAGCAGCGACCGATGATGATTGAGCACTCGCTGTTAAACTAGCGGCTGCACTGCTCAAYGGGGCATCTGATCTGGAAGTGTCAGCATTTGTGACATCTTCATCCATACCACTACTCCTAATATTACTTCTAAAAAACGCGARTCGGCCAGAAGTTCCTCCTCCAGAATTAGAGGTAGAGTTAGGTCTAACAGATGACGTTCCGGCACCAGAACTTGAAGACGACGATTGAGTGGGAGCTTTGGTATTGAGGCGGGAGGAACGCCGACGTGAACTGGCACACGACCCCGTGGTAGATGTCCGCTCGGGACCTATTTCTTGCTCCCCCGACAATACTCGTGAATTACTCGTCCCAATTCTGCTGTTTGTCGCTAACTTTGAACTACTTTTAAAACGTTTTGCGAGAAACAAATTATCAATATTTGTTTCTTTTACTTGATTTGATTCGTGACGAAGTGATAACTCTGAAGACGAATCAATTAGCGATGAATCACTTGTGTATGTCTTTCGTGGTCTTCCTTTGCGTTTAGGTATTTCCTCAGAAGAAGAAGAGGCAACACAACTATCTTTATTTAAGCTTAGATTTATTGCAACAAATTCTTTGTCTAAGAAAAAAATGGCCAAAAATGGTCACAAATTTTTTAAATACATTATAAATAATATGTTAAACCTATTGACGACTCCTTTTTGACTCTCTTTCCGGGAGAGCTTTCTTCGTCTGAAAATCTTTTGTTTTGATTGGTTTTGCTTTTAATTAATACGTCGTTTGGTTTATTGTCTTGTATTTGTGATGAACTACTTGTTGAAGAAGTTGTCGGCAGATTTCCACTGCTTTTATTAATTGTATCTCTTTTTGATGCCAAAGATCGAGACCTAATCAAAGACATTGTTTTATACCATACTATAGGTTATGACTCATGAGTTCAATCAAGACCTGGTTCTGATGGGTGATCGCGAGCCGAGATATCGTTGAGACCTTTTCAAAGAAGACGACCCGATTGTCCCCTCTTTATGACCCGATTGTGTGTCTGCCATATAAGACACTAATAATCGAGACTAACATTTGATACTTTCATCCATTCAATTAAAATGGCGTTTTGTTATACATTTCACTCAATTGAGTGGCACTGAGATTGAGTAGCACTGTATGACTGTATGAATGTTATACCAATGTATAAGTAATAGTAGTATTAGTAGTACTATAACCACACAATAGCACTAAATATCAATGTTATCGATGATTACACTGTAGTTATACAGTCATACAATCATACAGTCAAACACCAAAACAGCTGTAATGTAATCATACATAACGTAGTCTTATTTGTGTCAAAACTTTATCAACTTTTACTTAAAACCATATAAACAAGTCTTATATTTTTGAACCCAAAATATTATTTATAAATTAATTAAATTAAATTAAATTAATAAAAGTTTCACTAAACTTAACAATACAACTAATTAAACAAATTACAAATTATTTTATGAAATATAATTTAGTTATTAAGCGATAAAAATGTTTTAGTGATTTTATGTATATTTTTTTATATACCAATGCATCAAATCATTTATATTATTATTTACTTATAAAAAATGATCAAAATTGATGCTATCTATTAAACAATCTATTATTGTCACATATGTTGTGTTAGTTTTAAAGTTTATAGTTATTTAATATTAAATATAGTAGTTTGATATGAAAAATGAGGTTTATATTATATTAATGTAAATAATTATTTGTTTTATTTTGGTATTAATAATAGTCAATGAGTTAATTCACTAATGTTTACAAATTATCACATTTAATGATATATATAGTTAAACACAAATAATAATAATAATAATAAACAAAATAGTAAATCGTTGTTATAAGCATATAATTCATTTTATCAAAACTTATATACAAAATAAAATTATATACAACAAAATAATTGCAATCAAATTACAGTATAGAACTACTGTATAATAATAATATAGAAATACAGTACAGTTTTATGATATATATGATGCGTATACTGTATTATATAACATGATTTGTTAAATATATATATATATATATAGTACTGTATATACAGTATAAACAAATACTGCAATTAGATGACAAAATTAAGGCAAATATAAATTGATAAACAATTGAAATAAAAATAAATTAATCTATAAATCTTGATAATCACTAATCAATGGACTGCATATCAAGTAATTCTTTAGTGGAAAGTTGGTTATTGAGTGTCCGGTAGGCTATGATAACGGCCTCATTGCAAACGACTCGTGCGCTTATCTTTCTTTCCAATAGGTATTCATAGAGACCCGACAAAAACAAATTGATTTGCTGTATAAAAAATATAATTATTTATTAGTTATCAATCAAAAAATTAATTATAAATAATTACATGACTCTTATTATTGGTATTCTTCTTGAATGTGCAATAAATAATAAAATCCCAAAAGTCGTCTTCAATATACTGTAAACTCTTTATTTTATCGATGATATCCGCAAAAGTGTTAGTATGCGGACCATAGAAATCCTTAGAACTGGCCATTCCTTTAGCTAATAGTATTAATAGTTCCAAAACAATGGGTTCTTTCCATTGGTTTTCTGTGAGATTACGAACCAAGTGATTGAAAGACTCGTCATATCGTTTACTTGTCCGCAATGACTGAGCCCTATCTAACATAGATTTGGTGTCTTGAGAGTCCTTTTTAGGTATTTTAAAGTTAAGTTCATTTAAATTGCTGTTATAAATGGAAAGTCCATTATCTTGTGATTTGAGTCCAATTTGTTTACTCGATATGTATTGATATGTCTGTGGCTTTCTTTGTGGTTCACATTTAGATTCAAATTCTTTCAATTTTGTAAATTTAGATCCATTTTTATCATTTGATGTCGATTTGTCGGATTCGCCATTTGTTTGATTATTAGTCTTCAAATATTTTTTACGATCTTTTCTGTCCAATTCATTGTCGATATCATCGTCACCTTTAAAGATATCAATCAATTCATATTTTCTCTTTTTGTTAATTTGAAAATCATTGGATTGTTTGATATCTTTGCGCTCTTTGTGTTCATCATTACTCTCATTATAATTATTGTCGAGTCGTTTACAAAGTCTATTGAGTTTATCGTCAGTTGTTTTTGAAAATCCCCGACTCTTCACATAAAGAGAGCATTTGTCGAGTTTTGAAGACTGACTGAGTTTAACAAATGGTAAGCGATGTCGTGAATCTGTCTTTTCTTTTATTATATTTTTATATTCTTTAAATCTTTTCTTTAAAATCATCACCAATTCATTTGATGTCTTAAATATTATTGGCATTTCAGACACATTTTTAGTAATCGTTTCGTCTATCGTAACAACTTTTGATTCGGTCATAGATTCAAAATCTTTTTTGGCCATCGCTTCGATGTCTGTTTTGGCCATCAGTTCGGTGTCTGTTTTKGCCATCAGTTCGGTGTCTGTTTTTGCCATCAGTTCGGTGTCTGTTTTGGTAATGTTTTGAGTTTCGGTCGTCTTTTCGATGAGACTGTCGTTTGACGATTCGGTCATTGATTCGGTCAAAGTGTCGGTTTCAGACATTTCCGTTTGTTTGTATGCATTGAGATAAGACACCGAACCGTTTAAAACAAGCTTTTCGGTGACAATAACCAACTCTTTGTCAAACAACATGTTATACAATRTGTGGCCAACTGTTGGTTGTATTCAATGCTTACAATTGGAGTTCAATTAATTGCCAAATCTATACAAATATCATATATTACTAAATATTTTCAAAAAATATACAAATGTTTAGACAGTTTGTCAATCAATGTATTGTTTAACTCCTTTAACACATTTTGTTAATACTTTTATATTATTTATTATTAATAGTAAAATACAGTTATTATTAAATTTTATAAACAATAGACTTATTTTATTATTATAAACATTTGTTTGGTCCGGTTATTATAATTTAAATAAATAAATTGATAAAACAATTAATATTAATATAACATATTTGAAAATATATGACTAATGGATGATTAATATATCAATTGTATAAATAGTTGTTTTAATTACAATTGAAAATACTATAAATTGGTTTAAAAAACTAGATATTAATTGACGGTTTGGACCAAATTAATAGTATAATTCACGTCTAATATACTGTATTACTGTAAATAATGTCATGAAATGAATGAATGAGTCGTTATTTATTTGATTAAATGGTTTAATAATTTGGAGTTTTATTACTATTATATGATTTGTTGACACTTTGAGTCGTGACGTGTATTACAAGTGTTGAGTGAAACGTATTTATAAATAAATTGCAATCAATTGATTGAATCAATTAGTCTATGATTTTTGGGCCACAATAAGCTCTACACTCATACACGTGGCAGTCATACACTACACTACACTACACTACCAGTACTCACTACAGTCACAATCTGTTCTCAATTTAAGTCAACCATTAGTCTAGCAGTTGGACCAAAGCTAAGAACATAGTCTTAAGCAATGGTGAGATCGCAGCGCATGAGAGTTGCCAACGAAAAGGCATCAAAAAATGTGGCCAACAGAGGGAATGTACCGAAGACAACGGTAAGTGATATTTATTGGTGACAACAGTGATAATAATGATACATATGGTATATATATATATATATATATAGAAGACTGCGGATGACAAGTATCCGGTGGGTCCGTGGATGTTAGCACTGTTTGTTTTCGTGGTCTGCGGTTCCGCCGTATTTCAAATCATTCAAAGCATCCGATTTGGTTAACAAATGGACACATGATTTCAATAACAACTAAAACAACAATAAATGCAATTCTCTAATAATTTTTATTTGTTTTATAATATAACCTTAAAAGTTGTCTTATTATTTGTAATGCAATTGAATTAATGCTATATTTTTCTGTACATTCCTTTTCAATTCAAATTTATCTTCTAATTGAATGAATTTTAATTAAAATTGTAAAATATTTTTATTGTAATTTTATATTTTTTGGTTTCACAACAAAATTAATATTTAATACAATGCCTGACTATTTTCATGAAAAAAATGTTGAGTATAAAAATTACACCAAATGTTATATAAATACAAATATGGGACTTAAAAAATCAAGTTATAAATAGATATAATGTTTATATAAATTATAACATTTCAATAAATAACTAAAAGAAATAATATGTATTTGAGTTGACAGTTGAGGTGATTGTGTGACCAATTAATTGAATGATTAAATATGACAAATGATTTGTTGAGTTAGTCATTCGTCTTCGGCCTCATCGGCTGATTCTCCTTCGTGTTGATCGTCAGCATCGGCTTCACCTATAAAAACAAATGCGTAATAAAGTTATGCAAACATATGGTTGTAGTAATCATGTGATACCATCTTCGTCGTGACCCCTCTTTCTCGCCCTATATTGTCTTCCGGGCGCTCTATTGACCGGTAAATCAAACTCATTGTGTTGAATAAGACTGGCTCTATAGCTCATCAATGGTTGCCATTCATCGTTATGAATGCCGGGTAAAGCATTTTTCACATACCGATCCAAATATGCGAGTCTGTTATATAGAAATACAACTTTTTACTAAACAATTTGCAAATAATTGTTGTTTAATATCATACACAGTCTTCTTATCATTTTTAATTAATTTGTTAGAGAATTCACTGATAATCTCTAGGAATGGAAGATTAGGTGGCGGTCCCAATGGATTCTCTGGATTTTCAATAGTATTAAATGTAAAATGAATGCCTTCTCGATGAATGGCTGCCACAGCATCCCTGTTCTTCATGTTATCCAAACCAAATGAAAGAGCAAAACGTTTGGCTAATTCTTTCAATGCTTGAAAGTTTTCGTCTTGTTTTGTGAATGCATTTGGATTGGTATGAGCTTCGGATCTGAGTTCTGTAAATACACTGATCAGTGCCGACGCCATAGTCTTAGCACAAATCACTTTATTTATTTCACGGGATTTGCCTAATGTTGTCTTAATTATATCTCCATATTGTCCATAAAACTATCAAAAATTAGTTAAAAATAATATTTTAATAAATATTAAAATACGGTAAATTTAATTGAATTTTGTTTAAATAACATACTCTAACGTAATGTTTTATAACACAAGCTGCATGTCTTCCGGGAATTATGTTATAAACAATTAATTTACAAAATGCTGATAAATAGTGACGCTTTTTGTGCAGAGACTCTAATCCACTGTTTGTTTTATTTGGATCTTCACTTTCATCTATTAAGACAAATAAACCAAAATATGATTAACAAAGCGATAGATAACAAAGCGATAATATTATACAAACCTTCTTCTTCTTCATCAACAAACACTTTTTGTTGAATAAAACTCTCGAGTTTTCTGATGAGATTAGCGTCGGGTTTATATACAAGATGTGAAACATTTGGCGAATCTTTTTCCAGTTGAGAGCAAAATATTATTAATAAATCACAAATTGAATTAAATGCCTATAAAATAATTAATAAAAATAATTACATTTAAAAGGTTAATAAAATCACTAAAAGTTACCTCTTCTTCGAGTTCGTCACTCTTATGGTTAAGTAATGAACGCATTTCTGTCATAAATGCAAACAACATGTTCTTAACATTTTGAATGTTATCCGTTTGAGATCGAGATTGTGTGAAAAGATAGAGTTCCCAAACGAGTCCAAAATAACAGCCCTGTATTGCATATTTGACTGCATTGTATGGCACATCATCGGGATCAGTGTTGGCAGTTTTGATCCACCGCTCAAACATATCATTCCAGAGATTCCAAGTCGTCAAGTCATGACATGAATAAAAAGTTGCAATTTTCTTCAGTTGCATTATTACCATAAGCTTCTCCTCATCGCTATTAGGGTTGAGCTGAAAGTTTTCAATGGATTCCTTGTATTTATTGCAAAGTGTGTCAATAGCTGTGCTCATCGATAGCCAAACATTCTTAGCGTACGGAAAGTTCTCATCGTTCAAGTATTCGTAAGTCTTGACCGCCGAGTCTAAGACATCTTTGTCCGAATGAATTTCAATTATTTGTGAAATGAGTCGCAAAAGTGTATCTAATTGTTGCGTTTGATTCGTGAAGTAACTCAATTCAAAGCACTGCGGAATTGTCAATAGATTGGCCATCTTTTCCGGATCTGTCTTATATTTGTTGATTAAAGCGGGCAATGTTTGAACAAAATGTTCAGAAATATGATTTTTATCGTCTTGTATTTGTTTCGTTTCCTTTGTCGTCAACTGACGCTTTTGTGGACCTCTTCCAATAGGTGTCTCAGCAGTGGCCGCTTGTTTCACACAACAAACCATTAACTCTATTAATGATGTTTCTTGTCGATCATCTAATGCTTCTTCATCAGGTCCGGCTTCTTCAAGAAGCAAATCAGTTATGCATTCCCAGTCTTTCATCATGGGATGACTTTCGATAAGACTGTCCACTAAGTAGGCTCCGTGTTCGTGAAGTTCACTTTCGATGTAAAACTGTATGAGATCTCTTATCAGTGGTGAGTGTGGCGATCGCTTTTTGCCTCTACGGCTGCGAAGATTAGCAGTGGCCTCTTCGTCCACTTGAAACAGTCGTTCATTGAGGAACTCTCCGGCCGCCTGGGCTACCGATCGATGAGTTGCATAAACTAATTCATAGACGTGTTCACAGTCTTTATCGCTAAGAATATCTCTGTGATGTTTATGTATATTAATTATGAGACGGACGGCTTGTACGGCAACTTCAAACTCCTTGTCCAAAGTCATGGCAACAATTCTGTCTTTAAACTTATTGGTAAATAATTCCATTTTACGAGTTATCTCTTCGCTTTCATAAAGTGGTAAAAGAGAGTGAAGACATTTGAGTCGTACGTCACCAACTTTATCGTGAAGAGTCCATCCAACATATTTAAGATACGAGTCATCGAGGAATATTCCAGGCAATCGTTTCATCCAAATTCCGATTTCGGTCATACAAATTGACCGAATCTCGGGTATTGTATCTCTGTATCGGTGAACAAATATTGATTTGAAGAGATAGCCTAACATTGTTTTAATGTCGTCATTATTTTCTTCGAGTTCTTGTCGTTTACTCATTAATAGATCTAATCGTTCTGACGGACGCTTAGGATTTGATGGTGTCTTTTGTCGTTCGGCTTCATATTGTCGCTGAGTGTTGTCTAAGTTAATACTTAATGTGAGCGCAACATCAACTAAAGCTGTCATCAATTTCATGGCTGCCAACGTTGCCGTGTGTCTGAATGCCCGAACTTGAGAGTCGGACAAACCAATCAATAATGATATAATACTTTCCATAAGAAATTGATCGTAAATTATAGAATATTGACACTGACGGACCAATGTATGTATAAATTCACAGAAATTGCTTCGAAACTTCTTCCACTGCGGACCAGTCATTACTAATGGATAATCAGCGCCTTCTTCATCAAACTCTTCCACCAAATGTCTGATAATCTGTCCGTTGTCTAGTGTTTCTCTCATCTGTCGTGTAATCTTTCCCTTACAACCAGAACTCCTAATAAAGAACTGCATTAACTCCAGAATGGCTGCATCCCTGTCCTGTCTGTATGACTCAATCCACTCGTCGACTACTGATTGAAGTGCCGATCGGCCGCCTCTCACGCTCTCAAATAAAGTATTACTGTCTTCAAGACTGCAATTAAGTGTCAAATCATCCGTTCTGTTTAATGAAGGTCTTCCACGACCGCCACCTCTGCCACGACCACCGCCTCTGCCACGTCCTCTACCTCTTCGCCGTCCATCTTCATCAGTGGCCACTGATGTATCATTTGAATCCTCTGTTCCCTGACTCGTATCCATTGATGGCATGTATTCAGTGTCCTGATGGGTGTATGACTGGTCAGCAAATGAAGTTTCATCTGTTTGATTGGTATACATCTGATTGTTTTCATATTGAAGACCAATCTCTTGGCCGTCAAGCGATTGGTTTGCTTTACGTCTTCCGCGCGGCATATCTAACATAATGACATGCATTGCAATGAATAAAGAAAGATTAAGACATTAATAGTGGACTTACTTGCGATGAATGTATTGATGGACACTATGAGTGGTAAATGTAATGATTGGATCAATCAATTGATATTTGAGAAGACATTCAAACAAAATGACAGTCACTCTGAGTTTGCGCACTCATTGCGCGCCAAACATAACCAATCAATTACTCATACATTTGGCGCAAATTTCAACACATTTGACAAACAATTAAATATAATATAAATATTTATTATAAAAATAAAGTAAATTAGTTAGAGTTGAAGCAAATTATAAAAGATTCATATATTTCCCTCTTTCTGGTAAATTCCCAACATATCTAATAAACTAATAATATTAACTAAATGTTGTAAATATAATAATTATTATTATAAAATATAGAATACAATTCAATTAATAATATACCGATATTTTTAATTTACGTTATATTCAAATATTATAATTTTGACATTTTATTAATTTTTTATTCAAATACAACACATTTTCGAGAAAATTCCCAAAACACGTATCTATTTATTTCGGTTGGCATGTTTTCGGGCGGACTTTCAATAGTCGCGCTCACTATTAGGAATGGTGTGTTTATTATCATTGGAAAGTGTATTTAAAAACCTTTCCAATGATATATATCACCCCTTTCTATATTTTTTATATTTAAAGTTATACCACTTTTAGTGGTAGTAGTAAATAGCCGAGATTTTATGCAATATACTGTATAAAGTATACAAAGTATACATGCTTTTTAAAAATTTTCAATATCACTACAGTTTTTCAGATATAGAACATCCCTGTCCCCACATCCCTGTCCCCACATCCCTGTCCCCACATCCCTGTCCCCACATCCCTGTCCCCACATCCCTGTCCCCACATCCCTGTCCCCACATCCCTGTCCCCACATCCCTGTCCCCACATCCCTGTCCCCACATCCCTGTCCCCACATCCCTGTCCCCACATCCCTGTCCCCACATCCCTGTCCCCACATCCCTGTCCCCACATCCCGGAGCTGCAATGTAAAAAATGTGCTAATGCTTTGACATCCGTTCCATGATTTCATAGTACCGAAAATTTTTATATATCTTTAACAGTTATATAACTTTAAAAGTTATTGTCAAAAAACCGTATCAAACCTTTTTGAAACCGATTTATATTAATTATTACTGTATTTAATATTAATTTATTTATTTTATTTACTGATATGTAAACTGTTCAGAAAAATTATATACTTGTGCTGTATATTGTTTACTTTCTTGAATTTTGTTCTGGCAATGCTATCTAACATTTATATAATAAATTATTTAATATATTTTTATCATTTTAATTATTAAAATTATATTATCGATAGAATATATATTTGAGATATTGGCTGAAAGCTATAGCTTTGTGTAAACAAATGAAAAAATAGTTTTAAAACTTTTATTATACACTTTTAAAAGCGAGAGACTGTTATGAGTAGAAAATAAAAATATATTTAATTGATTAAATATTTTACATTTTATATAAATATTATATAATTCAATAATTTGACAAAATCTAAGATTAATTATATATTCTTTTACTTATTTTATTTTTACAAATAGTAAAATGATTTCTAATGATTTGTATACTACAGTATAAAAGTTAATTAATGTATACTATATTACAGTATTGATAAAACATGCGTCGATTAACAAATTAATACCAATTTTACAAAAATTAATTGTTATTCAAATGCAAAGCAAATGTTCCCACTATTGATGACATCTGTAAACACTTAATGTTTAGCATTACGTCAACACATGTATAACACCTCAGCATTTGATAAACATTTGATGCAATCATTGGAAACATAAGACAACAGACAGTGAATGTGTGACTCAATTGTTGTGACTTTCAGTTAAGTTTTATAACAATAGGATATATAATATGATATTATATACAAATATAATATAAATAATTCACTTATTGGCCACATATTAGTGTTTTACCGAAAATGATACGAAACAGAGGTCAGCCTCGGGCGCCGTCTTTTGCCATACTTTTGCTAATTCATGAGTTATTCCGTACGGCCACTACTTATGGCATACCGACGGTTACATTGGCGACAATTGTCTCACAAGTACTCATTCATCTTCATATAATTCCGGTAAACCATTTGATGTCATTATTTTGTTGATATTTATTAGTTGTTATATCATTTGACAATAGCTTCCGATGTCCAGTGTTTGGGACGTTTGTCTCAGTTATGAATCGATAGTTCAACAAAAACAATACTTAAGACTATTATTAAGTCAATTAACACACGGAGATGATTGGCATCTCTATTATAATATGGTGTCATTCTTATGGAAGGGAAGAACTCTGGAGGTCAGACTTGGATCAGTTAGATTTGCCACAACTCTCATTGTTTTCACTATATCGACAGCCTTTACATATGTGTTAACTAATAGATTGATTGCTGATGTGATTGAAGATCACTCATATCTATATCATTGTTCAGTTGGCTTTTCAGGTAGTTTTGTATAGACTTTAATATTTAATAATATATATATAATTACCGATACTTTTAAATAATGCTATCATTTCATTATTATGTCAATATTACAGGAGTTATATTTGCATTAAAAGTTTTAACCACTCATTATAATGACAATAATATTTTGAATTATTTTGGATTTATACCGATTGCGGCCAAATATGCCGTTTGGGCCGAACTTTTCTTTATACAAATGGTTTCACCAAACGCTTCATTTGTTGGTCATTTGGCCGGAATTTTAGTCGGTTTTGCATATATTTATGGACCACTTTATTACATCATTGAATTGATAACAAGTAAGTGGTCTAAAATAATTATTAATTTTCTAATATAGATATTTATTTATTACTACTATTTATAAAATAATAATAACTGATATTATTAATGGTTTAATGTATTTATTTATAGATATATTTAATGCTTTAGTTGGAAATTCAAACACCAATTATCAAAGCTATGAAAGAAGAGGTTATTCTAACAATACTTCCCAAAGATATACAACAAGCGGAAGAAGTGGATACTCCAATCATACTGACAGTCAATCGACATTTCAATCTAATTACGCGACATATTCGCCGAGTGGTATGTCTGAAGAGGAACAATTAAGAAGAGCTTATGAAGAGAGTATCAATGATTATCGACAAACAACAACACAACCCACAGCACCTCCAGATCCAAATGAAGATAATTTTCCACAGCATTTAAATCCGGAACAATTGAGACAATTAAGATTAAGAAGATATCAAAATTAAATATATTTATCACTTTTTTAAAATAATTAAAAACTTATAAATTGTTACAAATTATTTTGATATTACCGGTTGTGTATAATATTATAAATTATATACAGTTATCATACATATTGTATAAATACAGGTAATTTATACCATAAGTTTAAATAATATTTTGAAAATATTTAGATATTAAATATGAAATTAATTTAAATCAAGTTTTATTGTTGCGGATCCTTTTAATGCCCAAATGGACACTCATTTTGTGGGCCTTCATATTAGATTTCTTGGCGAAACATTGGTCACAGACATCACATTTAAATGGTTTATGTTTTGTATGAACTAATTGGTGTTGCCATAGATGAGTCCGTGTGGAGCACTGGACTGAACATTGAGGCCAATCACACGCAAAATTTTTAACACCATTATGTGTCCTGCGGTGAGCCGGTAGTGAACACCGATTGTTTGTCCGATAGTCACAACCGATCCAATCGCATACAAATGGCTTTAAATTCATATGAGTTCTCTTATGAGTTATTAAAGCACTGGACTGTGTGTAACGTTTGCAACATTGAGGCCAATCACACACATGAGGCTTATTGCCGGAGTGGACATACATATGACGAGTCATATTAGTCGTGTATTGTGTCTCATATGAACATCCGGGCCATTGACACACTTTCATCTTCGTCTTATTATTCGTGTCTTTACATCGACTACTTGTTTGACACACATTATTATCGTTGTCTCCAATATCTTCATTGTCCACATTGTGGTCATTGTGACAATTGCTGGCAGTATTGTCATCATATTTGGCACACATTTGTTTAATTTGATAGTTGAGTCCAATGACAACCCTATCGTTATCGTCAACAATCAGTTCAAACTGTTTGCGTAAGTTTTGGTCATTTAATTGTGTGATTATTTCGCGAAACAATCGCTGATTTATCTGTAATGAAATCATAAATGATTTACATTTTTCCAGTGATTTATCTATCAATGAATTCATCATTTGTTCAAACAATTAATACTTGAATATCATATCAATTATTAGTTTAATTTATATAAAATATAATATTTTATAAAACTTGAAAAATGTTGTTAAAGTGAAACAAAACTTATTGTCATTTGAATAACACTTTCTCTATACAGTAGACTACAGTATAGGACCTATTAGTTGATTAATTTAAGTCATCTGTCATTTAAACAATTGTTAATTATTATACACTGTATAGTAGTTTAAATCAATGTTGATTTATTCAAATAAATATTCATATTATTTAATACTGTATTTAAATTGATACATATATTCATTATAATTAAATTTATATGTATTTCACTTTTTTGAGGACAATATTGAATATATGAAAAATAATACATAAACGATGTATTGTAGTATTAATAACTATACACTGTATACACTGTAGTGTAGTAATCAGTGTTGGCAGAGACAAAGTGTATGTATAATACAAAGCGTATTATACAGTATAATACAATGTAAATTACATGACAATTTTGGCTTACAAAAAAAAAATTTAGCGTCACCTAGTAACAAAAATACTAAAATTCACAAACAAACACGTGTTTTGTAATAATAATTATTATTTTATATTGAAAAAATTTGAAATTAGCTATTCAATTTAATTCTGGTATTGAAATATATTAATAAAATAATTAATATTAATTTTAATAGTTTTAGAAAACAACGATTCTAATAACGATATTGAAATTATGTAATAATAATAATAATTTTAATAAAAAATTAATATTTTAACATTGTTAATGTAATTTTTCTATTATTGTAAAATACATCCAGTACATTGTATTTTACTGTATTTTACAAAACCAAAATTGAAAACCTTGTATTTTTCCAACCCTGGTAGTAATACAGTACATGATATAGCCATATAGAAAATTCCCAAAAAAAAGAAAGATATTCCCAAATTAATTTCCATAAATATCCCAATTTCTGTATAATTTCTGGAATATTTTCTCAATTTAATTTTTAAAAAGTTAAATATAAAATATATATAAATTAATAAAACATTACAGTAATACAATAATTTTTACTTTTTTAGTTACAATAGTTTAACTAATACATGATAAATATTTAGTATTTAATAAAATTTCAAAATTATAATGTTAGTAATAAAGAAATTAATACTATTGTATTTATTTTTAAGCTTAAAAATTAAAAAATTATATAATAATTAAATTATAACAAAATTTACTATAAATATTACTTATATTACTAATATTTATTTTAGTATTTTAATCTTGATCATCTTGAAAGCATAATTTGTTTTGAATGATAAATTTACTATTTATTTTAAATAAACAAATAATGCACTTTCAGCTTTAACGACATATTTTTAATTAAAATTATGTTATATTTAAATGTAATTTATATAATTTTGTATTCAATATTTATATTTATTTATTTATATTAATATCATTCATATAAGCAATAAAATTGCAATAAAACATAGAAATTCTTTTGTTAATTTAATTTTGATTTTTAAAAAAATTTGGTGGAAATACTATAAATAAAATGTCAATTCTTGATCTAATAATTTGACAATTTGTTTGTTGTAAAATGTGTTTACTATCGCATTACTTAACACTAATTACATCATTCAGTTATTTCATGTATTCAATTAGCAATCAAAATAAATTATTAAAAATAAACTTTTTAAAAATTATAATTAAAGTTATAAATGTGTTTTAATATTAAATATGAAACATTTGGGACAAACATTATCCCAAACTTGTTTACCACAATCTTTATAATAGTCTAACATATTTTGCACTTCAATTGTATTGCATTTATCCAATAACTTGATATCAGTTTCAAAGTTGCAAATAATTATTTGCTTGAATTCTTTGATTCCGTAAAAATGTTGACAATTGAATACAATTATCGTATCGTCAGTGATGTCAATATCAATAGCATTATTATAATTGTTATTATTATTACTATTAATTAAGAAAGAGTTTGAATCATTTGGTGTTTTAAAATAAGTCAAAATTTTTTGCCACAATTTTTCTGCGGGAAATGCAATGTCTTCAATATCTGATGTAATGCTTTCGATGTCCGTCTGATACATATATAATTTATCGGGTCTTTTGGCAATAGTCTTGATAGTGAATTCAACCATTTCTAACATAAAATTTGATCTAAATTTATATAAAATATTTTGATTATATTTAAGATAATTGAAGAAAGAAATACCAAACATTGAATCGTTAATTTCATTTTTATAACTATTGTCAAAAAGTTTTTCGAGTAATTCAAAACTTAAATTATTTTGTTTCCAAAACTTTATAAAAACATCAAATATTTTGGTCATTATATTCAAGTTATCAATAGCTTTATAGACAAATAAGTTAAATAAAACGGTATAAAATTTGTTAATATTTATGTTATTATCTTTAAGAAATTGTAATTCAAGGGCTTGTAATTGTAAATCTAAAGCATTTGAAAAATCATTTTGTAATTCACAGACAAAAGCTGCCAATTGATAGGATTTAAAGCTTTTGAGACGATTCAGCAGTGAATTTAAATCTAAATCGTGTCTATAAAATGCTATTATATATGCAAGAAGTTGATTATCATATGTGGCAAACGTTTCACTGAATAAACAATTTATATTGTCATCAATTACTGAAAATCGAGTCGATGTCTTCATTGCATTAATATCCAGACTATAGTTAAGACTATCGCAATAGTTTTCAATATCATCTGATATATCAATTTCAATTGGCAACTGTTCTGCACTTCTATCCCCAGAAATAAAAGATAACAATCTTCTGGTAGCTTTCATTGGTATCCTTTTATTATAATCTTCAAGCAATTTCTCTCTAACCATATGTTGTTTTTTGGGACCAATTTGTGAATCGCTGTTATTTCCAAATCCCCAGAGTTTTCCTGATATGTCTAATGTTAATGAATAATCATAACCAGCGGCAATATCAGTGATATTTATATCACATAACGATTCAATTTTTGTGGGACTACTTAATTCCTTAACATTTATGAGACCTAACTGTCCATCTAATCCTCTCCCAAACGAATAAACACTTCCATCAGTAGTTAATAATAGAGAATGCATACCACCTGAAGATATTTTGATAACAGTTTCATTCAATTCTGAAATATCAACTTTTTGTGGCAATAAATGTTTAGAATAAATATCTGAATTTAAAATTTCTTTTCGTAAATTCATTGAACACTTTTTAAGACAATTTGCATCAATTTTCATAAGTTGAGGGTTTTTACCCCAAATATAAAGCGTTTGATTGTCACGACTTAGAGCTAGAGTATGAAAATATTTTGTGGATATTTGACTAATTGGTTCCTTTAAAAGTGAAATTTTTTGTGGTATATTATATTTAGAATTATTGCCGAGACCTAACTGTCCATATGAACCGTTACCAAATGAATAGACGTAACCATTGGAGTCAAGTGCTAAATAAAAAACCAAATAAAATCAAAAATGAATCTTAATATAAACTCAGGGTTAAGCAAGCTTTTCGATTCTATGATGGGAGAGGGCGGGGGGGGGGGGGGGAGACAAAATAAAATAAAAATCTTTTGAATGTATAGTTAGGGAGAAATGTATATTTTTCACAAAATTTTAAAATCAAGTAGAGTAAACATTTTCTAAATTTTTTTTGTGTTGGCAAAGAGTCTGGAGACCAAAATTCTAAAAGTCTTCACCCCTACCCCTACCCCTACTTTGTTTAACACTGTATAAAATATAACCTCTCATCTTAACAAACCTATTGTATGTGAAAATCCTCCAAATGCTTGTATAATTTGAATGTTATGAAAAAATTGAACCACTTTAGGTGTATATACATGACAAATATGACCTAAACCCAACTGTCCATGAATATTCCAGCCCCATGCCCACAATTTACCATTGCTTGTTATGGCCAATGAATGGTATTGTCCGCATTCTATTTTTACTATATCTTTGTTGACCAGTTCATCAATAATCAATGGATTTCTTGAAAAGACAACATCATTACCTACACCTAACTGTCCAAAACGTGACGACCCAAAAGAATATACTCCAAAATCGGTTAAAACAAGTGTGTGCTGAGACCCACATGATATTGATTTGACAGAAATGGCCAAAATATCTTTGAATAAATCCAAACGAGTTGGTCTGGAAATAATTTTATGAGGATTTATAAAATAATCACTTTGTATACCACAGCAACCAAATTGAGATTTTCCCCATAAATACAAACAACCATTTCTTATAAGTGCTGAATGAGAAACACCGGCACTTAAGTTAACACTTTCTATAGTCAATCGTTTTCTGTTTTTAGTAATAATTTCTTCAATAAATGGATCAATTGATATAAATTTATTATCAAAATTTAAATCTGTTTCGTTGTTTCGTAAAATAGTAAGAATAATAAAAATAAATACATTGAGAATATCCTTCTTTTCAATCATCTGCTCATCAATATCTTCAGAGTCCAGATATGTTTGTTTTAATTGAGTTAATGCTCTGTGGAGTAAAAGTTGTGTCGAAGACCGTCTCGGATCAAAAATCACCGCTAATTTAACTAAAAAAGACTGATCCAAATGTGGCAACAAGTTTACCACAAATCGTAAATATTTACCAATAAGTTTCTTGTGAAGTATCAGTGAGTATGTAATGGTTGATGAAGTAAAACAATTCAAATAATTTGTATTTTGGTTTGTATTAAACAAGACTTTGTAATTGCTATTTAAAATAGTTTCATAAAATTTTTGGTTTAATGATTTTGGCTGCAATTGTGAAGACATGAGTAAGTATTTGACTAAAAGTCCCGATTGTGACCTCAATTGTGCACAATATTGGGCCAAATCATAGAGACCTTCATCTATGAATAATTGTAATACAAAGCTCTCATCAAAATATAAGCAATTTTTCAGAAATACTTTCAATATTTCCATAAAGTCTTTGGCATCATTTGAAACAGATTTTTCAATCAATTGTTGAACCAAACAATTGACAGCAATATTAGCAAACTGTGTCCGCTCTGAATCAGTTAATTCAAACATTTTGGTAGAGAATAGATATTCAATATAATTGAATGTATGACTAAAATAGCCAAAAGACAACATATTTGCCACTCTTTTCTTATGACAAGTTTTGGCCAATTGATAGAAACGAGTCGCTAATGTAAACTCTTGTCTCTCAAGACATAAATCGGCGCTCATTTCATATAATTTTGACACATTTGGTATATTAAACATTAATCCAAATTTATTTGCGTTAACTATTAATAATCCTTCATTTTTTAAATTATTATTTGTGATAATTGAATGAAACATTTGATGTAAAGTTTGTTTTTGTTGACATTTATAAATACAATTAGTTGTTATTACAACAAATGAATCAAAGAGTTTGTAACAATTATTATCATTTGATTGAATATATTTAAAACAATTAATTATAATTTCGGATTCATTGAAATGAAAATTTTGAACAATAGGATTATGTTTCGTTAATTTCTTAAAATCTGAAAACTCACGCGATATGATCGCACAGTTGTCTTGAGAAAACACCATAAATAAGCGATCAGTTAAGACAATACCATCTATTGAATGATACGATTGCTTTGGTATCAAATGTTTGGCAAAAAATGCATTCAAATTGTAATCAAACTCTTTATTTAAATACAATTTGATGACGAGTTGGCCCAATGGTTCCGATTTAGGCAACACTTCAGATAAGTTCATAATTAATGAACTCTGATATAACAAAGTGGTTGACTTAAGTTGATTTGTGTCTTCATTATCATTGATAAAGTCAATCAAAGTTGACTTAAAATTCCAGCAATTGTTTGGTCCAATAGGTTCTCGTTCTTCAGAAGGAGTAATAAAACAATTAAAATAATGATTTTCTTGAGTCGACACATAAGTGTTGGCTTTATTTTTCAATGAATTTCTATTTCTGGACTCTTCGAGAATATGTCTAAATTGTGATCCGTTTTGACAGTAAATTATAAGACTCACTGAACTCATGTCGTCAATGATCTTAAACTCTTTGATTGAGTTCATTACAGAAGTACTGCCGACTTCTTGTTTTGTTTTAATATTAATGAAATAAATTTTCCCTAAATTATTGCCAACAATTGCTATTTGACTGAAGTCATCCAAAGATGTCCACCAAGTGATGACCGTTGGTTCGGATGCGTTGCAGCTTTCAATGACCACTACATCGTCTCGTAAGACATTATCGTCTAATTGTCGGTTAAGAAGTGTTTTAATATCAATAACAAAAATCATTGAATTGGCGAATATTATCACTAATTGACTATTATTTGGATTCAAAGCCATTGATCGCAGCTCTCCATTGGTCTCATTCAATGGTATTTGTCTTAAAACAATGTCTTTATTGTCAACATTATAATAAAAATCATTTTTTATATCATTTTTGTTGAGTCGACAGCAAATCAATTGATAATTATCACAATACAAGACTAGAGTCAATCCATCTCTATCTTCACCGCCAATACATTGTTTTATCTTCACTGATGATGGCATACGAAGAATGCCATCCAATGAATATATGTCATACATATTGTCTAATCAATTGATTCACACAAATGACTCAACAATTTAATCAAATATTTTTAGTTTCATTCAAATAAAACATTTCTTAAAAATCATTTAATAAAACATTTATTTAAATGTTATATAAATATCTAAATATTTATTAAAACATTTAAAACATATTTTTAATTATAAATTAGTGTAAATTAATTGTTATCTATATTTAGATCATAGTATGATATACTGTATTGTATTATCGCAATAAAGTATGCAAACAATTATTATCATAATATCAAACATTCAATTGCTATTAACTTTAATAATAATCTCAAAAATTATGGCACAAATTATGGTCTAAATAATAATAATATTTTTAAAAACATATGAATTAATAGATAAATTAAATGACATATTGTTGTCAAATAAGTCATGTATTAAAGTAAATGCAATCATATGTTGACATTCAATGAATTGATTGCAACAAATGTTTGACAATTTGTGTAAACAAAACAAAAGTATTGTCAATGAATGCAGTCTTCACTTAAACACTTAAACACATATATATTGTATACAATGTATTATAACTTGACGTCATTTATGTCCTATTTTTCATTAATTGAAAGCATTGTTCAATGGTTTACACTATAACTTAATTATTATAACAATAATTAATTTAAAATAATTATTAAACATTTAGTTAATAATATATGGAATTAAATTAATTTAATTTTGTTAATGAATTTTTGATATTAATTTATTTAACAGAAAAATAAATATATAAATTGAATAAATTGAATGAAATAATACAATGACTGTATTGTTATTGAAGTGAATAATAGTTGCGATAAAAACTCGTTTTCATTGATTGTATGAATGACTGAATGAAATCGATTTGAAATATAATATAAATATCAATAAAATTGAAGACATTATTAATAAACAAAACAATAATTATTTGTTTAATTTGTTTACAAAATATTTTGTTGTTTTTATTAATTATTGTCAAAACTGTTGACCATTTGATTGATCGCAAACAATGACCAAAACTGCTGATTTGAATCGGGAGCTCATTCTCGACGAACTATCAAGTAATGACTTATTAACCATCGATGACATTGTGATTATCATATGTTTTAATACTAACCGATAATATGTTTTGTTTGTCAGACTTCGAGAAGAAGAGGAATGGAGACATTCCGGACATTCTGAACAAGTATTTGGAAAATGTGGCACAAAATGGTGACACTGTGTATGTCTTGACATTTGTAGACATCAATTGATGTTTTATTAGTTTTATATATATTATAATAACTAAACTAATTGTTTATATCTACAGCTTTTCGTGGACTAAATTGCAGCCATTATTGAGACGAAAGTTGGAGATTGTGATGAATGAGTTTCATCAGATGTGTCCGACTGACCATTTGATGCCATTACCTAATGTCAAACCCTTTGATTTCGATGAACTTAAGAATCAGATCCTCGAATCTATCGATACCTTTGGTTCGGCGCCGTTCACTATTCAGAGGATCTGTGAATTGCTGACCAATCCATCAAAACATTACAAAAGGACCGATAAGTTTATGCGAGGGATTGAGAAAAATATTTTAGTGGTTTCAACCATTGAACCCAACTCTACCAATGGGTTTGTTATTATCTATATTTTAAACATATTTATATATTTATTATATATTATATCATTTTATACAAAGAAATGAAGAAAATGAATTTCATTCGCCATCAAGTTTTAAAAATTTATTCACAGCATTGCACTCAACTTCCTATTCAACAAATACATCACTAACCACAGCCTCCACTTCAATGTTGGTTAACGGTGTAAATGATGTTTTGTGTGACAATCAATTGAATTTAATGCAATCGTCAAACGAGTCGACTCTTCAGCCATTATCAGGTCCCGTATCGCCGACATCATTGCCATTGTCACCGAATACTACATCCCCGCCTAACCAACATTTACCTCCATTACAACAATTGGATAGCTTTACTAATGTATTTGCTTCGTCTTCACCATCTAATCCATTATCTGTAGTATCAGATCTTCATTCATATGAACAATCGTCAAGTTTATATCAACCAATGACTTCTAATGATAAATGTTTATTATCTTCAACTAATATAAAGTCTTCAGATGAATACAAAATTACTTGTAATCAGGATTTAGATTCAACGATAACAACTACAACGAGTTCTTCATTGCAAAACAATACTCTAACTGATATTAGCAATGATGTCAAATCTAATGATAATATTATACAAAATGATTCAAATCATGAAACTAATGAAACAAAAAAATTTAAACCAAATGAATCCATCGATAGTTTAAAAGTTAATGAAGAAGTGTCTCATTCAAACTCTCAAGAAGAGAACAAAGAAGTAATTAATACTAATCTCAATAATGAAATTAAATGCGACGAAAATACTACTGTAATTGAAGACAAGTTAATAAAATCAACTGATAATTCAGTGGATACTAATAATAGGACTAATATTCAAAGTAATGAAGACATTGGAAGTGAAACAATTACAGAGAGTTGTAGTAGTAGTAGTGATATATGTATACAAAGCGATGAAAATAAAACACCAGTGGATAAGGAATTAATTAACGAATCACATAGTAGTGAGACGTTTGACAATAACGACAATATCAGTGAAGAAGATACGAGTCAACCAATGGATTTCTGTGGCTCTAATAATGGTAACTCCGATCAGAATAACACCGATATAACAGACTTGAGTGATAAAAATAGCGATAATAATTCAATGGATGAAACACTGACCAGTTCTGATCTATCGGAGCCCATGGATGAAGACTAAAACATTGTTTTATTATAGTTACAGTTTTACACTTAAATTTAGAAATATTTTTATTTAAAGCTTATATACAATATATTATAAATAAATTATGAGTTTATTATATAAATAACTTTAAATTTACAAACTACTGTTTTGTGACAATTTAAATATTAGTTTTTTTAATCATAAAATAACAAGAAATCAATAATCATTTTGGTTTTGATTACAATTTTTTCAATAATTGTTTTGCTGTTATTTAGCTTCAACTTTGTATCTTAAAAAATCAAATGTAATTTTTATCAAAGGATATAATTATAAATATAAATAATGAAACAATGCAGTGAAATGTGTGTAATTTAATTAATTTTGGCGATGAATTGCAACCATCGTAATCACACGTTAATATACAGCCCTATTTACATAATATAAAAGTAAAATATCATTATTAGGATATTCCGGTAATTATATTTAGGTAGTTATTTATAATGTAAATTATACTTGAAGTGTATCATTTTCAAATCTAAAGTTTCCGCATTGGTTGTCCATATTTACCAGAGAACAGGCTCTTATCACCAACTCTTCACCAGTCGTTGCTATCAATAGATTATAGATAACAACATTTTTTAAAATTCATTTATTATTAGTTATTAATATTTTTTATTCTTATTTCTGTTTAAAATTTTGTAATAAAAATAATTATTAATATTTTTTAATAAAACTATAATATATAATATATCTTATTTTAATTTGAGTCAGTAAAGTTTAGTTATAAATATTTAGATTACCGCTATATCTATGAAAATATTATGCATTTAATTATTAAATTTTAATACATTGAAGTTATGTATACAGTATAGTATACTGTATTTATGATTATTTTTAATTTATAAATTAAAATTATATAATATATAAGATATTTAATTTAATTGGATTTATGTAAATAAAGTAAAAATATAAGTGAAATGTGTTTAAACCTGTTTTGCCGATGACTTTAACACAGAATCTCGCGGGAAATACTCCGATGTGATTCTGTTTGGGAACCTTACAGTTCTCGATATACTTAGACATTGCCGGATGAAAAGGGTCGGCACAGTATTGGTCCGATCCGTTACGGGAACTACACGTATAACAACTTATGGAAGCACCGACTGAGTCATCAAAATATCGATTATTTCAATTTTAATTCAATATTTAACATATAATTCTCATTAAATAAAATATTTATACAAACTTCTCCTAATAGCAGCAAATGATGTAATGAAAAGCATTGAAAATATAACCAAAAATAATATTATTATTAATGAGATATTCATTATTTTGAAACACAGCTTCAGATGATTTCATTCACTTTAATTAATAAAAATAATAAAATTATGATTAATATCTTTATTTAGTCTTAAAAAATAATTAAAATAGCTTTTAATAACACATTTAGCATTAATTATGTATTATAAAGCCATATTTAAATAATGTTTTAAAATTATTTAATACTGTATATTTTATTTCTACTACTGATTACATTAATTTGAATACATATATTTATAAAATTCTATTTAGATAAAGTAAAAAAATGTATTTTTAAAAATATAATCATATAATATGCTAAATACTAAACTCTTTTGTTTATAAATTATAATTTAGTTTTAAAATAATGATAGCATTGTAATACTAAATATTGATAATAATAAATATTTATTTAATGCGTTTACAAAATAAAAAATTTATATAAATTTAAATTAAATGTATTATTCTTACAATATAAATTTTTAAAGATTATTTTTATATAATGCAAATAAACATTCAATTCTCGAAAAACAAAAAATTATAATAAAGTATTTAATTAAATATAATAATTGCTAATAAAATTATATATTAAATTATATAATAATAATTTAAGTATATTATAAAATATGAAATATTGTATTTTACTTAATTTTTAAATAGTATAATAAAATAAATTATACTCAAAAAAATAAATAAATGTATTATAATAATAAAAAATTTACCTTCATTAATTATCAAATTGAAATTTTCATTGAAATGCGACACAACATAATTAATATTATAATAATAATTTAAATGACTACATGCTATTTATTATTAAATATTTGCAATCACTAAAAAATTATTTTTTTAAATATATTTAAAACCTTTTATAATCACAAATAATGAGTAATATATAGAGTATTTTATAGTACTGTGTGTTTGATTATGCCATCACTTCTAAGCACTGGTATGTATGAAACGATTATTGTATTGACTGCAGACTTAAGCTATAGGAGAGAGAGAGAGAGAGAGAGAGAGAGAGAGAGAGAGAGAGAGAGAGAGAGAGAGACTGAGACAGACATCACATCTTATAATAGAGTATTATATTGAAACGGTTTCGTGACATCGCTTTCATCGATTATCAAACAATACAAATCATAAATTTCAGAACAATTATATAAAATGTGTTTTAAGTAAATTTGTATATACAGTATAACCGATATATAAAATAAATGATTTTTATTAATTTATTAGTTATTTATAACTTTTAAATTAAACCATAACAAAAAGAGTTAATTATATGATACAAATGTTTTAATATTAAAGAAATTAACAAAAACCAAATTAACATAAATTTATTTATATTCTATACTATAATATAGTTACTATAGTATAAAATTTATATAACTTTTAAAAAACAAACTAAACCTAAACCGTATGATTAAACCTAAAATATAAGAAAATAGTTTTCGGTTAATAATTTACGGTTAAACCGAACCGAAATATATACAATTCAGTATTTAAAGGTTATTCACATTTAATGATTTAATAAGTTATTATAATTATTGTTTAGATTAAGTATTGAAATATATATTTAGTTTTGAATTATTTTTTAATTTAAAACATAAATTCTATTATATTGTGATATGTTATACACATCTTAACATTTATAACAGTAAATTGTTTTAAAGATTTGCTTAAAACTAAATTCATATCAATATTATATTATTATTAAATTTATTGATTATATGTTCACTTCTTAAATGACGGCAGAGTTGCGCAAAACAAATGGTTACTAAAAATCTGTTCTCTTTTTCCAAGTCTTACATAATTTTATATTTGTTTTAAAACTGAATTTTAGAAATTATTTTTATTGTAAACATTTAAAAACTTTTATTATTCAATATTTTACTTAATTTCTAAGTGTAAATGCAATCATTACATTATTTAAGGATATTTAAGGATACAATTTATTACTTTATTATCATAACTACAATAAAATTATATATTTATAGATATTGTATATTTGTATAAATTATTTATTTAAAAAATTAATATTTGTTATTAAATATATATTTTTATATAATTTTCTATTTTTTAATCATATAAAATCTATTAGTATTTTTGAAATGAAAATAAGTATTAATTGTCAATTTATTGTTTCATAAAAAGTTATGCCAATATTTTAAAGATTATAATTTAATTATAATTGATTCAATTGATTATAACTTATAAGTGATCATAAAAAGTAAGATTAAAGACAATAAATCCGATTAATCCACTCTTATCTCAATTATTAAAGTAAATATAATTGTTGTCATTATATAACTTTGACAAACATTTATATACAGTATATATATATTAGCATTAATAGTGATATCAATTTAATACTAATAAACGCATTACTCTATAACTTAACTATTAATTTACAAACAATTGATACTATTTTAGGTCTAAATTGATGTTAGGATAGGATATAGTGTACTGTATTTAATAATTTCAATTTAAATATTAAATACAAATTTAGGTATATATTGATTAGTTTTGCATACTATTTGTAATCAACAAAATATATGAAACATTTAATATTTAATATATAATTGATTTAATTAATGATTATTAATAGACAACTATTTGATGGATCGATATATCAAACAGTATTGAAAACAAACAGTTATTTCAATAATATATTTATTATGACTTTTAGGCCTTTAGTTCATCACAAGGACTGACTCTTATGTTTTGAAGACATAAATAATTATAAAAATAAGTATCACTTAATTGAGAGGTTTGTGTGTCTTATATGACATACAATTACTATTGAAATGTATGTCTCAAACACTAATCGATTAAAAAGGGAATCAATTGTTTGATAAATAGTAACGATATTTATGTTTGTTTAGTCAGTGATCGCCATTCACTCACTATTTAGTTAACATTAATATGTGTTTTGAAGTGATTTTTTGTCAATCAATTGAAAACACGCTTTGAATTGATTTGTAAACAATTAATAATTAGTTAGTGTTTTGAAAGTCGACTAAATGTTTGACACAACTTCTGATTGCATGTGATTTGAGTGTCATTTGTGAAGACATGACTTGTTTGCTGATCTTAAGCAACACTTTTCGGTAACACTTCTTGTATGACATTTATGGCGGCATTTGAAGTGGTCGTCAAAGTGACCATCAAATGAATGACCGATCGATGAAAAATATAAATTAATAAATAGTTTATTTAAAATTCAATACAATATTTGATATGATTTTGTAAAACGAGTCATAAGAATCACTTCCAAAGCAACCACAAGAAGATGTCTACTAAGCGAGCAATGACTTCAAACAAGACAAACGGCGACTCAATAGACAACTCGAAAACAAATCTAATAATCAATTATTTGCCGCAACAGATGACAGACCAAGACTTTCGGGTTTTGTTCGCACAAATCGGTGACATTCGGTCCGCAAAAATAATTCGCAAGAAGTCTAATGGTTACAGCTATGGCTTCGGTTTTGTTGATTATTTGCTACCCGAAGATGCCGAGCGGGCTATTAAGTCATTGAATGGCCATTTAGTTGAGCACAAGAAAATTAAAGTAGCGTTTGCCCGACCATCCAGTGATGACATAAAACAGGCCAACCTTTACATCAAGAATTTGCCCCAAAATTATAGCGATCACGACATAAGACAACTGTTCTCACCCTTCGGTAATATCATTCAGTGTCGTCTCGTTGCACATAAAGGTCTGGCCTTTGTGTTGTATGACCTCCACGACGAGGCATTGACTGCCATCGATGCCATGAATGGAAAGACACTGCCCGGTGCTGTCGCACCACTTAATGTCAAGTTTGCCAACGATAACAACCAAAAGGTATGATATATACAATATAGTTATTAGTGATTCACTATTTTTAACATTATTTTAATGAGTTATCAATTATCACAGTTTTTAATGAAATACCGCAATTGAATTTAATTATACTACTCATAAGTATTGATCAATATTTCATTGATTTATATAATATACTATAATTTTATATTAGCGTTAAATGAAACATATTTGAATAATTACCGGTACCCGTAAATATTTTTGATATCTGAAATTCATTAAAACAAAATGATATTTATGGTTGAAATTAATTATTATATTGTTATTAACTATTGTTTTATTTGACAGCAAAATAGTAAACTTTATAGCAGTTCAAGGAAGACACGCGTTTCAGGACAAGGAAGTAGTAGTGGTGGCAGTCCTTATGGGTCACAACGTAGTTACTCTTACTCACATATGCCGTATGAAGGGTACGGTTCATCCGGTCCGATGAGACACGTATCTCATAATCCTCGTGAACATCGATTCAATCCGATATCAAATAATAATTATAACTCAATGCCATACCAAAGCTATAGTGACACACAAACGCCATTAAGCTATGATTCAATGCACCCGTCAATGTCTCAGTCATACTCAATGTCTGCTCCACCGCCACCCGCAACATATGGTGCGTCGGGTACTATAAATAATGGATATAATGCTGAAAAAGGAGGTTACATATTGTTTGCATATAATATCGGTCCCGAAACAAATGAGGACAATTTGGGCGCTTTGTTCTCACATTACGGTAAAGTGGTTCGCGTTAATGTCATTAGAAAGGATTCCCGAGAAAGTAAAGGTTTCGGTTTCGTGACAATGAAGAACTATAACGACGCACTCAATGCCATCAACGCTCTCAATGGTTACAACTTTACGGGCAAACCATTGCAGGTGTCATTCAAGAAGTGATGCTTCCATTCATAAAATTATAGTTCAATTACCAATTCATCTCATCTTCAAAACATAAATCATAATTCGTTCCTTTAATTTACTATATATTACATTATTTATAACACAATTTTGATTTTCATTTTTTTTAGTTCTTAATTATATTGTTTAGGAATCTCGACATTAAATTAAGTTAACCGAGTGGTCCATCAATTGGTCATTTGGTTAACTCATAACAATTTGTATGAATTATTTATTTAAAATGTCATACAAAATGATTTCTCTAAATTACATTATATAACAATTATGCCTATCATTCCTATCGTATAATCATTTATTATTTTAGTCCTCCATTTGTCTCAATGCTTATATCCAATCAATGAATTTAATTAGTATTAAAATAAAAATAAATGAACAAATAAATTAAACTTAAACTAAATGAATTCATTATAATTTACTTAAGCCGTAATTTTGTCAATAAATATATAGATTTAAATATAGAAAATATCATTAAATGAGATGTATATTAGTTGTTGAGTAAGTTGACAACTAATATAAAAATCCCCGACAATTATCGGCTCCACAGCGACACAAAACTCGCTTCGGTTTGTCCTTTAGCTCACCCGATGAAGTGTCGATCCCCGAGTCATTACCACTGCATTCGTGATTGTCCTCACTTTCAGTTAAGCCATGAACTGTATTCAAACATAATGTAAATATAATGTAATTTTAGAGAAAGTAAATATAATGTAATTTTAGAGAAAGTAAATAAATAGTTGTTTACCACTAGTAATCTTGTAGTCAAATGTCAGTTCTTCATTACATCGGATATGTCTGACTGCAAACAGTGCAATGTGTGGCATCAATGGATCCAAATTGTTGATCCAAACACAACGTGTGTCCAAATTGGGATCACACTTTCAATTATAAATTTATAACAATTAGCTTATGATATATTTAGTAAAACACTTACTGAATGATTGACAAAATGTGATACATTTCCACATTGTGTGGCATCTAATGTGTATTTATACATTTCGTTAGTATCCTCTTCTGGAGTAAAGTCCAAATCAAAGAGATAAGTACGTCCTTCGGCGTCATATTTAGCACCTCTTCGGTCGGCTTCTTCAACGGCTATGATTTCTCCCACGTATTCCATTACATATTCCCCTCTATTAATAGGTTCGAGTGTTCGTACGCCCCAACCCTTACCATCATCAGTGCGAAAGATGGATAACTTATGCTAATAAATAAGATTTATCGGTAATTAGAAACATCTAATTAGTTCGTAAATAATAAATATTGAAAAAACCAAACCTTTCGTCCCTTTTGTACGACTCTGTTGACACAATTTTGGTCACATTTGCAATGCCTATTACACTCGTAAATAGCATTGACTTTTTGACTTCTTAAGTCTTTGAGGAAACCCTTTTCATTGTAAGCGATGTGCACCTGATTTGTTGACACACAACATGTGTCGTAACTATCATTACAATTAAAACATTGGCAATAAACAGGTGGGTCATCACTTATTTCAATGTTTTTATTTTTGGTAATACATTTGGAAATGTATGTGAATGTCGGTGGAGGCACTTCATAGTCCACATAGTTCTCCACTGTTATGGGCAGTCCTTCCTTATCACTCTTAATGATAGCGTTTACATTGTTTTGCCATTTAATTAACAATTGTTCAGTTAGTTTTCGTTTGTAAAAGAATTGAGTGAACAAATTAAAATCAGAGAAACGTTTTGTGATATTTAATGACTTTAGAAATTCATTAAACTTTTTATCGATTTCATGTACTCTTTGACCAGCCATTGGTTTTTCAACGATTTCATCGATAAAAGACAAATATTTGTCTCTTAACTCTATTCTCATAGTTCTAATGGCTGTCTTTGTGTGACTAAACGATTTGAGATTTATATCGTTAAAAATCAAAAGCATTGTCGTTAAAACATTGGTCTCAACTTTCTTCTCATAGATATCTTCGAGAATACCTTTCAGTTTATAAAACTTCTGATAGATATCTAACAAATATTTCTGTTGAGTACTATCTTTGATAAAACAAATGTGATTATATTCTTCAACTAATTTTTTACAATTTGAAAGATTGTAAATCGGTTCCCATGTGTTGTTGTCGGAGCAATAATTCTTCCATTTGACGAAATACAACGTCTGTTTGGATTCGACATCAAATTTCTTATCATAAATGGCTTCCACTTCGTAATTAACACCACTTGATGATCGTGTATACGATTCGTCGTCTTCGTCGTCATTATCTTCAAAATCAATTCCTAAAGCCATACATTCTTCTCTAATTTGTTTTGCTGATTGTAATGCCGGAACAGTTATCACATTCTCATAACACTCTTGTATTAGTTCCAACTCAAGATCTAGTGTTATCTTTTCTGATTGAATTTCAATTGTGTTGGCCATACATTCAAAGTGGTCATCACTAGTCAATGAAAATGGTTTTACGATTGATTTTGTCACCGATTTGGTTATGGGTTCGGGTATGGCTTGTGGTATGGCTTTTGGTATTGATTGAGGTATTGATTGAGGTATTGATTGTTCATCCATTGAGTCACTCGTGTCTTCAATTGTGATGACATGAGTAGTGGTAGTCGTCTGTAGTTTATTCTTCTTATTTGCCAAATTTGTCACATCTATTGTCAGTTTATTGTTTGTGTCAAAGACTAGTTTTGTTTGTCTCGATCTCGAGTTTGTTGACTTCTTCCGTCGTTTGTTTGGACATAGATTTTCATTCATTTTATCTCTAATTGTCTACAAATTCAATACAAAATCAATGATTCAAATGAAAGACAAAACAAAACACAAACACAAAGTCAATGACTGACTGACTCAGTGGTGAAAAGTGCGCCAAATCTGATTGGATGTCAATTCAAATGTGGCTCTCATTGATGAGCCAATCAAAGACTGCCACAACTTTCATGTGTTGGTTTTGACCAATCATTGTGTGACTCGAGTGATGACTGTATGTATGAACCAATGAGAGCACTGAATATTGTGGTGACGTTACCGGTGTTTGCAATGAATGTAAAAAGTAATCGAAATTTTCATTCAATTCAATGACTTTTAAATGAGATTTTGTTTTCAATTAGTTTTTATTTAATTCAAGTTTTTCTTACTTTCATTGATTTCTTCTTCATTTATCTTTGATTTGTCACCACTTTATCAATACTTATGACAATTATGAACAACTGGTCATCAATACAATGGATGACAATTGTCTACATTTGCTTTCAAATGTTACGATTGAGTGAATGTCTGCGAGAAGGCGAGTGTGAGGGTAGGTATCAATTGGACACACAATACATACGTGGATCTAATGACTTATTTATTTATTTTACCATTTAGTTTGCGTTGGAGTTATCAACAAATTGATCAATAGATTAGATAAGAATGAAAAGTCAGATCCTCTGAAGATTGAGAAAAAGTTTAAAGAGTTGTGTTTGGAATCCAAGAAGTCTGAGAACCGATTCGTTAGTTTTGCTCTTTTATTAATTACTTTATAATCAATTAATGGATTAAATTGTTTTAATTTGTTTCTACTATTTAGTGCTACTATATTGGAGGACTCGAAGAGTCGGCCACCAAAATATTGGGTGAAATGTCAAAACCATTGAGTTGGGGATTACCGGCGGATAAAGTTTGCGAAAAGTTGGTCAAAAAGGACTCTCAGATCTGTGAACTCAGATATGGTTTGTTTTTTCACTCCATAATGAATGAAAATATTTAAATATTGAAACTATTGTTTATAGAAAAGACAATAGACTTGAAATCAGTTGACTTGAAGAAACTGCGGGTTCGCGACCTCAAGAAGATCCTAAACGATTGGGACGAGACATGTGATGGATGTATAGAAAAGGCAGAGTTCATCAATAGGATAGAAGAATTGAAACCTAAATACATTCGCGAAGAACTTTGATTTTAGTGAATAACGATTAGTCAATAGGTTTTTAAATTAAATTATTTACCTTATCTTTTGTATAACAATAACACTTTCACTATTAAGGCTTTCATCACTACATTGTTTTCAAACAATATTTTATAAGTTATAATAAATTAATTTTTAGTTTATATTTATTCATGTATTTATACTGTATGAATATCTCCATTAAATTAAATAATAAATATTTATTATATAAGTTTTTGCAATAATTTATTATTTAAATAAAAAATAATGAATGTTTGAATCATTATTTCGAAAATATGGCCAAAGAGTAAATATTTTTTTTTTAAATAATCAAATAATAATAAATGTGTATCAATTAAAAAGCAGTGTTCAATGTTTTGTTTAGCAATACTAGCTTTTAAAATAATGTACAATAATTGTTATAAAAAGTATTTGAAAACAAACTTAAAATCCCAAATATAAATACAATAAATTTACCGCAAATTTTTATACTATTTTGAAATTTAGCTCAAATTTAAGATAATTTAAATTTTTTGTCAATAATTCGTAAATTTTGTTTGTCAATTAAATTCTCATTCAAAATATACTGTATATCTCAAAAATTAATACTTAGTATATAAATAAAATATTAATATAATCTATAAATAAATACTGTATAGTGTTAACAATATAAAAGTGCACTTACAATAATTTAGTTTAATTTCAACTCAATTTAATTGAATTAAAATTAACTAAAAGTAGAGATCAACATAATTGTTATTGTATAATACAGTACTACTGTATAATTACTGTATATATGGCAGCCTATTAGGAAGTTACCGGTATACTGTGCTTTTAATATACCAATAATACACAATTACAATCACAATAATCTAACTAAAATTGTAAATAGTATTAAAAATTATAGCAATTATATGATTTTTCTATTACCGGTACAGTATTTTGTCATAACTAACACCAAACTAGTTTAACTCATTGCAAACTTATAAAAAGATATTACCGTAATTTGATTTGTTTGATACAAGTATTTTGGTACTAAACAAATCTGTGTTAATTTATCACTATTGAAACATAATGACAAATATTAAATACAGTTTAGATATTGCATAACAATATTATGATACAAATAAATTAATGAAATTATTGTAATAAAATTTTTTTGCATAAAACACTAAAATACCATAGAAATAGATGATACATATAATTAAAGCACAGTATAGTTAGTGTTAATTTAATTATGATCTCTACATATTGTATATAATAAGGCTCTTAAAATTGACAATTATTTAACATTATAATTACCGTAAATACTTGAATTAGCTATTATTAGCTATATTATTGAGGATTGTCGTCAAAATAAACTTTGGTGATAACTATATCTCCAGTTGACAGAGTCTGTACCCCAGAGTCACATAATAACCTATTGTCTGACAGACTTTCATTAATCACTGATCTACTTGTTATTGAATTCAATTCAATGTTTAAGCCGTTTTGATGACAACAACAGTTACAACAGCTCTTGTTTGAGACGAGAGAATCAGATGGACTGAAGACTGTTATATTATGATTATTAAGTTCTGAGCTCGGGATCGAACAGTCCTCGTCATTGTCTGAATCCACTTCATTGTCTGAGTTTTTATCCGAATCATCGTCACTAAAGCTCATAGTATTAGTGTCCAAACTTTGACTACCATTACCCGAAACGGTATTTGCATCCATTGACTTTTTATCGATACGCTCCAGCTTTTTGGCTACTTTTTGTGAGCCCTCAATTTTGGCCCGGATTTCATCCGTCAGATCAATATATCTAAATAAATTAATTATACTGTTATTAAATGTATTTTAATTGCAATAACTTATAATCAATACCTTAATAATCTAATCTCACGATTACTTAAAACAATTTGTTTGGCTTCAGTATTGAAGAGTTTCATCTTCAAGTCTGTCACTTCCATATCAAGTTTTCGTTGTTTTTTCATATGTTTTACTTTTTCTGTGTCTATCTTAGCATAGATTGCCTCAAAATTTAATTGTTTAAGTAATGGTAAATATTGTGTATGAATTGCATTTGACATTTTGTTGTAGACATCGGGAATCAATGAATAGACATCAGATGCCGCATAAAATATCATTTCGTCGCTAAGCGGTCTATGACTCCAATATTTAGGATCTTTTCGATAGATTTTCTTCATTTGATCCTTCTTTGCATTGCAAACGTATGTATTATTACCGTATATTTCGCACAAATTGTTTAGTGATGTATATTTAGCTTTATATGCCGGACGTCCAGTATTTTGTTGTTGTATTATTGAATGCGAAACTTGAGTGTCAAAAATGTTAGCAATAGTTATCCCGTATTGACCATAAAGACAACAGCTGTCGTTTTTCACGTCATGAATCACTTTAACAATATCTTCGGATTCAAGCAATGTTTTCAAACAAGACTTCATAAGATCTGGATTTAAGAAAACGTCAAAAATACAGACTTTAGGTGTCGTTTGATGAGAAGTCATGTAAGCCAACTGAACTAAAGTGATTTGTCCTCCGGTTCCTAAGTTAATCCCTTCGCAATCAATGGCAAAATATTTGCAATTTTTGTTTATATCGTTAACAACTTCTTGTCCTTCTTTTATTTTTGTAATTATTCGTGTATTACGCATAATATTTGCCTCAATATTGGTCGACAAGTTATGGCTATTATTTGTATGATTTATATTCTTGTACTTCATCTGCGAATTGTCTGAAACTATTTTCATTATTTGTGACCGAATTCTCTGATTCATTGAACTGACTGAAGAAGCGCTGTTTATTCTTGAGGGCGAAGATATTGGTGTCGATGTATTGGAAGATTGAGTCGAAGGGTTTGATTGTAAAGAGATATTATTATTAGAATTATTAGTATTATTATTATTTAAATTAAAATTATTAATATTATTATTACTATTATTAGAAATATTATGTTTATTATTAATATTTTTGCTGTTAATATCGTTTAGTTTGTCTTTATTATTCCTCTCCGGTGTCAATGAAACAAAGTGTGATTCAACAAGAAATACCTTTGAATTCATTTTCAAGAATGTTATTAAATCATTTGAATTTTTAACACATTTGGTCCATAATTCTAGATTACAATTGTTTTTCATGTAATTAAATAGTATATCAATAGTTAATTTAGTTGAGTATTGAGGCGTCAGTCTTGTAATTTCTGTCTCCAAAAATGATATAAATTGTTGCGTCAAATATGGATCAAAAGGCACCTCTTCAGGCATTCTGGTTAATGAACCTTTAGTCTTGCCGTCGGCTTCAAGATTATCGATAACACTCTTGAGAACAACATAATCATCAGAAACGACAAAAACATCCGAATGTCGACATAGAAAGTCTTTGAATTCCCTCGAGTGCTGTCCTGAGACATGTCTTACTTCAGGCGGTGCTTGTGATCGATGTCCTAACAGACTCTTTAGAGGCACCTCTGCGTTGCCATATTGTGACAACTTCTCCCTGAAGAACTCGACGGCCTCTTTAGTATAATCTCTTTTGCCAATTAGTCCTCCATTAGTCTCTTTAACTAACGGTGTGATCGACACCTGATCGTCTTGTATACAGAAGAGAGACGGATATTCCAATAGAAACTTCTTGAGTCCCGATTGACTGCCGCCAGCTATTTGTCTCATTTCTTTCGTGAATCCTTTGGTGCCGAACTGACACGAGAGGTCATGCAGTGTCCGCGGCTGGTCTTTCAACATAAGTCGGTCCAAGAAGAACATCAAAGTCATATTCCTCACGTACTCGTAGTCGTCCATCGCTGACATAAAGACTTATTGTTTACCAAAAGTAGACAATTGTTTAATGATTAGTGCAATACAATTGTGGCACTAATTTGATGATTATATGACACTCAATATCACTAATGAAGTAACCATTCATAACAAATGGTCTTTAATTCAAATACTATCACATAATGTCTTCATTGATCAACATATTCACCATTCATTCACTTTATGATATTAATTGCATTTCATTTCATTATATAGTAATTATAATTTAAATTCAATTAAATATTTTTAATTAGAAAAATAAATAAATAAATAAAAAGTGAAAATAAAATAAAATGTTTGAGTTTTGAGATCAAAACACAACAAAACAAAGCAATGGTTTAAATGCCAAACAATTTGAATGCTTTGAATGCACTAAATATTTGGCAAAACATTTGTTAATTGAATTACTTTATTATTATTACATTTAACTACAGTATTAACGATTCATTTATTCAATATATTGACAGTAAGTATGTTTTTGTGACATAAAATACTTTAAATAATATATAAACTTTTTGCTATCAATTTAACATAAATTCAAATAAAAATTACATGTATTTTAAAAAATAAATATCACATAAAAAGTGGTGTTTTAGGTTTAAATATATCAGTCAATTCTTATATGCATTCAATAGTAAATTTTAAGCAAAACTTAATTTGGTTTACATTGTATTGCATTGCATTGCAATCACTTACTGCTTACATACCTTAGACTGCTCTATCATTTTGACTGATTATACAGTATATTACATATTGAATAACTACTTAATACTTGTTGTTTATATGACTTTATAGTTAATATTTACTAACTTATAGTATAATGATTGCCTGTTTTGACTATAAAACTATTTAATTTTATTAACACTTGTTTTTATGACAAATATTTCCTTCATTATTAAGTTGTTATAATAATAATATTATTATTATTTTCCATAAATAAATTTGTCGTTTTCATAAAGATTTTTATTTTTGAAGCTAATTCTCAACTTAAATAAGAAAACTTATGTCTGAGTCTGAGTTAAGACAAAACTATAAAAATAACAAATAAAAAAAATAAAATCAATATAAATGATAAGTATTAGTGAGAGAGTAATGACTATAATCTAGTTTTTTGAGACTTTAAACATTAAAATGTAATGTAATTCTTATCGATTTGATTATAATAACTAACAAAACAATGTATAGTTATATTCAATATATTAATAATAAAGCATTTTTGTTTATAATAAAATAGATTCAATAATTTTATTTAAGTTATAATAGTCATATTTATCATTAAATCTAAAATTTTACTTATCAATTAACATCAATTATTATCAAGTTTTCATAATAATAATTTTAAATAGTAGTTATTATTAATTAGCACATCTAATCATACATTAGAATCGACATTAATTTGTCGGTCAAATTGATTTATTTAGGTGTGGGAGATATCAAACTCTTAGCCATTAAATAAAATATTTTAACCAATAATTATAAAAACTGATTATTGTCACATAAAATGTTGAATATAACTTTTTAAAGTATACTAACAAGTAAAGTAGTTTTTGCTTTAAAGTTTACTTTTAATAAAAAAAATAATAATATAAACAATTGAACACAAACTTGAAAACTAAAAAAAATATTTGTGAGTTAAATTTAATCCTTATATGTATAATTAGCTCAATTGACATTACACTGTATTATTATTACTAATTAAATTATATAAATTATACAAATTATAAAGTATATATTGCTATAATGACAAGCAATTTCCCAAATAATTTTGACAATTGAAATAAAAATATGCATTATTTAGATTAGTTAGCATTTTTGGTTATATTTTCCTTATCATCAAAATATATATTATAAAAAAGTTATGATGTGATATAAAATTTGTATAATGAGTCAAATAATACTGTATATTATTTAAGAGTTTTTAATGGCTATTTAAAATAAATAATCTCGATTTCTCAATATTAATCTAGAATTATGAATATTAAATAAATAATAAGTATATGTTGAGTGAAACATCAATATAATAATTATTTTATTTTATTTAACATACCAGATAATTATATTAACAAACAAATATAATTTAATTTATTACACTCACTGTATATTTATGCTAATAATTTTCTAGTTTTTATTGTAATAAAAGATAAAATTTTTGATTTTTTAATTTCATTTGGCAAACTATACAAGAAATTCATTTTTGAATTTTTTCCCTAAACATAGCAATGCCTGGCATTTAATAATAATTATTGTTATGCCTAAACACGTTTAGCAATTATAATATTATTTTTTCAAACAATACAACAAACTCATGCTTTTTAATTTTTTGTATTAATTTGTTAATAAATAAATTGAAATAAATGATAAACAATTGTGTAAACATCTTTCATTAATTACATTAATCTTAAAATGAAAAAACTACAGGTGCATTTAATTGTTATATAAAATAGTAAAATATTATGAAATAGTAGTATATTTTAAATCAATTATTATTTATGTTATAATTTTTTATATAAATATATAGTTAAGTAATTAAATAAGTTTAAAAATATATAATTATAAATCATTAAAATATGAATTTTACTTAGAATTATTTAAAAATCCCAGAATATATTTTTTATGAATATATATCCCATATATTTTAAGATTATTGAAAATTAATTTAAATTATTAATCATATTTGGGATTCTTTAGTAAATGTAATATTTTGAGTACATTTTCTATGGGTTTGTATATAAATAGGTGGATAAGCCGTGTAACTGAACCCATTATGAGGTATTCTTACGGGAAGTCCTACTTCATTGATATCACCTTTCAATTGTTGTGGTGGTCTCTCATCTTTAAGTTCTGCTTCATCTTCATGTATATCATCCATTAAATGACTAGACATTGAAACAACTTCTTTACAATTTTCTGAAGTCTTTTTTAAACAATTGGATTCTTCTGGTAATTGACTGTTGCTTTCGTTGTCATTAATTTGAGATTTATTACGAATAATAAGAGAAACAATAGTAAAAACAATTGAAAGGATAATGAAAGCACTGCCGATACTCATCAATACTACTGATATTATATATGGAGTTGTATTGAGTTCTTCTCTATATTGAAACACAAACGGGTTGTCCCGATATGGAGAAGTTGGAGACACGGAGGACATGCCTATCACGATAATACCGGCCATCAGTAAAATAACACCAAAGCTGACGGCACAGGCGGCACAACCACAGCTCAATAAAAAAGGATTAAATTTATGATTTGAATCAATAGACATTAGTATTGGTTTTTTTTCACTAATTTTGTTTAATTATTGTTTATTTGATATTTACTTGAGTTTAAACATTTATTATAAATCTAATATTGTAATCAATCATCAAAAACAATGTAAAAAACTAAATAATGCCAGTCATTGAAGAATCCACTTTATATATGAAAACTATATATAGTTTATATGCTATTATTAAATTATTTAGCAATTCATCATAAAATTACTTATCAATTGACAAATTTCAGTAATATTATTATATAATTAAATAAATAATATTCAGTACAAAAAAATCTCCAAGTGATCCAAATCAAAATTAAAAGCAGGAAAAAATATATGAAACAAATAATCAATATTTAATTTTTTTAAATAGAAAATATAATACAATAGTTGGCACATATATTTTAAAAAATTGTTAATAAAATTATGAGCATTAAATCAATAATATATTAAATTTGTTAATAATTAACGATAAATGTTAGAAAATGACAAAATTTAAATTTAACAATTATAACAAAACCATATTATTTAATATAAAACTAATTTGATTTAATTTGTTTGCAATTAGTGTTGAAATAGATTTGTTTGAATTTATTGCGAGAATAGCTTTGTTTATAAAATGAAGCAAAAAGTATGAGAAAAAGCGCCGCATTTACTATCGATAGATAACTGAAGGCTTTCGGTGCGGAACAGTTGGGAAGCAAAAGAAGACGAACACTATTTGTTATGATTAACACAAACTGAATGATCTGTAACTTTGTTAAGTACTTCTTCCACCACAAGTATGTCTGTATTTTCGGACCAAATGTAGACAATGCGTAATAGCAATACATAATAACGTGAACCAATGAGTTGATATATAAGAAGAAAGCATTGTTACCTCCGGGCAAGAATTTGAAACCAATCCATACTAAGATTGGTACCAATGAGTGATGTATTACATGAAGACTTGTCAGTTGATTATATTTTTTACGTAATATAAAGAATATAGTGTCGGATAACTCAATAAATTTGGTTATAAAGAAAACCCAACCGAGAAGTAGTTTGCGATCTTCTATCGGGTCATTAGCCGTATGATTAACTGGTTGACAGCCCCACGTGTCGAGACCCCAATTCAATAGAAGACAGGCCTCTGTGAACATCCAAAGCGATATAAATACCATCAAAATATTATAAATTAAAATCAATTTCTTCAGATTGTATGCATTGCGGCCTTTCATCAGTTCTGGACCATAGAATTTCACGAAATAAAGATATGATGCTATAATGGCCAGTGTAGACCACGGACCTCCTCGGAAAAATGGCCACAAAGTACTACGCGGGTCATCATAAAGTTGCCAAATGTCGTAATAATAAAAGATGAATGACTTGTTTGATATTAATAGACACCAATTGGTGGCAAAAGACATTTTTCTATATTTCTGTCAATTATTATTATTAACTTAATTATTAAAATTATATTTATAAAATCAAATCAATTATTTGTCTCAAATCAAAACTTACAATTTTGATGTACAATTAGTGAGTGATATTATTTTGACCAAATCATCTATATATGATAGTTGTAAACACAATTTTTTACACTTTTTAAACATATATTAAAAGTCACTTTTAAATTTAAATCAATATATTTTTGAAGATAAATACTTTTCTATAAATTAAAACATTTTCATTTACACCTCATTTGAAATATTGCAATCGTATGAGTTTTTTGGACAGTAATTGAAGCATAGTTTGGCCCATCAATTGTTGGCTTCAATTGTATTGTTATATTATTACTCTTATAAAATGAAATTATTAGCTAAACTCACAACTCATCTCAAATATCTTAAACACTATTAGCTAACAATCTTATGAGTCTTGAATAAGACACAAATATTAGGGTCAATGCCTTTACAATGGGAATGTTGGTCACAGAACCTAATAATAGGTCATATGGTATCTCATGTGCGCTAACATCAGGGCTAATGACCACCCATTCAAACAGTTATATACACTCTTTGAGCTTTTAATTTATTACCAAACTATTACTATTATATTATTATTATTATTATTATTATTAGATATTTATATCAAATATTTGATTGCTATACAACAAAATCACTCATTAAATATTTTAATTATTATTAACTTTGTTTCTAATTTTTAAAGCTTATTAATGTGTATAAAAATTAATTTATTTTTAATGTATAATACTTTATAAGCGTTTGTTATATTTGGAACTAATTTTATAATTTTATAAAATATGTATTTAATTAAATAATAATTATATATAAAGAATAAAAAAATAATATTTAAAAATGAGATTTAATATAAGATTTAATTTTGAAATAATTTAAAAATCATATTGTACAATTTTATAACTATAATATTTTTAAATATTATAAACTATATTATTGATATATTTATTATAAACTAAAATAAGTTTTTTAAAATGAATTTTTAATAAAAATTATGGATAGACACTTATAATAGTCTTTTAATAGTTATTAATTAATAAAATAATTTAAACTCATTTTAAAATATCTTAATAATTTTGATACAACTTTTACTACTGTATCACATCATTAAGTACTGCATATAATACTTGTATATTAATCAGTATAAAGTATTTTATGATAATTAAACTTTAATGAAATTTTTATTATAAAGTTAATAAAACAACTAATACTAAATTAAGTTATAAAATAAATAAAATTTAAAACATGCAATCATTACAAGGTTTTTCAAATTGTTGATTAAATGTTGTATTCAAGTAATAATAGTCTAACTGTAAACTAATTGCAGTATTCAATTGAAACTTAATATTAAATACATTTGTATAGTCTATAGTATAGACTCTATAGTTTGTACGTAATTTGTATTACATTAGCTATGATATGATTAATTGAATTGAAGTGATTGTCATCAGTAATAGTGTATTACATGAATAAATCATAAATAGTGTTAAATCGCTAATTGATTAACAAAGATGAGTGTCAGCCGTCGGCTCTTATTGTTGTCCAACTCGACGATGTCGGACAAGCCTTACATGGAGTGGTCTAAAGACCTGATCTATCAATTCCTCGGCAGTAATGTTAAGAATGTTGTGTTCATACCATTTGCTGGCGTAAGCATTGATTGGGATAAATATGAAGATAAGGTTAAGACAGCACTGAATAAGTTGAACATCACATCCATTCATAAGACAAGAAATTATTTGGAAAGTATAGCTACAAGTGATGCCATTATGATTGGTGGCGGCAATACATTTCATTTGCTTCATCAACTTCAACATTTCAATTTGATTGATGCCATCCGTAAGCGTGTCATCGATGATGGCATTCCATACATTGGTTGGTCGGCCGGTTCTAATGTGGCCACTCCTGACATCGGCACCACTAATGATATGCCAATTATATGGCCTCAAACCGAAAGTGCCCTTAATTTGGTTAACTATAATATTAATCCTCATTATAATGAATGGAAACCTGAGGGACATCAGGGAGAGAGTAGGTCTGACCGACTCAATGAATGTATTGTCGTTAAGAAGAGACCTATTGTTGCCATTAGTGAAGGGTTGGCCATTCGCGTGGAGGGCGACCAACACATTGTGGTCGCACCCGATCTTAATATACCTAACAATAAGAGAATGGTTAAGATTTGGAAACATAACAAAGCAGCTAATGGTGACAATATTCAAGTGATTGATATCAGCTATGGTCAAGATATTGCTCCCATTGTTAACAATTGAATCATATTTTCTAATAGTCTTTAAAATATTTTATTATATTACGATAAATATGAATTTAATTTTGTAAAAACAATGTTTGTTTAAGAAATGATTAAATTTATACATTTATAAACTGAGATAAAATATATTTTATAAAATACAAGTACCGGTAAATAAATAAAATAAAATAAGTCAAATTAGTGTAAATAAAATTTATAGTTAATTAGTTTTTAAATTTTGTTTAAATATAATTAAATGAGACATAATTTTATATGAATTTGTATAAATAATAAAGTTTTGACGTCCAATCAATAGATCAGCTAAAAGATCTAAATGTAACACTCGTGAGTATATGTTTAATACATAAACATTAAATATGCAAAATGTAATAAAATTATTACCACTAAAGCAAATGATAATTAAAATTATATGCTATTTTAAATTATAACGATAATAATCAGATAATGTGATGTTATAGATGTTGTGTATAATCAATCAATGGTTACTTTTTCTGAATGTTAGACCGATCTCCGCGACAATTGGGACAAAACCATTTGCCTTTTGGTTTAGTATTTAATGAAACGCATTGAAAGTGAAACCATTCAATCTTACAGTCGCTGTTATCACAACAAATCATTTCACCGAACGAGACCTGATCGCAGAGACAATATGTCGGTTCGTCGGGATCTATGGGCGCGCCCTCATAAAGAGGTGGCGAACTGTCGCCCATTAATAGTGAACTACTTGAGCTGTTTAATGAATTTCTGCTGCGTTTCATGTCTTTGTTGGTCACTTTCATTCCTCGTTTGACCGATCGTTTCGCTGACCGATCGTCGTTATCTTTGTCGTGATTATTACGAGAATTATTGTTACGTCGAGCCGACGCCCTCTTACTCGCCGATGAATTATCATTTTGATGACCATTAGAGTTGCCATTAGGCATGTCTTTTGTTTGCGAATCATTACTTGAATTATTAGTGTTGTTGTTGTTGTTGTTGGTGTTATTATTATTGTTATTATTATTATTATTATTAGTATTATTACTATTATTATTACCATTAGAAGAACTGCTGGTTGAGTCGGATCGTTGAGCCGAAGAACAGTTGGTAGTGACTGGCAATGCATTTGTATTTTGTATTTGAAGTCTTGAGTTATTTGTTTGATTGGTTTGCGAGTTGTATAGTGTGACCGATCGGAAATCGTAGTCCAGTTGCCGAGCCTTACAATCCAATTGATCTAAAATTGATTGAATAAGTAATAGTTTTTCGTCGGCGATCTCTTGTATATCAATTAAACATCTTTGAAGTTTAATAAGTGATTTGCGTTTTCGTATATCATTAGTAGTCTTATTTGAGATGAGATGTAGATTTGTGTCCAAATGTTGTAACAATTGATGATATCTGTGGTTGTGTTCATGCAATTGAGTCATTTGTCGGGCGATATCATTGGGTATATTCTCAACCAAATCCATATAGTCTTCAATGTATTGAACAATTGACTGCAGAGGAGATTCAGACATAGATGTCCTATCACTCAACACGTACTGACTCGACGACCACATTGTTTGGTCAATCAATGGTCAAAACACACCCGAAATGATGTCTCAAATCAATCAAAACAATTGTTGTGTCAAATGTCACACAAAGTGTTTGTTTTGTCAATCAATCAAATGTTTCAAAATATTTATATTATTTGTCTCTCAAATCAAACCATATTTTAAGTCACTTTTGTCAGACATGTGTCAAAACTAACACTAATTATGTCACAAAAATTATCAAATTTATTAATCATTATAACTATTTATATTCAAATATAATTCAATTATAATCAATTAAATGGTTTAATAATAAGTTTTATTTGAATTTATTATAAATAATTCACTAAATAATATAAAATATAATAATATTAATAAATTATAAAATATCTAATGTAAACGTTATTTGTGGTAATTTTACTATTAATATAATAAGTATTCAAACGTTAGTACAAACACTCAAAGTATTTGTTTATAGTATAAACTTTATATACATTTATTTGGTTTGTATTATACATTGCTTTAAATTATAACTATTATATCATATATGATATTATAATACTATTAATTAAAATATATTAAATATTAGATGCAATATATTTTCAATTAGCCATCAATTAGTTATATCTATTAATTTAAATGAATATATAATTTTCTATATCATAAATATATGTATTTATATAATTGTTAGCCTATATTGTACTATATTTACAGTAAATTTAAATACAGTTATATTACAGTAATAACAGCTGACATAATAAACAATCATATTATAAGTTATAACATAAATATGTTATAAAATCTATAAATTATAACAAATCAATAATAATGACACTATTATTGTATAAAATAATATACAAAACTATATAATTGTGAATTAGATATCAACTAAATTAACTAAAATATTAGAAAACTTATAAATAACACAATATATTAATTAGTTATACATTTATATGACATATATTATACTGTACTACACATTATATAATATATTTTAAATGATATATAATATTACCGTTAAATATGATATTAAGAAAATATATTTTACTATTACTAAAATTTTATTTATCTTTAATAACAAATGTTAATAATATTTTTTAATGAAATTTTAAATCAAAGTGTTATAATTTTATTTCATTTGTTCATTACTTAATTATTTGGTATTTGAAATATTTATAAAACAAATATATTGATTATAAACTGCTTAGAAATAACAACTACTGTATTATATAATGTATATATAGTTTAATATCTAATTAATTGTTTTAATGCTATTTAATATTATTAACTCTTATTATAGTAAAACATATCTCTGTTTCTCTTTATATTTATATTTATATTAATTATTAATATATTATATAATAAATTCAATATAAATATTAATGAATTTATTGTCAAATATTAAACTTTTAGCTAAAGAAAAAAGTGGTAGAAAAAGACAATCCCTTTCTCTACTATTATTTGATTACAATTTGTATTAAAAATCAATTGAATTCAATGTATATTTCAATACATTATTTAAATTACAATTGAAAACAATCGTAGAGTCTGTGTATGTATGACGTCATGCATTGACTTAGACTACAGTCATATCATAACACAAATCATGTGATTGTCTAACAATTGATGCGAATTAATGTTTACATTGAAATGTTTCGACCATTTGATGACTTTTTGTTTATTAAAGATAACTCATTTGATTCATTGATTCATTGATTTATTGTTAATATGTCTGTCATTGCAATGACAACCACTACTCACTTACCACAAGAAGTTTCTCAACAATCAATGGACACAAGTCCTGAAAATGTGGACAAACTGCGGACAATCCGTGCGTTTACCGAAAGCCAACTCTTGAGTCTCTATAATAATAGTCAATTGGATGACAACCAGCTATTTGTTGATACTTTCCTCGAGGTATGAGTACTACCATCTGATTAATTGTCTATTTGTTATTACAATTATAATATTTATATAATTATGTTAATAATTAAATTGAAAATGAATATAAATTTATTGATTGAAACACATATTGTGGTCAATTGATTGATAATTATGATAAAATTGGTCCAATGGTTGAAATGTCTATATATTTGTTATTAATGTTGTTATTAAAAATATTTGTAAATTTGAATTTTAAATAGTATTTTAATAGTATTTTAAGCAAAAGAAATAATAACTTTGTATTTATATGAATATCATATATGATATTAATTATAAAATTATAGACAAATTTACGAAATAATGGCAATAAATTGTATGAACTATTTGTTGAATTGGAGAAGAGTCGGGAACGACATAAAGATATCAATAATAAAGTGCAGACTTTGAGAGGCAATTGTGAGACACTTATGGAAAAAGTTTGGAATTTGGAGAATAAGACAATTGTACGGAACGGTCGGTGTTCTGATAATCGGACCGTTAAAGCCATTCATAAATACAATGAGTCGACTCTAAGCAAAGATAATTTGAAACAATTGGATAAAACATTTCTTTTACTTAAAGAGTCACTTTGTAATGACAACTGTCTTAACCATTATTTGTATCAATTTATTCGTCTGGAAATTGAAAACTATTTGATTCACATTATTAATGAAAGAGATGTCGATAAGAAACCAAATCAGTTGCGAACCGCTATTTCAGATTTATTTGCTTATCAAAGAAGATGTTTAATAATACGTGACGAAGAACTTAATAGACTAACACTTAATTGGCTCTTAAATACTGTATGATTTGACACATAAATATTAATTAAATATTTAAATAATTTGAAAATTTATGTCTCTAGACATCTGAATTTTTATCGATTGCCACATTTGAAGATCACCTGTTTGTTCTAAATCATGTACTTCGATGTGCTGCTGGTTCATCAGTGCAGTTCGCATGTCTGATCCAATGTGCGTCTCCATTATCTACCAGTGATCAAGAACTGGCCATTCAGTACATGAATCACTGTATAACTGTTATATCAACTATATTATCACCAATTAAGTAAATATTTCAAAAAAGATTGTTATTTGTGAAAAATAATATATTATTACATAACCGGTATATTATTGTTTAGATTTCGGGTAAAATTTATTGGAATCATACAAAATGACAAAATGAGTTCAACGAAAAACTTAGGCACTGATGAAATGTGGCATTTGGTCGATAATGACTTAAATGTATAAATTTATTTATGAAAATTAATTTTATGTTTCATTAATTAATTATATTTATGTCTTAATTAGGGCGAAGACGTGACGAGTAGTTGTCTTGAAATCGCCGAATTAGATGTCATTCGTTTTCTAAAACAAGTTCCGTTTAACGATGTCTTAAAATTTGCTGCAATTAATAAATGTTCAAAAGGTAATTATATTTATATTACGATATATTTATTTATTTTTGATTATATAAATTTTGATTATTTTTATTATTAATATTAATACAGAATATTCAAATAGTAATTCCTATGGAGAGGCAACTGAGCTTCAAATGCTTAAATTGTTAGCATTTAGTACGAAATTAATTCAAATACTACGACAAGGATTGGAAAGTTTTAATTGTTTACGATTTAAGGAGTTAACTGTTTATATAAGTTCAATGATTAGGTTTGTAAGGAAATTGTTTAATTATATTATAATAAATAAAATTATGAATGTTTTTGTATTAGACGTACTGTTTTAGCCGTGTCTGACCTTTGGGTGAATTGCAAATCTGAGTTCAAAAGTGGTGACAACGCAATGATTCTTCGACTTCAAGTAGAGTTCGATCACTTTATGTTGAGATCAATAGTAGCCATATTGACGACTAAAAGACAAGGCGTTTGGAATTTTTTATCTGTATTTTCTTTTGATGGCGTTTCTGAACCAATGATGTGGCTTATCCTTTGGGTTATATACAACAATGGTAGCGAAGAATTGAATGATTTAGGAGGTGTCTGTCCTTACTTTGATGTCAATCAATGGAAACGTAAACTTAATGATGTAGACATACGCTATCAATTTAGACAAAAGTTAAAATCATTAGCTTTAACTGAATCACATAATATATTGCAATTATTATATAATATGGCGATCTCGAGGAATGAATCCAATGAAATGGACATAATTTCAACCATATTTAAAGAAATTTTTGTTATTTCTTTACAATCGCCTGAATTAAGCGAAAATATGTGTGAAAAGGGACAGCAATTAATTGTTAACTCAATTAGTCGATACAACTCACTATATAGAGTACTTATTCATGAACTCATTTTAAATGATTATAACAACGATAATGAGGTAAATAAATTTATTTATAATGTAATATTAAATATACTAATAATTTGTTTATATATTAAATTAAGAAATACATTGAACTATTCTGTGATCTACCACTTAATATGTGGAATCCAGACGATGAAGATATGAATTTGTTAACTGAATGGTTGACCATTCATCCAATCGATCACTTATTTAACAGAATTGCGAGAATTATTTTCTCAAGCCTTAACTGGTCTTATAATTTGCAAAACAAAGAGTTGTTTATTGAAAAGCAAAAGCATCAGAAGTTAGCCATTGCTTTATTTACTTCAGTTAATAATCAAAAATTACTGAAAACACCAAAAGATTTTCAAAATAGTAATTATAATGATTTTGGTTGCGATTCTTTGTTATTATTTGCTAAGTCTAGTAATTGCAATGACTTTACTAAATGGGTTTGGAATCAATTGATTGTTTTAAAGTTGCAATCATTGGAATTGAGTTTCGAGAATTGGGATTTTATATTTGATGATAATTCAGATAACAATAATAATAATAATATAATTCAATTATATTATGAAACTAATCTCATTCCTCTATGCAAAGCTCTTGAAGAGCAAAATTCAATAGCAATTTATTTGGCTTTTATTATGACTGACTTCGGACAGAGGTTTGTCATTAACTAAAAACTTTATTAATCATATTTATAATATTATTAATTTTTAATTTATTTAAAATATTTAGCAAATTAACAGATAAATGCGTGGATTCATTGGAAATATTGCTAACAAATCATCATTATTTGCCATTTATTCACTTATTATATACATTAATACCATATCATCTAAAACAATATGAAATATTGTTATCTAATTCAAAACTTTTGAATTTATTGAGTCAATTATTTGCTAATTACAGTAAAGAAACGATTTCTCTGATTTACCACCAAATCTCAAGATTTTCTAATCAAGAGAACAAATTAAAACTTATTATTTGTTGGACTGAACTGTTGTTTAAAGTGATTATCACAATAGCAAAAGCAAATTCTAATTCTTGGTTTAATTCTTGTGCTAAAAAGTTTCAACAATTTGGATATATCTTTGAAAAGATTGCAATTATTTTATATATGGATAACGAGTTATTGGGTTTATATTTGAAATATTTAAGTGAATATCAATTTGACAATCAATTCTTGAAAATACAGAACTCTGGATGGATGTCATCGATGTTTAATTTGAACTCTTCTTCTAACAAAAAATATGAGTTCGTGACTCCACTTCATGTGATTTACAAACAAAATGCAACCAATGTATGGCTCGGATGGCTTATCATACAATCAGATATTATTCGTTTTGATAAATATTGGGATCAAATAGTTAATGATATCAGTGATAATCCGGTAATTACTCCAGAAATTGCTATCAAGGTATGAGTTTACAAATATTATATTAAATATACGATAATTACCATACGGTAGAGCATGTAATTAATTACGGTATATGTTTTAGTTTATTTCAATATTTTATATTATTGTTTAATAAATATAATTTACTTTAAAAATATATACTTTTAGTCAATATCCAAGAAAAATAGTGAACAAAATATTTCAACTGATTTATTGCCAATTAATTCATTATCAATACTAACCATGAATTCGCCTTCAAATCCTCCCAATGAGTTGGAACCATATATTTGGTTCAAGTTTTTTCAATTTTATTTTACAAACACACAATCAAATCGTTCAGTTGGAGAACTATTCATCAGTGAAGATAAAGTTAAAAAGTTAGTCAACAAATTGAATTCATTGGTTGATTATCATCTCAAACAATGGCTAAAATGTGATGCAAATGGGAGTGCAGTTAATGATATCGATGATAATTTGACAAAACTATATCGCGCTTATATCTCATGGCTGGAAGATTCACAACTTCATGAAGTGTTTGTCAATATTAATGAACTTCCGCCACAATATCTTAAAGACATACTTAAGTGTGCCATTAGTAACACAGAATTTATTAGTTTCAGACATAAATATTTTAGTATCAAAGTAATTGAAACATCAATCTCAGAAATAAGTAATTTATGGACACAAATACATTCAACGTTTAATAAATTTGATGTCTTTGTTGAAGACTATTATAAAAGTTATGCCATTGAAAGTAATATTATTTTTATAGATTCTTAATAATATATTGTAAAGGAATTTAAAAAATTAAATTTTATGATTGTTTACTAATTGTCTTTACAGATGAAGAACCACTTTCGGCTCCTGAAGTTAAGAAATCAAATTTGGATTCATTTAATATAGATATTGAAACTATAAATAATAGTTCAGCACTTCTTTTATTGATTCAACACAACGTCAGAGTTATCTTAGAAGAGGCGAAGTTAGACATCGATTAACTAAAATATATGTTTATTTAATTAATATATTTTTTTTATCTTTTATTGTTTTACAGGTTTTTTGAAAGTCTTCTCAACAAATTCGTTGATTTAAATAAAAAATTAGTGCAATTATTACCTGATCTTTATCCTAAAATCAAAAAAGATGTAAATCACATTTAAATTTAGTAGTTTTATATATAATTATTATTATTAATTAATCAAATTTAACTATTTTTTAAAAATAAGATCAAATTAACTGCAACCTGCGATAAGGATAATTATGACGCTTATGGATGCGCCGGACCAGCCGTTTTCAATATTGAAGTATATTATAATAGTTATAAGCTGTGTGTAGACTATAATAAATTAAATTATAATATGATTTTAGATAACTGAAGCCATAATTAATCAACACTCGGAAAAATCAATTGAAAGGAATCGCATTGACTTTGAGAACATAATCATCCAATTAATAGAAACGCCGTCTAATAAAGTGGTTTTAGCCTCACTTTTCATCGAGAAAAGCATTCCGTTTGTTTCAATCAATGTTTGATTTATTTGATAACTAATATTAGTTTTATTTAGTTTACTATTGGATTGCTATGACTTTCACGACAAAGATAGTCAAATTGAGAGATCATTATTGGGTTCATTATTGTCATGGATTAATGATACCAATTATATGTATGCGCCATCCAAACGAATGTTTACTAATTTATTGGAATCATTGGAAACGGTATGTCTTATAATGTTTTAATAATTGTTTGTAATTATATTAATGTTATTATTGTAATAATTTAAAGATTTCTGAACAACGATGCGATGAAACGAATCAATTTATATTAGAGACGGCCATAAATCATCCGAAAATGAATGAATACATGACTCCATATTTAACGCCATCCAAGACATCGACCAAATGCTTCCTCGATATGTATAAAATGATTGATCAAAAATTATTAACAACACCACCACAGGTGTCATTTGTCCTCCTAAGCAAAGTATGATTTATTATAACTTTATAATAATATTTTATGTATATTTGTTTAAATTTTAATATATTAAACACAATTATAGTTTGATGTCTCGCTCTGGTTTAGAAATGCATCTCCAGAACAGCGTTTATCACTTATTCAAGTGGTAGGCAATGCTATCAATAAATTTGGACACAATCCTAAAGATGAATATCTTATGATATTAGAGGTACAGTATATTGTGATTATAATTAATTAATTTTATTGTTTTTACATTACTGTAACCAAATATAATTTAACAGTTATATAGAAAACATTGGAAATGGATGTGCGAGTGGTCGCCACTATTTTAATTTTATGGGAATATTATATATTTTTATACATTTGTATAATAAGATATTTATTAAAAATATATTTATAACTAATAATTAAAATTAATGTAATCGATAAGATATTGTGGTAAATAGTAATTTGATATTAGTTTTTTGAGTGTTTGATTTCGTACCAAAACTTGTCGACATAAGTCTTGAAGAAGTGGCGGTTGTTTTTCGGTCATATAAAGTGTTTCATATAAAATACCACTTTTATTAGGTATCAGTTCAATGGGTTTTTTATTATTATTATCAGTTAGTGTTGTTTTAGCACCAAATCTCAACAATTCGAGTGCACTTTCCGTATGGTTCATAGAGACTGCCAAATGAAGTGGTGTTTCATGAAATTTGGTGGCATTTATGTGAGCGCCGGCCTGTAGTAACCGTTTAATACATTTGTATTGGTTTTGAAACACAGCCGCATGTAGTGGTGTCCCGTAATTACAGTCATATGTGTTTAACAGCGCTCCACACGATATCAACAAATCAGCGCAATTAACATTACCTAACAATCAATTATTTTATTAAAATCATATTTTTTGAAAATACTTTTTTGTAAGCAAATTAATATTTGTTTAAAATTATTAATAAAAAATTAAAAGAAAAAATAGAAAGTAGTTGACTAAAAATAGCAATTTGAAAATATTAATCAATTATTAATAAAACAACTAATATAAACACGAAAACATTTGCTCATTTGATTAATTATATTAATAAAAAAGATTTATGAATATTGTATTATTAATATGAGATCATATTTGTGAGTATTTTAAAAATTAGTTTTTTTTTTGAAAACTGAAATGTAAAGTCAATATTTGTTTTGAAAGCTATAATTAAAGACATTGACTTTAGTTTAAGAAATACAAAAATATAAATTAAATTGCCTTAAATTGATAAAACACGTGAACATAAAGTTGATATTTAGCCAAAAAAGCCAAATCTATTGCAAAGACTGAAAGAAATAATTTTTTTGATATAATACATACATAAGTTAGTCATCACATGTTTGGCAAAGAATTGTCTTTTAGAAAGAATGAAATAATTTGTTTTATAAAAAACTAATTTAATGTTTATTAATAATTGCGTGACTATTGGCATAAAATCGAGTTTGTAATACTTTAGGGAAAATTAATGTAGAATTTGCATTATATAAAGTTTTAATTATATAAAATGTTAGTTATCTTTATATCTTTATATAACTTCAATGTTTTTAAAGTAGTTCTTTAGCTCTTAAAAAATATTTAAATAACATTTGATTATTGACTTAAAATCCAATATTTCAATAATATTACGACTATTGATTTAAACGGGTTAAACAATTATCATATTTTAGACAGTATATATCTAACAGTAATTAAATTAAATTATTGTATGTATTGTGGAAATAACTAATAGTATTTATTTTTTAAATTGATAATTTATTCCTTTTATTTTTAACTATTTATCATTAATTTATATGTAATAAAATATAAATTATCAAAAATATAAATAAAAATATGTTTTTATAAATTATAATAGTTTCAGAGATAATTCAAAAAAGCATAATTTACAATTATTAAGTGCAATTGAATTTTGCATGACAATTTTTTTTTATAGATATCAAAACAATTTATTAAAAGCTAGTTTTCATAAAATATTTTTGTGATTAATAATAATATTAAATAAATAATATTTATTGAAATCATTGACACATAACATACCAGCAAAGGCCGCCTCATGTAATGGTGTGGACAGTGAGTGCACGGGATTCACGTGCGCGCCATTCTTGAGCAACAGTTGGACGCACTCATAGTTTCCCGAAGCACTGGCACCACATAGAGGTGTCCCGCCATCGATGCTTCGGGCGTTTACTTGAGCGCCAAATTGAATGAGCATTTGGACGATTGCAATGTGACCCGAGAAACATGCGATATGTAGTGGAGTCAAGTAGTCGTAATCGGTCTCATTTGGCGACAGTTTGTGTTTGACTATCAGAGCCTCAACTGTAGCCATATCTCCCAATTGTGTGGCCGCGTGTAACGGATAAAAACGACTGTATGTCCACTCTTTTAGTCATTCAATTAATATTAAAAATCACAAAAAATCATTAATTTGAAAAATATACCTTCATTCGGTTGGTCATCCATTATATTTTAAATTAAATTATTTTTAAAATATAAAAATTTATGTATATAATTATATTTTGATTAAAAAATATTCAAAAAAGTATAAATTACTATAAAAAATATATTTTAAATCAATTTAATGTCAAATGTGAACACATTTAATGTTTTAAATGCCTTAACTCTCACATCAATGTATTTCACTGTTAAATGTCTTTAAATAAGGACTAAAACTCACGAATATATGATTATAATTATATAGTGATTCTGTTTTAGTATTTTTAGCACAGACTCAGCTAATGTTGAGATTATATATAGCAAATCACATTGAAATTAGGGTAAACATCATTTTACTTATTAATTTTTTCCAATATTATTATTCGTATAATAAAAATTATTTTTTAGATAAATTTAAATTATATTTTCTAAATAAACATTGCTTTAAAAAATATTAGATAAATTAACTGTATAATAAACTATTATCGTGAAAATACTATTATAAAATAATATACTGTATATTGTATATACCGGTATAACATTTGTATAAAATTTTAGTTTATATTATACTTTTTAATTTATTTTAATCCATTTAATTTTATAAGTTTTTCAAAATTAAATGTGTGAATCATTACGATTGGAATGCAATGTATTTAATAAAGATTATTATCATCTAATGTATATCATATAATAGACAATCATATTTTAAGATAAATGTATAATAATTCAGTATATAATGTATATATAAAAAATACATTATATATTTTATTTTGATAAAAAATTAAATATTATTTGAATTATGACAAATTAATCTAAAGTTTTTATGCTTAAACAAGTATTTGATTTTCTGTATTATACTAACGTTACTTATAATGGCATATATTAATAAAATATAATATTAATAGTATTGAATTTAATACATTCGCTAATTTATAATAAATAAAATTAGGAAAACATTAGTTATGATCAGTATTTGTAAAAAATGTTTAAATAGATAAAACAAATTATTACTACTACTTTAAAAAATAATAAATCAAATATTAGAAAGAAATAAATTAAAAATAAATTATTTGAAAATTGGCAAAAGTGGTGATAACTTGAATTTAGTTCATCTTTATAGTGAATGATTGTTGAATAATACTTAATTCAATGTCAGACAAACAATTGTGTAATTGTTGCCAAATTATAAATAAAACTTAATTATTCAATGATCTTATATAAATTATAACATTTTTTAAATATAAAATATATTATATTATTTAATAAAACTCGGGAAGTATTAGACAACATCTGACTCTCAATCAAAACATAAATCTTATTAACATTTGTCTCTTAAAACAATGTATTAATAAATATTATTTATTAATTATATAAATAGAAAATAATACTAATTTGACATTTTTATTATAAACTATATATTATTATATTTTTATACTATCGATGTACAGTATGATAAATAAATCACTATAAAAATCAATGTGTATAAATAAAAATAATATAAAAATAAAATTAAAAATAATAAGTTATTAGTATAATTATATTATAAATATTTGTTAAATATTTATAAATATTTTAATGATCTATTTGAAATTAATGAATTTTTAAATATCTAATTGTTAAATACCAAACTATTTAATAATTGAGTATTTTTTACATAATAAACATTTTGCAAGTAATACTATTTAAAATGTCTTTTAAGCTATTAATATAAAATACTTATTTAATTATTTGTATATTTTGAATTTTGAATTTATTTATTAAAATGTGCAAATATTTTATAACATATTCAACCATTAGTTTTTAAAATTTAACTATTTTTTCATATTTGATTTTTTTTTTGTTTCAGAACCAAAACATTTTCAATTACATACTAATAATGAATTACTTATAATTAAAATTATTGTTAAAATAATTTTTATAACTATGAAAAAACTAAAGATTAAGTTAAAGAAATTTCTAATTTATTCTTATATTTTTTAATTTATAGAAAAATTATTTTAAAATTAATTTAAATACTGATAATCATTGAGTCAAATATCTTAATATGTAATCAAATATGTGTTAAAAATCAAAATATGTTTTAGAAATTCTGTTTTATTGGTATTCAAACCAAATTATTAGATAATTAAAAAAAATATTCAAAATAAGTTAAACGAAGTTTTATTTAATTAAAATTAAATTTAATTTTTTGTTAATATTTGACACCAGTCTTAATAATAAATAGATTTAGATTAAGAATATATTTAAAACAATTAATATATGTCTAAAATTTTATTTGTTTGAACACTTAATTCTCTTTATAAATAATAAAATTCATTTTTTATATATACAGTATTAATACAATAATATTATACTTTTTATGAAAACTTTTATACTATAAATTTGTACATTTTATATTAAAACCAGTTGAGAATGCTAGAAAGCATTTTCAGAAAAAAACTTGAATATTAAAAATATTTTGATAACAATTTGTTTGTATAGTCATAGCGGCTATATGTAAGTTATAAAAATTGGAAAACTGGTCAAACATACATAATAATTATAATCTACAAATTGTATATTATTAAAAAATTTTAAAACATTCCACAAATGGTTTTACTCTCGATTGCAATTTAATTTTTTTAATTTTATCCGCCATTTTCTTTATGTTCCTTAAGAAATATCATAATTTTAATCCTTATACCTATTTTTGATGCCTTATTCAAATCTAAACTTTAAATTTTTCCACTAATTATTTTTACTTTGAACGCCATTTTCTCTATGTTCTGAAAAAATATCAAAATTTTAATACTAATCTCTTATATATTATTTTTGATTATATAACCGAATTCGAAGTCAGAATTTTAAATTTCGAAAATAAAATGCTATTTACATACAAACACATACTGTAGACACACACACAAAGGCCAGTATAGATTTCAGAAAACAAAACTTCAAGTTTTAAAAAATATGTTATTATAAGCAAATGTAATGCGTGGATCTGCTACACGTGCGTGTGCTAGCATGCGTGTCCACGCGTAGGTAAGTGCTCCGACTGTTTACTCGACTTTGGTCCACCAACTGCCGGGTGACCACTGCGCTCAGGGGTGTGCGCAACGCTTATGTGCGGCTAAACGGGAAGTAAGGGCTGACGCCACGTGTCTTGTCTTACGGCTCTACTTTACGGCTCTGATCTCGGCTTTCCTATCTTCTGAGGCTCCCGTCTATGGCTTCCGTCGGTGTCTTCACGATCGATGCACTTTTCATATGACTCAGACAGCAATCAATGGTTAAATTGTTTATTAACGAAATATGAATTAATGTAATACAAAAGGTTAAAACTTATTAAATGATAAAAAGGTATTAATTAATTAAATGACTGCTTCCGGTACTGTCCTCACGAGTCATGGCTATCCGATCGCTGGCCTGATCTTAAGGTCTATTAAACAACCGCTCTCTTCAACGGCTAACACACGCCTGACTCTTAATAGTCTCACTTTAACACAACGCTTCAATCACGTGACCCCTGGTGTCAGCTCCTGTAGCTTAAGGTTAACATATAAAACGTAACTATAATAGTATTGCTTTTCGGGACGGGTATGTCTGCGGGACGTTTCACAAATATGAGTTTAAATGATAATAAAATTTACTGAAAATTGTTATTATTATATGATATGTATAGATCAGCAATGATCAGAATAGTAATTTTTGATCATTTTATGGTTACCCCTCTATCTATTATAATTTATGTTTAATACTCATTACTATGATTAATACAATATAATAAAATTATTTTTAACTATTTTTTAAATAAATAAATGTAATATTTTTGTTGAATTATAATTAGGGGTTATATATTCATTAAATTCTATCTGATCATTGCTGGTATAGATATTAAATAATTTTAAGGATTAATATTTTATACAATAATATACTATATATTTATTATAATATGAATTATACCGTATATACAGTAAATAAATGACTACTTTATTAATACATTTTGTAGTATAACTGCAATAGTTTTTTATTAAAACATTTTATCAATTAATTGGTCGTAATATATGTTAAATCATTGGTTGTATTGAATGTAAAATAATGTAAACATTTGTTGATTCTTACAGTTATTTATTATAATATAATAATTTGTTTGAATTTAATTGTTATTCATTTAATTGATAACTAAAGACAAAATATTATCAAAATCACCGAAAAAGTGGTCACAAATTGATGATATAAAGCAATGTCGACAACTGTGGACCCGAGCGCCACGTATGGCAATAGTGGCCAATCATTGGACGCGTCATCACCAATAACCACATCATCAGCCGATACGTTGTCAGCGGACAAGCAATCAGTACCACTAATGATGGAACCGATGGGCGAATTGGACGGCGCTATCAATAGTCTGGCCGTTAGTGCCAAATATAATTTGACACAAATGTCTCCGAAACAACTGTTGTTCAGCCGATGGGCAGTCATGAAGAGTTGGGGGTCTTTCGTAGACACGAACCGAATGCAATTTCCGACGGCTATTAGTCAGTGGTCACGGCGTTTGGTGCGGAATCTGCAACACTTCCAAAGCAATTATATGTGTGTATTCATCATATTATTTATATATTGTATCCTAACGTCACCACTACTACTACTGGCCCTCTCGGCCTCCTTCGGTGCCGCGTATATACTGACCCTTAAGAATGCCGAACGACCGCTCAAGTTCTTTGGCCGTCGTCTAACATTAGGCCAGCAGTACCTGTGTGTGGCCGTCGTCTCATTGCCGCTCTTTTACATAGTAGGCGCCGGTTCGGCCGTCTTCTGGGTTATCGGTGCCTCACTCTTTGTCATTGGACTTCACGCCAGTATTTACGCCATCGAATCGGTGGACACCGACTCACTCGATGGACAACCTTTTAATTATGGCATACAAAGTGTTTGATTCAAAACACTTGATTACATAATATTATTATAAACGTTAAAAATTGAACTGAATTTCCAATAATAATAATAATTTCTATATATTAAGTGACAATTAATCTAAACTCTTAATACTGTTATTTGTGATCAAACAGTTTGAGACTAAAAATTTTCGCAAAATCTATAAAATATTGTAAATCCACAAAAAATAATTTTTATTACTAATTATCACAATTTGATAATTGTATTATTTGAGTAAATTTGAACAAACTTTAATATATTTATTTAATAAGTAATGTATAGCTATTGTATTTTATAATAAATTGTTATTTTTAATTGTATTTGAGTATTATTTATTTGAGTTTTTTTTTAATAATAGTAAATAACTTTAAAACCTAATGTCAAGATATTTGAATTTGTAAATTTGTATTAAAATACTAATTATATATACAATTATGTTAACTACAAAAAATGATTAGATTTGAATTACCGGTATTATACTGTATTTATCATTATTATTATACAATGTATTTGTTTGACTAAAATGTAGTTTTAACTGGAATTGAAAATCTAATGGACAAGTAATTGATTAATAATAATATTATGTTTGGTTTATAATAAATAAAGGATACCATCTTTGGTCAAACCATATGACGCCCTAAGATCTAGATTTTGTGATTTGACCCCCGGGTTAAGCCCCCAGACTTTTTGACCAAATTATCGCTTAAAAATGACGAGAAATGACTTCCTCTAGAATTTTGGCGCCAAAATATTTTTCAAGTTTATAAAAAATTATAATTTTAATTTATAATATTTTATTGTGTTATTATGTTTTTATAATTTATATATCATTTAATAATCACGTTAATATTAATCTAAATATAACATTATTTTAATTAAAATATTCAACTAAAAATTAACTATTTGTTAAAAAAAACAGTACCGTAATCAATCATATTACAATTTAAACAGAATTTTAAGATAAATAAAATTAGTAAAATAATATATACTTTATATGATAAATGCTTTTATTAAATTTTAAATTCAGAATTATTTTATTTATTGAGAATATTTACCTATTTTTCTGGGAATTTTCTCCCCCTTGCCGTTTAAAAATGCAGTGTCTATACCCTCCCACGATTTTTCGAGAATTTTGTCATTTGACTCCCCCTTCTGACCCCCTCTAAAATCTAAAATATTGATTACTCCTATTATTATTAGTAATTTAAAAGATATGATTTCAGTCTATTTCGATATAATATATAATTTTATTTTATCGTATATTGTTTATATATACGTCAATATTTTAATAACACAGAAAATACATATACAGTATTATAATATTTCATTAAAATATTATACAGTATTATAAACTTATCAGTGAAATAACAAATGATAGGCAATTGTTTGTATAATTCAGTGTTTCACTATTTTATTTCAAAGGATTATATAAATATTTAAAAAATAATTTGATATTATTTAGTGAAATATTATAATACTGTATATGTATTTTCTGTGTTATTAAAATATTGGTAATAATTTCATATAATATAATATTTATATTTATTTTTAATAACAATATAAAAATATTGACGTATCAATCTTACAATACATTACATATAAACTAAATACAAATGAGACCATAATTAGTGGATAGTTTTGTAAAGAATAACTATTACTAATTAAATATTAGTTGAAAAAAATATGATATATTGTATTTCATATTAGACGCTATAAATTATTATAAATATTTATTATTCATACAAACTTATAAAGTATGGACTATTAGGTTAAATTATTTCAGTTGCATAAAACATATTTGTTAAATTATATTATAATTAATCAATAAAAGATATTTAATTTTAAACATAAATTACATAAAATATTATTTTTAAAAATATATAAATTAATATATAATTAAAATGAAAAGAAATACAAATAATATATTATTGACTTATAATGTGATTAATTGAATTCCGGTATAAATAAATGATTGATTATAAAACACACCTCAAGCCCACCTATAAAGTCAATCTAACATATAATCGAGTGATCAGTGATTGATAATTAAGTAAACTTTACAAAAACAAGTCTTTTAAAAATATTATTATATTATTATTTTTATTAAAATATCAAATATAATGGATATTTTAATAATCAAAAAACATAAACAACATAATTTAATATAAACAAAAATAATTAATTAAATCTTTTCAATTTATTATATACCGTATCTTCCCTTTGTTTCAATGATTAATAGCTATAGTTTGTTTAGCTATTGTATAAAAATAGTATGACTCGGATCATACATAACTTAGACAACAGTTATTGAATTTAATAATTAAGTTATGTATGAATTAGTCACTAAAATATCGCAACGATTTCACTATTAAATTAAATTAAAATAAACAATTATTATATCAGTAATTACCCTAATGTTCAAACATTACCGACAAACAGAAAATCAATATAGTATTACCCAAACTAACTAATAATTGTATGACTCTTTAATAACATGTAAAACAGCAACAATTATAAAAATGATAAACCATTTGATATGTTTAATATTAACTAATATTCAAAAATTTTTATTAAACATTTAATTTTTGATAATAATTTACTAAATTAATTTATTATAACAAATTTATAAAATCATAAATATAGATTTATAATAATATTAATTAAATAAAACAATATTTAATTGAAATAAACATTGTTTTAGAGAGTAGACTGTATTTTGTTTAAATTGATTTATTTTAAATTAATTTCGTACAAACAATTGGACTAAAAATACTAAATTTTGATTTGTTTTTTGCAGATTTCACACTTAGATTTAATTAGAAACAATTAGATTTAGGAGTTAAGACAAACATTACTACTTTTGGTAATTTATGATCTAATTGTCATCCATTAAGTATTATAATATATAAATAGATAATATATTTTTAAAATAGTATAATAACTTATATAATAAATAAACAATTTACTGATAAACCCGGTTTAAAATATGTATCAAATAATTAGAGTTCTGACAACTTTCCAATGGAAGGAAGTTCACTAATAAAATCCCTCCAATTTTCCCGGAAATATCTTCACTCCCTTTATCTTAAGAAAAAAAATATTTTATATTATTACAATAAATAATACTAAAACATAAATATTTTACATAAAATTTAATTGAAACACTTAAAAATACTGTTTAATATAATATTTGTTTTTTAAACCTTATAATAAAATTTCTTGTCTAGAGTTCAATGTGTTAGCAAAAGTAAATAGATTCCCTAGGAATTTCCAGGGAACATGCAAAATAGGACTTATGGTTAATAAAACGAGGAATGGGATTTGATCTAACCCTACATATAATAGCACTAAAATGAACTACTAATCCATTAATAATGTTAACGTGAATATACAGTATTATAATGTCTTAATCATATTTTTATTTTTGCAAATCTGATAATTTAATTGTATGAATAATAATTTTATTATTAACTAAAAAAAGTTATTAAAAAGTAAATCTTTAGCTAACAGTAATTTATAATAAAATAATTACTATTTATAAATATTAACTTTTTAAATTTTATTCTAAAAATAAAAACTAAGATTATATTTTTCAAGTAATTAATATTTTTTATATCATAAATAATACTTGACTTGAATTATTACATAATCTTACATTAAATTTATGTAATAATATTTTATAGTTGTTTAGTTTGTGATTTAACATTAGTTTACATATATGTATAAGTTGTTGTACTACTGTTAGCTTATTTTAAATGTACAACATTTTAAAATACAAATTGAAGATTAAATAGTTTTATAAAAATAAAAAACAAATTCATATGATATCAGTAAATAATGACAAAAACTAATGTTATTCAGAGGGGTTTATATTGTTAGCAATTTCTAAGAACTAATAATCAATAAAATGATTGAACTTTTGGTGAAACGCTACTTATTATTGTCACCATTGGGTAAATACTATACTTTTGGGTGCTTTATGTCATTGCTGTATATTTTTCTATAAAACAGACCATTGGTCTAATGGACGCATATCGGTGTGTACTGTAGTAGAGACTCTATATTATAAACTCTAATAAATAGCTAACTTTAAACCTAAAGCAATGATTCAAACCCAAGGGGTGTCCTAATGATAGTAACAATAGAAGACCTAAACATAGGTTCCCATTAGTGACAGTCAGTTGTAAACAATAGCAATAAATGCATTTCTCTTACAATTTTACGATTCAACTAGACTTTCAATTGAATGTATTTATGATTTTACTTTTTTTGTGTCTAAAACTATAATTTGCTTTAGCTATTAATCATCTCTCTCTCTCTCTCTCTCTCTCTCTCTCTCTCTCACACACACACACACACACACACACACACACACACACACACACACACACACACACACACACACACACACACACACACACACACACACACACACACACATAAGCGTCAATCGCCCATAAAGTAAATATTGAAATACTGGTATTGTATAAAAAACAATGAATATGATATAAATTGCAATATTATATGAAAACGATATATGAATAATAATACACTAAACATTTTCAGAACAAACTCGGTACTTTTTTATTTATGTTACTTATGTTTTTTGTGCTACATTTGATAAGTATAAAAGATACCATATTGTCATGAGTTGTTTAAAAAAATGCGACATCATTTATGTAATTATATAATTATTTAATAGAGATATAGTTACACAAAAAACATATGTAATATACATAAAAAGGGCCCGAGTTTTCGATAGATCATAAGGACTGTATATGAAATATACAGTAAACCCAAATTATTGAAATTGCAATTTATTTACTGTATATTTGTTATGATTAGCAAAAAATTAAAACTTAAAATATTTTGCTTTTATAGACAATTATTATTGAAATTTTATCATAGTAATATTAAAAAAGTATTTGTAATTTTTCAATTGATAAATATTGTATATTTGATATCGACATAAAGTAGTTTATAAACTAACAATTGTGAGAATAATTCAAAATAAAAACATAAATTTGATTTGATTGTCATTTCAAAAATAAATAATATATAAATACTCGATTCAAGTGAAAATTGTGATGAAATAAATTTATTTGATATTTTTATTCAAAGCTAAAATCAAATTTCAAGTTTTAGATCTCAATGTCTATTCAACTCAAGCCAGAGAACTATTATTATGATTGCATTCAACTCTGTATTTGAATTAAATTATTTTTTGGCATTTATTTATAAACTTTAATAAATACAAACTTTTTTCGGAGAATGAGTTTTGTATCAAATAATATATTATATAATAACAACTATATGAATATTGCATATATTGTATTGTATAACATAAATACAATACAACATATGATACTACAGTAATATAAAGTTTATATAATAAGCTTAATTAGAGGGCCAGAGGCCCACCGGAAAGAGTAATGGATTGCATAAAATATAATAATAATTTTAATAATAATAATAATAAACTTAAACTAAATATTACGCAATGGTTATGTGCGAAAATAGTTTGTTTATGATATACATTACTGTTCAAACATACGGAACAGCGTACAAACATCCCGGTGCCCATTAGCTGGTGAAATGCAGTGTAAAAACATTTGCAGTATATTTGCCGATAACCGAAACTTTTTATTCAATCAAGTTTTTATGGGTTGAAGTGCTGTCAGAGAGAGAGAGAGAGAGAGAGAGAGAGAGAGAGAGAGAGAGAGAGAGAGAGAGAGAGAGAGAGAAACTTAAAGTGAATAATTGCCGATAAGTAGGAGTGTCTCAGAAGCTTAACATTCAACGATGTGGTCCTCTATAGACACGAACTCTCTTAAAGAAAGAAGATTTAGTAGAGAAGTGTATACTTTTGGTTTCATTAGTTTATGGATTGTATGTTAAATCATGAAAAGTACACCTTTTTGTCTCATATAAGGTATATATTGTTGTTATACCTTATCTTTTGCCATAAGTTTTATTAATGTTATTCTAAAGTTTAGTTGAATTACAGCACCAGTTGTTGTGTGGCTTTCCTCTGGTGTGCAGTACTTATACCGCATAAGTTGTGCGGCAATAGATATACTATATATACATAAAGTCGACGCATAGTTGGTTTGATTGGCCGTTCCGTTGCATCTAATTTTTAATATGTGTTTAGTTGTCTGGTGTGGCACTGGTAGTTGTGTTTGTCTACTAATTTATAGTGTGTGTTATAACTTATAACACTTACTTTATAACACACAATAATTCTAATTAAACTCAAAAACTATAACATAATTATTTAATACAACTTATCCATTGATTTGATTGATTGGATGGTTAGTTTAGGGAACTCATATTTAATGCCAAATAAAATCCATAATTGTGTTCAAAATATTAAAACTTAAAAAGTTTATTTAATAATTTTCTAAATAATAACAAAAATGCAATCGTTTACATATTTTCAAGTTTTTAAATTCATCTCTATTTATATATTACTGATCATTACATTATTGGGACCATTGATTATATGCCCAACAAAGGGACTGTCAGTTTCGGATATATGTGATTATAGTAGTGGACAACAAGTTTATTGTAATTGTGATAATCAAGGAGCGGATGAGGCCCGAGAGGTCACTTGTTTTATCATCAAAAGCGAAGGACTCAACCGGTCTTCTTCTATATGGAAAGGATTCAAACTCCAGAAAAACATAACATCACTGATAGTTACCACAAGATTTGATGCGAGAATCACTTTCATACCGATGTCAGCCCTCAAAAATATTGACAGTTCTCTACAAAGATTAACCATCAATGAGATGAAGTTCGGACATCTCGAGAGATATGCAGTCAATAATTTGACTCAAATAGAAAAAATAATTTTAGAAAACAATGAGATCACTGGTCTTAATGAATATTCTTTTGCTTTTCTACCGGCGCTTAAAAGCCTTTCCATAGCTAGTAATTCATTACAAGTATTAAAAGCTAAATCATTAATACATTTACCGGCGTTGGAGTCATTATTTCTAGATCGGAATCGACTGATAACTATTGAAGACAATGCATTTGATGGTCTTAAGAGTCTTAAAGAGATTGATCTTCGACTCAATGATATATCAGTCATCAGTTGGACCACATTTAATGGTCTGCCATCTCTTAAAAATTTGGATTTGTCTCGCAATCGACTTAAAACTATTCCCGAAAATGTATTCATAGGCGCACCACTTCTTCGTGAATTAAATCTCAATCGAAATCTTATAGAAAGTATTGATGAGAAGGCCTTCCGAAACACATCTCATTTAATGTCTTTACTATTAAGTGTCAATAAACTCAAACATCTTTCGAGTCTAACCTTCAAAGAGAGTCCAAACTTAGTTATTATTGATTTGTCTGAAAATATGTTACAAACTTTTGAAAGCGAACTCATCAGTGATTTAGTGTCAAAAGGACAGCAGTTTGTCGTTTATCTCAGAGGTAATTATCCATCTGTTATATAATGTATTATTATTTATTATACTTATCATATAATAAGATATCACTTTCTATACTATAATTAATGAGCGCTAAAACGTATGATAAAAATTGATGCTTTGTTGTAGAGTTGTCTCAATAATTAAAATTATTTATATTATATAAACAGAAAATAATATAATTTTCAAAAATATTTAATTTAAAATATAATTTACGCTAATTATAATTGCTGTAGTCAATACTATATATGCTTATTTTTTAATATATGTAATTACAATGCAAAATTGAATTATTAATAATAATAATATTTAGTTTATGATTGTAAAGTTTATGTCGACTTTAATCAATTACTGTAAAACGGGGACAGTTGGTAACCATACTTATTAAGTCTGCTAATGAAAGTATTGTATTTTTATTGTTTTTTGCAATTTGTTTGCAGAAAACTCTAAAAATGAATAATAAGCTAAGTTTTTCATATAGCATATGATTTAAAGCTAAAATTTTAATATAAGTGTTTTATGCTATTAGAGTATATTTTACTTTAATGTAATTGTTTGCTATTATAATAAGATATATGACATAATATTACTACTACTTGTGATAAGTTTAAATAAATTGATTTTAAGATAAGAAAAGCAAACATAATATACAGATAAATATTACACAAGATTTTGTTTCCACGTATTAATTGCATTTAATGTTCAATATTTGTATATTAAGTTTTATCAAACTATAAAAGAGGTATAAAATATGTTATCATCGATTGGCGCAGTGTTTGTAAATAAACCTTTTGATTTGACTTCACAATAATATTTTATGTTTACCTCAATCTCTATTATCAATGGCTGTATTAAGTAATAGCACTTCAAAAGGTAAAAAAAGTGCGATAAAAATGAGGCACCCGTTAGTCAATTGTCAGATCAATTGACTATCAAAATGCATGTAAAATTCATTGGTGTGCTGTCTATCTGTCTATTTGTATATATCTTTATTATTAAGTCATTACAATACAAACAAAGGAGTGGTTGGAGAAGGAAGTGGTCTTAAAATATTTGTTTTGGACACATGAGTGCCAATGAGTGCCACTTATTTAGCACTGAGTTATTCATAACTTATGTATGTATGAAAAGCTGTAGTTTCTGGAGTCCGTCCGATCTTTTATATAAAGTCTTTCAAATTGTTTATTCTGTTGACTCTATTTTTAACAGATTTTTATTTAAACAACTTTTTTATCCATTCACTGATTAAACATTTTATAATATGTGAATTAGGGATAAATTAGAGAAACAGACTCTTTAAAAGGCAAATGAATTTGATATCATTAAACTTCATTTAATTTGCAAAACAATGTATAATGTATTAAACCATTTTAGACAATAGAAAATAAACTGTGTTTAACCGAATTTTATGCAATATTTGATAAATAGTAACATAGTTTTATGAAAGTATTTGATCAAATTATTTTATACAAAATAGATTAAAATTTTGTGAACATAGTTTTTTAAAAGTAAATAATTATGTATAAAAATTATATATATGCTTATTTAATATAACGAGCTATAAGTTTATGCAAATAATATACAATAGATTTACAAAAAGGTCAATAAGTAGTTTACATAATAGTTTATATCCACTTCTATTCACAATTAGATCTGCAATTGTATTTATAATACAATATAATTTATATCATAAATTTTTTTAATTTTAATAAATTATGATTAATTGGAAATAATGGATTAATACAAAATTGGATAAGTGGTTAATTTTAAAAATTAATATTTAGTATTCATATATACTGTAAATCATTAATTTTTAAAACTTGTTTCGGGTTCAGTTCGATAACAAAATTGTTTGGGGTTTCACGGGAGCAGTGTTTTACATGTTTTATACCTCCTATAGCACAGGTGTCACGGATTATAAGTTTGGTTTCAAATAGCGATTCTTTCAATTAGACATAAACTGGTTTCAAGAATTTGTGTACCGAAGAGATCGGTTCAAGAGTTTAGGAATTTTGTCTTAATTCTGTTGATTACCAAAACTCATACATTTTTCCGAATTGTATTTCACTTTATTTTGTTTGAATTAAAAATAAAATAATATTTAAGAAATCAATGATATATAGAAATCTTCAATAATAAAAATTATAAATAAAAGCATTTATTTTATTAAATATAAAATATTAGTCAAAATATTTCTTATTATTTTTGCATTTCTTATGTTTGCAGTTCACTAAACAAATAAAATGACAAAAATTCTCTGATTAGATAATTTACAGGTTATTATCATTATATCATAAATTTACTTCAATTTACACATTTAGTATAAGAAGTAAACAACAAAACATCAAATAGTAAATTCACTTTCAAATCAACAAATATGAGTCAAAAACCCTAATAGACTTATTTGTTGATCATTTTTGAATAAATATTTTTTCCTTAATAATAAATAATTTATTGTTTTTAAGATAATTTTCTAATTAAAGTTTTGTACTGAAGTTTGATGTTTTAGTTGATTTCACATTCAGTTTTATTGTTCAAAAAATGTTGAATTACTGCAAACGACTTTTAAAGTAATATTTTTGAGAAATTTTGGGCAAAACTTTATTCAAGTGTTTGATTTTTTTCACAATTATATGCAATACTGTATTATTTTTTAAATATATAATTATTTACTCTCTATAAGTAAACTATTTTACTTAATTGTACTTGTTTATTTTATAAAAAATTATTCGAATCCGCAATGATTATTTATAATTTATATCTATTAGAGTTACCAAATACACAAAATTACTTTAGAAATAGTAAAGGTATCATATATTTATAGTCTATTAGTATAATTTTATTATTCAATTACTTCAAGTTTATACGTTTAATACTTTTTGTTATAATAACAACAAATTTATATTTAATCAATACATACAATAAGTAGTTATATCAAAATAACTATCAAAATATTATTAAAATCTTATTTAATTATTTTAAATATTATTCAATAAATTATAAATAAACATATTGTTTCTAATTAAAATAAATTTAGATTATAATAGAAAATAAAGTATTTAATTTATCTACTAAATAAATATGATAAACACAGTATCAAAATTAATAGTATACAGTGTTGGCAGAGACAAAGTGTATGTATAATACAAAGCGTATTATACAGTATAATATAATGTAAATTATATGACAATTTTGGCTTACAAAAAAATTTAGCTCCACCTAATAACAAAAAAACTAAGATTCACAATAAAACACATGTTTTGTAGTAATTATTTTTTAAAATAATTTTGAAAAAATTTTTAATTGGCTATTCAATTTAATTCTGGTATCGAAATTATTCAAATATATTAATAAAATAATTAATATTAATTTTTAATAGTTTTAGAAAACAACTATTCTAATAACGATATTGAAATTATGTAATAATAATAATTTTAATATAAAAAATTAATATTTTATCATTGTTTATGTAATTTTTCTAAAATTGTAAAATACATCCATTACATTGTATTTTACTGTATTTTACAAAACCAAAATTGAAAACCTTGTATTTTTCCAACTCTGATAGTATATATATATTTAGATTTTTGTATTTGGTCATACTATCTTATAATTGAACAATAATATTTCAAAAGTAAAGTTTATAATGATAAATAAAATGGACTTTAACTCAATAAAAATTTATTTTATAATAATATTATTCAACAAAATGATGTCTAAATACTGTATTTTGTTAATGTAAAACAATAAGCGCTTTACATGAAAGATAACAATAAATAAAATGATTTTATGTCAGAGAAAAATAAATTGCAATCATTTAGCATATAATCATAAATAAAATGAGACATAACTAAAATATAATATATAAATATATAATATATAAACATTAAAATTCGTGTCAAACATATAGACAATTTAAACACACAAATCAAATGAGACTTTAATTCTAACAAAATTTGTTTTCTTTCTAAACAATCTGTGATATGTTTTAAAAATTTAAACATATATTTGATTTGTTGTTGTTATTTGTTGGCTAATAAACATAATTTACGGAAATATTTAATTAATTGATTGACTACATTGCGTCTATAAATACATATCAATAACTGTTATAATAAATAAATGTCACGCAAGTATTTTTATAGTTTGTTTTCAACTAAAATAAATACCTCATAATCTTAAAGACAAAACATTTATTAATGCAGTTATTTGTCAAAAATAAAATTAAATTTAAGCATTATTTTAAATTATCATATACTGGTATAATATGCATAGAAATAACAGTCTCTTAAATGTTAATACAAAGTTCAGTGAATATAGACTGAAAATAAAAAGTATTTTGACTGCAATTTGGCGGAAAACTTAATAAAATAGTAAATATTTATCATAAATTCATTGTACTATTTATTGAGTTATATTATCGTTAATTTTAGCCGCAAAGTGAGTAATGACTATAAAGAGTTAATTGCATATTCATATAATTTATTTTGTGGTCTATATGTACAGTATATACTATAGAGTATTTAACACTTTACACGTAATACTTAATAAATTTTTTAAAAAATATTTAAATATGTTTTATAAATATTAATTCAGTTCTCATTTTTTTACTTTTTACAATTTTTTTTAACTATCTTAATAATTACTCAATGATTCACTGAATACTAAAACATTTAAAAATAATACTCACAAATAAATTGTTTGTAATAATTAGAATCAACCAATAAATTACATAACAATAGTAACATTAATAAATTATTTGTTGCATTTAACAGCAAGCAATTAATTTTTCAGTTATTAACAATTAGTCATCAATTATAGTTGAAATACTAATTGTAAAATGATTTCAATTTTCAAGTGTAAAATACAATAGATTTTAATAGAGATATGTCTAAGTAAAGTAACATTTATTATAACTTACATTATATTTAAGTATAGATCAATAATTTGATAAATTGTAACATTAAATATACAATTTGTTGTTATGGATAATTTCTTATTTTA